GGAATAGTAATAGTGGATACAGAAGAAACAAAAGAAAAATAGGAAGGAGACAATCTATGGTAGCTAAGAAAATTGTAAATGGGATGTGGATTACGAGTAGAACGAGTACCTTTGCGAATGACAATGGGCCAACTTGAGTCACCATTATCAGGAATCGTGGTATCAAGGGATGATTGAGAAGGATCTGCTGAGGAAGACTCATCTTGGGACATGGGACTGATCATTTGGCTCCTGTGTTGATAGGTAATAAGAGGCAGTGATGAGGATTCCGGTGTATTTTGTGTGAAATTTTGGGTGTCAGGAGGAGGTACAAATGACTCCACTAAGGGTATAGGTAGGACATTTTGGACTGAACTAATATCCTGCATAGAAGAAGGGAAGAAGGGAGTTGACTCAAAAAAAGTGACATTAGCAGACATGTAGTACCTCTTGGTTTCAGGAGAATAACATCGATATCCTTTTTGAAGACGAGAATATCCCAAGAAGACACATTTGATGGCTCTAACTGATAGTTTATCTAAACCTGGAGACATATCATGAACAAAACATACACAACCAAATACACGAGGAGAAACATGAAAGAGTGGGTCCTTTGGCAATAGAATAGAGTGTGGAACTTTATTGTTAAGAGAAGAAGATGACATTCTGTTAATGAGAAAACATGCAGTAAGAATAACATCTCCCCAATAATGAACGGGCATATTTCCACCAAGTAATAAGGTACGAGCAGTTTCAACCAAATGTCTATTTTTTCGTTCTGCTATACCATTTTGTTGTGGTGTGTGAGGACAAGTAGACTTGTGTAAAATGCCTTGGGAGCTTAAGAGAGTGGAGAAATCAGTAGAAAAGTATTCTTTAGCATTATCACTTCGTAAAACTTTGATTACTTTTCCAAATTGATTTTTGATTTCGTTAAGGAAAGACTTAAAGATAGGTAATAATTCAGAACGGTCTTTCATTAGATAAATCCAAGTACACCTAGAAAACTCATCAATGAAGGTAACAAAATATCTATAGCCAAAGGATGAGACACGACTAGGACCCCAAATATCAGAATGAACAAGAGAAAAGACAGAGTCACATCTAGATTCAGAACGTTTAGGAAAAGAGGACCTAGTATGTTTTCCTAGTTGACATGATTCACATTCAAAATCTTGAAGAGTCTGAAGTTCAGGAACCATTTTTTTTAATCTTGATAAGTGAGGGTGCCCTAACCGTTCGTGTAATAGTTTTGGAGACAAGGATGCAACACAAGATACAGATGATTTAGTCCCAAGGTAGTATAAGCCTCCAGATTCATGTCCTTCGCCAATTTGTCGACCCGTACCACGTTCCTCGTATAACAAAAGAGTTGACATTAAAGGTTACCTGAACAATTCAATAATTTGGTTAATTGACTTAGAGAAATGAGACTCGAAGGGACATGAAGGAACAAAAGAACAGATTTTAAGTTTAAAGACTGGAGAAATGGAGACTTGACCAGTTCCTTTAGAGGCTACTTTAGATCCGTTGGCTAAGGTTATGAGATGAGGAGTTTTAGGAAATGAGAGAGAAGAGAACAAAGAGGCATTACCGGACATGTGATTAGAAGCACCTGAGTCAATAATCCATGGATTTTGACTTTCCACAGATTGTGAAATGCAAGCTGTTGATGAATTTGGGGTTGTTGATGACTGTGCTAGATTACTGGATTTCAACCTCAAATATTCTTGATATTCTTCGTGAGAGAACTTGGGTTCAACCATTCCAGATTTGGAAAAATTGACAGTTTTATCAGGAAAACCGTGCAAAGAGTAGCAATTTTCCACTGTATGACCCATTCTCTTGCAATGAGTGCATTGAGGACGTCCTCTACCTCCACGTCCTCCTCTAGTGTCATGACTTCCTCTTCCACGGGTAGAAATCATAGCAGAAGATTCAACAAGTTCTTGATTATTTTTTCCTTTGAGAGTTGGAACACGAAGCAGTCTTGTAGTCAAACTTTCCATAGAAGGAACCTCTTGTCCAGTTAAAATTTGATCTCTAACATGATCAAATTCTGAATTCATAGCTCGAAGAGTCATAACCATATAGAATTTATCCAACTTTTGCTTTATCTCCTCTAACGAATCCACCTCTAGGAACATCTTTAATTCTTCAACTGCTGATTGAGCTTCAGCAATAAAGGTCATCATATCTTTATCCACTTGCTTGAGAGAGGCTAATCGAATAGCGGAATCATAGAGGCGTTGGATATCATTTGCGAAGATATTCTGAGCTTTTTTCCAGAAAGAGTTACATGTTTTGAAGGATCTGAGAGTGTTCAAAATATTTGGTTCTACTGATTGCCACAGTAGAGCACAGAGTTGATAATCAAACTTTTTCCATTGTTGAGCCTGATCTTCTGGTATCTTACTTCCGTCTTCTTCTAGATGATCGTGAAACCCTTGTCCAAGGAACCAAAGTTCCACTGAAGAGGACCAAGACATGTAATTTTTTCCATTTAATTTCTCAGCCGTTATCGTGGGAGTTCCGGAAAAGGAGGTTGTGGGCCCTGACGACATGTTTTAAATAATGTAGATGTAAGATGGAGACAATGGAACCTGTAAAAAAGAGAACACCCAAGATAGCCTGAAGGTTACTGGAAGGTGGTCGGAAAAGTCGTCGAACGGCAGCAAAAAAAGGTGACTGGACGGGGGACTGACGATTGCCGAAAAGTGACCGGAAAGTGGTCGGAAAATGGTCGGACGGTGGCCGGAAAAGGGTCGGACAGTGACCGGAAAATGGCCGGACGGTGACCAGAAAGTGACCGGGACGGTGGCCGGAAAATGACCGAGACGGTGGCCGAAAAATGGTCAGACGGTGGCCGGACGGTGGCCGGACAGGCAGAGCAGGACCAACCTGCTCTGATACCAAGTTAAGAGAGTAAAGAGAATGAAAAGAAGATTTCTAATTTTGTGGGATGCTTACTCCACTCTATGATCTCATATATATATAGGATTACAACATTTAAAACAACAATCACTAACTACTAACAACCACCAACTACCAACTACTAACCACTAACCACTAACTAATAATAATTCTAACACTTTTCAATTTCTTATCAAAGTTTGAATTAAATTTATAATGACTAATTAGATAAATGAATCTAATTTTAATCACTATATTTATTTATTGTAATTTTCAAGGTTCAACATTTAATCACTATATTTACTTATTGAAATTCATTAACAAAGATCAATTAAAAATAAAATAAAAAATATATAATAAGACTAATAATAGATAAATAAATATAATATATAACCAAATAAATAAATATAAAATAAGATTAGTGTAAATATAAAATAAATAAGACTAATACGTAATAAATAAATATAAAATAAATATAAAATAAGATTAATGTATAATTGTAGATAAATAAAATAAAAAAATAAATATAATAAGATTAATATTACCTCATTTAATAACCATAATTAAAAATAAAAATAAAAATAAAAATAATAAAATAATAAATGTCTTCTCTCCTATTTTCATTGTAGATGATGTATTTTTTTCTCCCCTCTCTGTGTTTCATATCTTGAGAATTCTGTTTATAGTCAATTATTTTCTTTTTAATTTATTTAATTAACCTAATAAATGCCTAATAATTATTTTAGTGTATGTTCTATCTCTCGGTGAGATAAGTTAATCTTATTTTTTTAAAATATATTATTAATAATAATTATTTTTAAAATAAAAATTAATAATTAATATATATATTTTAAAGAAAATTAAAAATAATATTTTTTCTTCTTTTATTTTTTAAAATTAAACAATAATAATACTTTTTAAAAATATTTATTTATTTTTAATAATAATTCTTTTTAATAAATATTTTGTTTTATTATAAATATATTTAACTATCCAATAATATATTTTAATATATTATATTTTAAAAAAATTACATAATAAATTATAAGATGTTATAATTTTTATGACAATATAAATTAAAATAAAACATAAAAATATCTGCGTACTTAACATTTAAAATATTTACAAAAAATTTAAACATATTATCATATTTAAATTGAAATTATAATAATATATATAATTATCATTATTATTATTATTATTATAAAATAACATTTTATAAATATAATAAAAAAAAGTATGTTGATTTTTTGAAAGAAAAAATTATAATTCTTTTATTAAATTTTTTTTACGAACCCATGTTTTAACAGAATTTACTGAGTTTTTTTTCTTGGATCAGTTAATTTTCGAGACAATTGTTATATAATTGAATTAATTATCTTGTGGTTCAACAATTTTTTATCCTATTTTGAAATATGTGTCAACAACAAAATTGATTGTGATGGAAATGCATATAACATGGGTAGTGGCAGATCCTTATAATTGTTATCCATCCCATGCTAAAGGTAGCCCAGTCCAACACAAACAACCACCATCTAAACTTTCAATGTATTGTGAAATGATGAAATATTATTGGATCCTACAAATTCTATATTTATCTTTCATGGAATATAAAGTAAGTAATTATTTTTCCTAGTAGTTTCTGCAGTATTTATATTTTCTGCAGTTAAAAAAAATAGCAAATAAATATGTGAAGGTCATCCAATGTGTGACGAATAGAAGCTAAAACTTTTTCTGCAAGTATATTGAATCTTATCCCCAAGCGTTATGTGCATAATTCTTGTTTCCCAAGTAATTTGAAAATCTTTTTGAGTCTCATTCTTTATGAAGTTATAGTCAACATTTTTCTTCTTAATTTAAACTCTTCACAATTCACAGTGGGATGCATGGATCCACCACACCCCATTTTCTTTATAAAAAAATGTGATTTCTACTCAGACAATAACAATTCCCTGAATTGCACCATAATCATTTTAAAAAATAATATTTTTGAACAATAATGATTTAAAAAATTGATATTTTTCAATTAAATTCAACTGCGTAGCTTGGGAGCCATATAAATATGCAATGGAAGAGAGGGAAAGAGAGATAGAGAGTAAAACTGAGAGATGAGTTTTCTTGCAGGAAGGTTAGCCGGGAAAGAAGCAGCATATTTTTTCCAGGAATCCAAACAAGCCGTAGGAAAATTAGCCCAAAAAAACCCTCTTCCTAAGACCGACAACAACCTGAACTTCCACGAAGAACATGATCATGCGGATGTGCTTCCCGAGGTTCTAAGACACTATCTTCCTTCCAAAGTGTTCAGAAATGATGTAGCTACCTCTTCTTCCTTCTCTGCTTCCAAATGGGTCCTTCCTTCCGACCCCCAACTCCGATCTTCGGTATCCCCCGATGCTCTCAATCCTCTACGTGCTTACCTTTCCCTGCCCCAAGTCACTTTTGGCCCCAAAAGGTTCCTTCATCACTCTCTGTTTCAATTTCCCATTATTTTCTCCACACCAATCAAATATCATTTGCATAATGTTTCCCCTTTGAATTTTATCATTTCGTTTTAAATTGAGCTTATGTATTATCAGAATAAAAATTCTATACTTTTGAGTATGTAAGAATCATCACAACAGTGACTTTTAAGATAATTATTGTAAAAATTAACAAATTTATTGCAGTTTGTGATTGAATAACAATGCCATACACTATCTATACCTTTCAATTTTATGATTTGGTTTTTAATAGCGAAAGAAACTGGATGTGATTCTTCTACTCTTTTTTATGTTTAAAATGGTTTGGTTGCACAGGTGGCAACTGCCTGAAGCAGCAAACACAGTTTCAGCCTCAACAGCTAATGAATTGCGTCCAGATAGATATGCCACTCATGTTAACCCGGAGAAGTTGAAAGCTGCTGGTGAAGGGCTTGCACATGGTACATTTCATTCTTTTCGTTAGCTTCCTACTGGGCTGTATATTCTTAATCTTTCATTGCTTATTTTTGGCCTGTGTTGTAAATTGTAAATGTTTGAAACAATTCTCGGTATTTGTAAATAGATGGTTCTCTGATGCAACATCAGCGAAAGAAATTGTTTTTCTCACTGATGAATTTGTAAGATTTGGTATCTACTTGACAAGCTTACATATATTGGGTTTGTTACCCTCATCTTTCACATAATCAGACAATGTCACTCATAGTTAGCCATTCTCAAGTTTAGAGCTTTCGGCTGTTTAAGCTATGTTTTTTCACTTGTTGGGGGTGTTACCATAAGACAGACCTTTTAGCCTGAGATGCGATTAAAGTGTTTTAATTTTGAACATAGAAATTGTGAATGAGGGAGAAGGAATTAAGTCATACTATAAATATTGTTTTAGTGGGGAAAGAAGTGGTGGGATACTATTTGGGCAAGTTACTTTTCTGGAATAAAAAGGTTTAGGGTTGAGTGTGTACTAATAGAGTTAATAAAAAAAAAAAAATAGGCATCATTTTTTCTGCTTGATTTGCCTTTGACAGTTCAGGTGGTTGGTTATTTATTTACTTCATTATTTATGACTATATTCAGATTTTGTTGTGCTTCTTATACCAATAATGCTGTTAAGGAAAAAAGGCTTTGGGCAAATTGTTTGGGATGATGCTTATGTTTTCTAATTACCAATTTTATAGTTGGAAAGGCTTTTGCTGTTGCCACTGCATTTGTATTTGGTGGTGCTGCATTGGTGTTTGGTATGGTGGCCTCCAAGTTAGAGCTGCATAATGTAAGTGATTTTAATTTGTTGAAAATATATGGCTAAATAATTTGAATAAGTTCATATTAGTTTTTTTTTTTTTTTTTCAAATTTTAGGATATTGGTCCAATTTTCAGATATTTAGATTAAAAAGTTATTGGTCCAATTTTAACATTGAGATAATCTAATTTTTTAATTTCCTGCTACACTTTTGCTAATTACTCCACATAATACATCTTTTGTTCGATTAGAAAATATATTTTCTATACAAAATACCAACATAATTATATGATGATCCTAGATTTTAATATGCAATTTTTTTCTTCCTCTGTTAGTTATGTGTATTTTTAAATTAGTTAAGCTACCCACTCCAATGCCCACCCTGTTCCATATTCATTCATCATTCTTCATAAATTATTCAAAAATCATCATATTGAATGACATTTATGACCCCAAAACTTCTTTAACTCTTGTTATTGTATCTCAATACTTGTGTTTTCTTCTATGTTTTTTGAATTGTATTGAAAGATCTCTATATTGCCAAATAAATTGTCCATTTTAGTTTGTTGACTTTTTATCAGAATTTTTTGTTGTTGTAACAGATTAGTGACATCAAAACTAAGGGAAAAGACTACGTTGAGCCAGAACTTGAGAATATCAAAGAGCAATTTGCTCCCTTCAAAATATGGGCAAGTTTAAAATTGTATTTGTTGAATCTTCTGAACATTTCATTTCACAAGCCTAACTCTAAACTTGGATTTTCAGGCTGAGAATATGTCAAGAAAGTGGCATATGGAAAGGGGAGATGTTAAGCAGAAGACTATCGTAAAGGAGCTATCTAAAATTTGGGGTAAAAAAACAACAGATTGAGGTTTACAATTTTATTTGTTTCCCTTTACTTTAGGTGCTTTGGAAATAGTGGTATTAGCATCCAAAGATGGATAAATTGGATGGAGTATGCCACTTGCTGTTGTTGTGTTTGTAAATGTTATTCTGAAGAATAAAAGTGACACACAGTAGTGTATATCAATAAATGAGATAGTAGTAAATGGAAGAATATGGTTTTAGTTAATTCAACAATTTTTTTCCCCTTTATACACACTTTTCAGTAACGAAAATGTAGTTGTAATCCACCATTTATGTGCCACAAAAAATGCTGTTACTGATGTTTCATATAGGGGAAGATGTAGACGTATCATCTTGTATTGAAGAAAAAAGTTATCGTTCATATGAAGTATAATACTCATTTTTTCGCCTATTTATTTTTTAAATTGATCATGTATGTTAACATAAACATCTCATTCTATTGCAAGAAAATAAGGGTCGGAACATATTTGACCAAATGATAAGATAGAAATATAGATATGGCGTTATACAAGCCTAACATATTGGTGATTTGATTTGGTGCTTCTTTGCATACTTCGTTTGGAACACCCTGTCAACAATTTAAATGATATATCTGATACAACTATTTATGTCACCTAACTTGACGTGGAAGTGGTAAAAAAAATGAATGAAAGCATCCGTTGCTATTGAAGATCAAGAATGAATGAAGCGTAAATCTTGAGAAGAACCAACCACAGATGAATTTGGATCTGAGGGAAAAACCAAGTCATCACATCAGCCGTATTTTGTAGGTTGATCTGAATGAAACGTAAAAGTGGTTACTATAACTTATAATCAAGACCAGCTCCGTATTTCCAAGCCTCGAGATGCCGCATCAGCTGGAAACTCATCTTGGATGGCAATGTATTTACCAGTGGCCTTGGGAGTCATGGAAGATAAGCATAGAATAGAAGGTGTGTCAATTGGACCTATATGCTTGCCGAATAAATAAGGAAGCTAAAAAGTGGTTTAAAAAGACCTTGTAAAGACTATTACCTCACAATAGGATCAGCAAAGGTCGATAAAAATGTGTAGTATCCAAGCCCCAGAAAATGTCTGGACCAATCAAGAAGTACAGGAACACCAACCTGGAACAAGAAAAAATTCTTATATTGAATAGGTTTCTTGACTAATTATTTATGCTGCATATTTTTATGGATCTCCAACTAGGTTCTATTTGTTTGATTATTTAAATAATATGAGAAAAATAGAAGAGATGAATATATAAATTATGCGTGAGCCATGTCAGGCAAATCAGCACTGACATATCAGAAGTGAGGATGTTACATTATAAGTTTTCACTTCCAGGTATTTATTCATATTTGCATAGTCTTGAGATGAAGAACAGAAACAATAATTAGTGATATCTAGATTTCATCTTAAAAACGCATTAATTTTAAGTAAAATTGTCCATGAGATATATAACTCACACTCCAAAGACTCAGTCAGGTGACGTGAGAGTCCCAACTTGAAGAAGTACCTGTTTGAATATGGATGGGAGTATTTGAGGATTTGTTAACAGAACCAGGCCTAATGTCTTGGAAAGTGGTCCAAACTGTACAACATCCTGTAAATATGGGAGATGATTTCTTAGGACAGTCATCGTACCAAGTTTAAAATTTGATATGGGTTCTCATCTCAATTAATTGAGTCTTTTGGGAAGAACTTCTTACAAAGACAAAAAAAAACCATATCCAGAGTTTCAGACTAGGACAAGAAGTACACCTGTAGAAACGGTCGTAGCACCGGATCACCAAGCTTCTGTAAAAGTGAAAGATAAAAAAGAAGCAATAGTAAGAACGAACATAAAAATAATCTCAGTCATAAGAGAAACATACTACCTGCATACAACTAAAATTGGTATAGAGAAGTTCATTGATAAAATCTGAGGGAACATTGGACTGTTTCTTTGCTGACATTGCCCTTTGGAACAACCATGAAGCACTCAAGTTGGGCTGCATGATACAGAATCTTGGTCAGGTATTAGTTTCAAGTACAGATTCTGAAAAAGTCAAACCTTATAGAAAAGTTGGAAAGTACCATGTAAGGGTTCAGCAAAGACAAATTGTATGAGTCAAGATAATCACCATTGATTGCTTCATGTATTCCTTCATTATAATAAAGTGTAGAAAAAAAGGAATCAGATTATCTCAATACTGTATACCTATTTTTTGTAGTTAACTGTGTTTGAACAAATTGCTAAATCAATTTCAGCCACATAATATTTTACTGGATTAGGTATTTCAATGTTGCTGAAGACAGAAGCAAGGTAAAGAAAATGGAGGTGCGGATTTCCATAAATACTCAGAAAAACTAACAGATTCACAGTTTAATTTAATGTCTCAGATTAAAAAAAAGAAGAAAAGAAAACTCCTGTCCCACAGCATTGCAATATATCTGCTTCAACTAGTACAAAAATATACATCAGAAGTTTAAAACTTCACTGAAAGACTTACCAACTGACAGTCTCCCAAGGTGCCTGGTCAAACTTCCAAAACCACCAAATGAAACAGGTGATTGTATCCCACTTGCATCACCAAACTACAGAAAATGAAGCTTCTTTGCTTTAATATTAGTTGATAGATCATCTATGACTAACTTTTTTATTTTACAGAGGCTTCAGTAGGGTAAAACGTAATTTACCTGTAAAACTCTATTAAAAGCAGCTGGTAGCGGACTGGGTGCTCCATATCATCATCAAACATTATACGGTGTGATATTGAAAGAAATCGTAAGTAGTGATAAAAGTAAATAGACTCAAAACGAATTTAAAACAAACATATGAAATTGAATATGTTAGGAGGAGACATAGAACACATCAAGCTTTTAGATAATTTTCTGATATGCAATACATGTCCCAAAGCAGTCAAAGTTGGATGGTTCATTTGTCCACTTAACGGAGTAGCATTATCTGGCAGTGACAGGTTAGTCAAAGAAACATTTGAAAATTCCGAACGAGACATGATGGAACAGGCATAAGGAAATTAAAGTTAAACTTATTTAGTAGCGTTCACATTAAGTTCATTAAGTTGTCATGTACAATACACGGTTCAGAATCCTACAAGAACCTTGAATCGTAAAAGCCAAAGGAACTAAGTGAATGACGCATTATAACTAATCGTACTATAATCTTTAAAATCAAACAACTAACTGCATCGCTTTCATGTCTCAATATTAAGATAAGCAAGAACTTTCGGCAAAAGAAAACAAATTGTGTGTGTGTGAGATAAGAGAGTATTTGGAAGCATTTAGTAGAACTTATCAACAAATCATTACCTTTTGCGATATGTGGGAAAGATTCCATAAATAACTCGTAATATCTCTAAATTTTCAAGTGAAACACCCTATAACGAAAAAATTGCAAATTGACATCAGTCAAGCTGAGGCACCAGAAAACTAGTATAAAAGAATGAATCAGGTGAAATGTAAAATTTTTGGTAGCTTATATGACTTAAAGAAAATAAAATTGGAAGAGTGTAAAACTTTATGGATGAGAATAACCATCACAGAACTCATAGTACAGAAGCTCTTTAAGAAACATTGAGATAAAAGGCAAAACTGGATTTGATCAGTAACTACTAGAAAACAGAACAGAGCATAGAAGAGGTAAAAGAAAGGACGAAAAACTATTTTTTTTATATTCTAATTTTTCACTCAAATTGTTCTCGTGTAAAATTTCAATAGAAAATCTATGAAACTCCTCATTAGGCAAAACAAACAGCAAATTATGATTAAACTAAAAGTAGACATCATGAGCTCACACTGTTTATTTTTTCCTGAACTTGTAAGCTTTAACTAAACTCACAAGCAAAACAGAAAACTACAGGGACATTGAATAGTTTAATAAGACTGCTAAAAAAGCTTGATTGCCAACTGTAACATAACACAAGGGCACACGCAATTTTGTGACTTGATAGTTGATATGCGACATGGACTTCCATTTCAAGCTTCTGGTATGGATGTTAAGAACGGGAAATTTAATAAAAAAAAAAAACTTTTTTCTTCACCTTGTAATTAATATTTTCTCAAAAATAGAATTTTTACTAAAAGAAAGGGAGGAAACACAAATGAGGGTAGGATACAATGTCCTTCAAAATGAAAAGAAAAATCAAGAGACGTCAGAGTACATGATAAGAAAAGAAAACTAGCCTGGTATTCTGGCATCAAATCCCAGTATTCTTCTAATAATTCTTCCAATTTTGGGGATCCAGGTTGAGGTTCCACATAAGTAAACATATAAGTAGTACGGTCCAAAGGACCCGAGCCTGCTGGAAATGCCTATGAAGATTTCAGTGAAAGTTCTTAAACATAGAGTATGGGGATGCTTTGTTTCTATTGATATAGTAAAAGAAGGTACCTCCCAAAACAATTGAGCTTTTGAGTCCCCAACTTTCTTTATTGATGAACTGCTAAATATGACATCACTAGTGGAGTTTGTCTTAAAGCCACGTGCACATGTTCCAACAACAAGGCAAACACCATCGGGCTTTTGCCCACCTCTTATCTGTAAAATCATTGAACATGATAATCAGAAGAAACTTCGGGAAAAGGTTTAAATTTTAATGTTCAGTATGTAATTATGTATCATTCACTGAATAGCATATGTAGAACTTTAATCAACAGATGCTTTTTATATTTTCAAGGGAGTTTTCAGTCTCATTCATAGTGTTGATTGTTACAATAATACTGGATGAGAGAGACCATCATTGACCCATCCTCCGAGTCATATAATCATTGAGGAACTTAGGTGGCTACTTTTTCAACGAACATTGTATCACTTGCATTTGCATGCATATAAAATGACAGTGAATGTATCCTGCATAAGCATGATAGAACATACAACAGAAGGCTCAAAGAGAGAACATAAAAATGACAACATGTGCCTGTTTTCCATGAAACACGTGAAAAATCCTTGTGATAACACGATGGAAATCATAAACTATATGTTATATTGCACCAATGAGTAAAAATATATTCCTGACCTGTTTTACAACAGGGGAGAAGTTCCCCATTGCATCAATTATGAGACGAGATGACAATATTTTGTCCCCAGAAACTTTCAGAACCTGAAAAGAAAAAAAAAACATGGGTTCATGCTAGTATCATCCTATAAAGTAAACATTGTCATTCATCACTCATATAAATTATATGGTGATTTAAAATATCCCTGGCAAAGCTAAGTTGCAATTTTTTCTGGTATAGTGTGTAACTTTCCTTGTTTTAACCCTTTGATGTTTATCTACAGTAGTAGTATTTATAAATGCAAATATGAATTCAGAATTTCAACAAATGAAACATCTGAACAAGCTACATAGCCTTTTTTGTGTAATTATGATAATTCAAAATTGATCAATAATAGAATTTCATAAAATAACACTTACGAAGCTATGATTGTGCTAAATAACTAGTTTTAGAAGTTAAGGTAAACTCACTGCAGCATCCTCATATACATTAATGCAGGATTATAAATGCAAATATGAATTCAGAATTTCAACAAATGAAACATCTGAACAAGCTACATAGCCTTTTTTGTGTAATTATGATAATTCAAAATTGATCAATAATAGAATTTCATAAAATAACACTTACGAAGCTATGATTGTGCTAAATAACTAGTTTTAGAAGTTAAGGTAAACTCACTGCAGCATCCTCATATACATTAATGCAGGAGACGCTGCACCCTTCAAAAATGACTCCACCAAGGGAGATAAACCGTATCTTTACAATCTCTACAAGCTTTTCTGGTCTGCAATGGCAAACAGCAAAGATGAATATGTTTAAGGAAAAATCTAGATCTTCAAAAGAATACTAAATTTTACGCTCAAATTTCATCATTGTAAATTCTGTGCTCAGTTTTAAAAAATGCATGTTTTATGAGAGTTAAGCCAGAGAGATATTCAAAATTGTTCTGTGAGCAATATTACTAATTATTTCATTGCAAACCCTGTCCTCTGTGCCTACAGCGAGAAAAAAATGCACGTTTGAGAGGTAAGCCAGATATATATTAAAAATTGCTCTTTATGAAACATTACTAATAGAGAAACATTCATCATAATAATTCAAGTTTTTTGGGATTTGTTTGTATTAGATTTCAACTTAAAACCAATTGATATTTTGTTAACATATTTGTAAGTCACACTCCAAGAATTGAGGCAGACAAAGTAGAACTTTCTAATAGACATATTAGCAACGTTATGCTCTATTTAATTGCCACCTCCATAATTTGTGGTCCTTCACTCCTAGTAGGTTGTCCTTTAAATGATCTGTATCTATATTTGAGTTGTTATTTTCTTAACACAGTTGTCTAATCACATATAAAAAAAATATTACAAGACTGGATGTAGAATTGTGAGACTGGATGTACAATCTGCTTGCGCATTTCTTAGTAATTCTACATCCAGTTTGCTACAGCAGATTTTCTGTCCTCTCTTGAAGGGGATATGCAAAATAGTGAAATACACCCATTTAGTATGTGATTGAATTAGCTTATTTTGTGTTTTAATCAAAGTCTTAGTTAGAGAGATTTTGGAAAAAGTAAAACTTTTAAATGCGCAGTAAATTAAGCAACTGCAACTGCATATTGTTCATTGCCAAGCCAGACAGAACAGAAAATAAAATTATTAAATAGATACGAATATAGATTAACTTATATATTCATAATTCAAATAAAAACAATTATTATGGGAAGGAGACTGACGAAACACCGAGGTTAAGTATGTCGTTGACCCAGATATCCCCTTTCCTTTCAAATCCACATCTATTCTGCAAAGTTTATGAAATTGTCAAAGAGAAGTTAGTATAAAGCAAATTAAAAATAAAATAAAGGGAGTGTACATAAATCCTGCAGAGGTTACACATGAAGAGTTGGCCGAAGCGGCATTCAAGACTCGTGCCATTTGTGCGGTAGCTTTTTGTCTATGGGAGAAAGAAACTGTTGGTGATTGATGTTCTTTGAGGAAAAATAAACATTCAAGCTGAGGTTCATTCAAACAACCCCAATGTCCCTTAGTTGTTATATAATTTCATCTTGCAGTGGTCTATCAATTTTTTCATTTCATTTTGTAACAAACAAGACCCTATTATCAATCTTTTGCTGTGTTTAGGTACGTGATGTATGTTCAAACTTATTTCAAGATATTAGTTATGGAGAAATACCTAATCAAGATGATTCTTGATACACAGAGATTGGCAACTAAACTGAAGGATTTCGGGAATTACAGGATTGAAGTTCACTGCTGTGGCTCTTTCAATGTCATCTTCTTCCAGGACTCCAACTTCTACAAGTTCCAAAAGCTCCTTTTTTGATATATTCCATTCTTGCTCTCTCTAATGATAAAAACAACACAGACAACTCTAATTAATCCAACCCTTCAAAGAATTCGCCCACTCTTTTCATTGGAAGATTGAATGTTGATATCTAAATCAATGAAGCTGATATTACCCCTTTTAGTACATTCCTTTCCACAACCGCAACTCGAAGACCCCTTGCACACAAGGCTGTGGCAACGAAGATTCCTAGAGTGCCACCACACACCAACACATCATATGAACCTTCTGCTTTGTCAGCAAGACCAGATGATCCAAACAAGCCTGGTATGGTAGAGACAACTTGCTGAGGCTGTTGCACAACTGCAATGTATAAGGAGATCACAGATCATATAAAGTTTACTCATTTTCTAAAGGGCATAAGAATCACTGAATGACACGAACCTTCTTGAGAGGAGCATATGCTTGACCATAGCTTGTCTAATCTTTTCAATGCTTCATAAGAGTACGCTCCACCAGCACCACCAACTTCTCCACTCACTGAAACACTCTCCATTATCCTCTAAAAAAGTAAAACATAGAACAAAATTGTTTACATGATCAACTAATTAAAAATCATTCTACATATGACTTTTAAGTTAACAATCTCACCAAACACAACAATCCATAATCAGAAGACAATGTAAAAAATTAACACTTTAAGTGTATTCCAGTTAAATTCAAAATAAATTATAAAGCTTTATTTGGACTTTATACATGGAAAACACAACGTGGCATGACATTGAAGAATCGGTACCTGGGTTCTGGAGGGAACAGCTTGTGGTCTCAAAAGGAATCGTCTTTTCTCCTTTGGGAATGAAGTACCCACTGAGAACCGACATATTCCATTAATGGGTTGAAGCCGAAGCAACAACATAAAGAGAAGCTTTTAAGATAAACAAGAGAGTAAAGGAAGTAAAGCAACTTGTTTTTTCCTCTTCTTCTGTGTATGGTGTATCGATGATGGATGAAGAAGGCAACGAATTTACGCACCACAATTTGACACGTACAAATCCAACTACCATAACTGTCTCTATGTGTCCTTATTTAGTGGTAGACATTGTTAATGGATAATTATTATTTAGTCTAAAATTTAAAAATAACCATTACCAAAATGATGATAAATATTTAAATTAAGAGCCTTGTTCAGTATTTTAAAAACATATTTAATATTTTTTTAATTTAAGAAACGTTTCACTTTTAGAAATTAAAGTCAATGTTTAGTCTGAAAAAATTAGGGGATAGAGAGAGAGAGTAACACGGTTACACGTCTAAGATCTTAAAAGTGCACTAATAAAGAGAGAAAGAAGTAAAAGTAACAGCGAATTTTGGGGTAGATTTTAAGATAATTTATATTGAAGACTAAACAATTGTTGAAAAGTTAGAACTAAACCAGGAATAATGCTTTTTTAGGAAAAATTCTGTTAAAAAAATGAATTATAAGCTTTATTTATTTTTGTTTAGGGAAATAATTGAAATTTTTTTGCATAGATGCAATTCAGTTTAGATATTTCTAATTAGTCTTTGAATATCTTTGTAATGCTTAATTAAATATTAAAAACTAAATGTTAAATTGATTAAATATATTAGTCAATTTTAATTAATTTATTTTATACAAATATTTTCCAAATTATCTGTATTCTGGAGACTGTGTTTAAGTATAAATTAACAATATTTTTAAAATAATAATACTAATAAGATTTAGTTAGTTTCATTTACAAATATTTAAATTTACTAAATACTATCATCTTTTTGTTTATATTTGATTCTAAAGAAAGTATAAGATAGATGCGTATTCTCTTTTCCAAATTTTTTTTAATATTATGAGACACAAATTAGTAAATATTTAATTGATACAAATCTAGTAAAAAGTATTATAAATGTTCTTAATTTTTCAAATAATTTTGTGTTTATTGTTTTAATGTTATTTTAACTATCTTATTAGTATTCGGTATTTATGGGTTTGTCAGGAAATTGATAATGTTTAATGTGATTTTTTTTTAATAAAATATTTTTTATCTACAAAATTTAAACTCGATAATTTATTTAGAGAGATGAAATCAAACACTATTGAAATAAACTACTTTTAGTTTATGAATGGTTTTACATGAATTATTCATAATTATGTATAATATTTTGCCGAAAAAATAGCTTTAAAAAAACCAAATACGTATCATTTTGGAAAAAGAAAACATTGTTTTTAATACATTGTATAAAAATATTTTTATTAATTAAAATATTAAAAACATTTCTTATTATTTTAATACAAAACTTATTATTTTTAAATATTTATTTGTCTACATTTGTTGTTTTTCAGAAATTAATGAAAATAAAGAGTGAAAAAGGGAGATTTTCATTTTCACCTTCTGTGACAATTGGTATCTTCTTTTAAACAGGTAATAAAAAAGAAGTATTCTTACATTATTCTCCTTTTTTTTTCTTATTTTGCTTGCTTCCTAGTTGCTATGTTTTTATAGACATGTGTATTTTACAAAATTAAAAAATGTTAATAATATCCTAGCACTCTGTAAATCAATCGAAGGCTTCAACTTTTGAGGATAAACCTCACTCTCCTGCTCCCAGTGAGGGTTTATCGTCTAACGTTTGAAACGAAACGAAACATCCTACTGCATCCTCAACCCTGCGATTGTTTTGAACTGGTAAAGGCTCAAACTTCAATCATGTTTTGTTTCGTTTCTCTTTTTTACCTCTTCTTAATTGTTGTTCATGTCAACTCAGCATCAGATTTATCAAATTTGGAAATCACTTATCATGCGTTCTCAAATAGGGTCTTGAGACCAAACCCTAATAAGAAAGCTAGTGTTTTTACGTTTGTAATTGATTCGTGTGTTTTGGAATCTGACGCTTTCTTATGTGATTTTAATGAATGATATGTCTTTGTCCGAGCGAATGGTAATTTGTACTTAAAAACAACCGGAAGTGAAGCATTGATAATTTTCTGAATTTCTGTTCATTTTTCTGGTCCTTCCACTTTTGTGGTTACAGATTGTGTTGGTACTAGGTATGGTAAGCCTCACCCTTCACTCAGGTTATCCCTTCCCAAGTTATTATAATTGCTATTGGTTTCTCAAAATTTCAAGGAAATAATAAAGTTGAAAATTGGTTTCCTTTTAACACCTAAATAAAACAAACAAACCCCATAAAGAAGGAAAGAGAATGAGCAGCATCACTGCACTTGTTACTATGTATCAACAGAAGGTTATAGCATCGTCAGTTACCCCCCTTGCAATGAAAATTTAACAAAGATTACTCATGGGAATTTTTGGTTCCTTTTGGAATTATTCAATGCTTAACAAATAATATTGGAAGTCTTTTCAATCTCTTAAAATCTTTCTTGCAGATTTTTGCTATTTTGGACGTGAACCAGAGTAAGTGTGAACTGTTTACCTGGCATGGCAAGCTTGTTGACAACATCAGCTATCAGCTATTATTCTGTCAACAATGGTTCCAGGGAATTTGGCAAGTTGGGGAATTTTTCCAAAGGAAGGTGTTGCATAAAAGCAATGAAGATAGAGAAATCTTTGGAGGAATTGTACAACGTGAAAGTGGAAAGGAAAGTGTCTCCTGAGAGACTAACTGAGCTTGGAGTTTCAAAATGGTCAGTGTGGAAGACTGGGAAAAGCAAGCTCCCCTGGGACTGGCAGGTAGACCAACTGGTGTATATAGAAGAAGGGGAAGTGAGAGTTGTTCCTCAAGGAAGCAAGCGTTTCATGCAATTTTTGGCTGGAGACTTGGTCCGCTACCCAAAGTGGTTTGAAGCTGACCTCTGGTTCAATGGTCCATATCAAGAGCGTTATAGTTTCAGGGCATATGGTGATGATTAAAGTAACATCCAGTTTTGATACTTCAAAGCATATAGTTTCAGGGCACGTCTTAACTGGATATTTCGAGTAATAGATGTGTTTTATAGTTTTAGTCATCCAGTTCCAAATGTGCTTCCAATATATTTGAACGATTGTGATACTTTGCTATCTTCTAAAGGAATTGGTCCTCATTGCATATGTTTTATCTTTTTCATGTTTTATCTCTGCTAGGGAACACTTCCCGATGAGTTAAAATCTAGATCAATTTCAAAGAATTGTCCTCCAAGCAGGATGCAAAACCACAAATTGTACACAAATCCAAAATGGAACATTTAACTTTGCAGGAAGTGCATCATAAATATATAATTTTAAAAAATGCAAACATGTACAATAAACATCTCTTCAAGGGCACGCAAATTCACTTGTAACTGTGGACGTGCAACTTTATATTTTGCTACAAAACACTCACTGGGTGGGGTAAGGAGAGGGGAAGAGATATATCATTCTATTCCTTAATCCCAATCCTTGAAAGGCGACATAAAAGGTTAAGTAGTAATATACGAAAAAAAAAATTGATCCACTATGACAGGCAGTTCAGCCAGCGAAGAACAAATAACTTCCAGAGGGAACAGAACATGTGAAACAAGTGTTGGGATCTTTTTCTACAAAGGGCTAGGAATTAGAAATTACCAATGTTTAAATTACAGAATGGTGGCAAAAGGAAATGATTGTTTTTGTATCACTGCATAATCTTAATGGCTAGACTTCTAAACAAACATTGCCTATAATAATAAACTACATTCCTTATGGTACATAGTTCCCATGATTCCAGAACAACTGATGGAGACAAAAAGCCCAGAAACAAGGAGCGGCCTGATATCCACATCAAGCCCCCATTCACCTTTGTTCCTCATCATGGGGTCAGAACAAACAATTTGGATCTCTGATAGCTCTCAACCACCTGCAGTTGCCAATTGATTCCCACTAGTAGTGATTGCAACAGAGGACACAAACCTTGAGACAAGGATGGCCTCATTGCTTACGACATTAGCTGCAGCAACATCTTCCAATTGTTTCCATATGGATGCTCGCTTTTCTTGCTTCTCCCTATCCTTGATTTCTTCTTCTTGGAATCTCATCAAGCACTCGTCAAAAAGTGCCTGATCAGCATCAGAGAATATTTTTCTGACATTCAAGGTCAAACTCTGAACAGCTTGGTTCCAATGGCCCCTTATATTTTTCTCCAAAGAAGGAAAGATTATAGGCAGTATCACCTTGCTGTTTTGTAAGATCAAATTTCGAATATGATCATTGTTCCACAGAAACAGTGCTCGTTCAGCCACCTGCCAACAGAATAAAGATATCATCAAACCTAATTCACTAAATCATATCTAAATTTTAATTTGAACACCTACTTTCATAGTGCACTTAAGCTGTGTTTCATTGTTTCTTTTTAATCTTTGAGACTAAATCCAGATGATAAAACTACAGTATCCATTCATAGTAATGCAGCTCGTAATGCAGAATCCAAAAACCTACAATTTACAGTTGTCCCAAATACAAGTTTTAACATAAAAGACAATCATATATAATATATTGCTGCAACATAAGTTCAACTTTCAAGGAAAATTCAATAATCACTTCATATGAGATTATGAATCAATATCAAATTTCTGGGATTTAAGATAATCCTGTTGTTGTCCCAAAAACAACATTTAGGGTATGTTCAGACAAACTTTTCCATAAGTACCTTTAAGAAAGAAAAATAAGAAAAAAATGAAATGAATTTCTCCAAATTTTTAATTTTAACTTATGCATAAGCTAATTTTAACTTATGGAGAAGCTCAATCATTTTTTTTCTTATTTTCTCTTTTAGAATTCATATGAAATTGAATAATAATTCTATAAGGAATTTTTAACCAATATCAAAATTTCTGAGATTTAAACTGTTATTTCTTAGAACCATAAAATAATAAGATATTCCCGAAACGATCATGAAAAGAAGAAGGGGTATCAAGTCAAATACTATCCCCCCAAAATACAGAGATGTGGCGTTGTTGGCGAATCTAATAAAATGAATGCAGAATTCATATAAGAAAAGAATGATGGAATTTCATAAGCACCTGAAAGTGTAAGCTATTAAGGCATCTACCAATTCGACGAAATAATGGGATCACACATCTCTGGAATTCTGCTGCTTGAGTTGCCTCTAAAACTTCCTCCAACTCACCTAGAAACATTACCTCCTTTGCACTATTAGTTATCGGCCAATATTTCAAAAGGCCTCTAACCACAATATCAGCTAGCTTGACATCCTTCTCAACAAACTGAGTAATACAATAAGAAAGCTGTTGATGATAAAGAGAAACGCACTTAGGCTTGTGAAGTGGAATCAGTGCACGGACCAGAAACAACTTATGCTCTTCCTTTAAAGGCAAAGCAAAACCATTAATTATGCTGCCCAATATTTCAAGCAACTCTGCAATCCCACTGTGTTTCTCTGTCTCAAATATGAACCGGTAAAAGATATTGTTGATAGCTTTTCTGATGAATGGCCGATGCACCATGAACTTCCCATAAATACGGTGGAGAATAGTCTTCAGGTAATCCCTCTCTCTTTGGTCTTCTGAATCAAAAAGGTCTAGCAACCTCAACACAAACGAATGATCAATGTATCTTTTTGCAAGCTTAGCATCTGTCTCAGGTGAAGCCACAAATCTAAAGAGAAATTCATAGACAATCTGCAAATGAGGCCACGCCGGTTCCAAAACAGGTTCCTCTTCATCTGGCTCACTAATATCTGTCAACTTCCCATCATGATTGGAAGAAGGTAAAGCACGGAACAAATTGGTCGCTACCATCTTCGTCATCTCCTGCATCGCTAACTCGTTAAACTTTGAATTCACAGATGAAACGTAATCAACTAGCTCAAGTAGAGTTTGCCTCTTAACGTCCTTCTCTTTGAGATGCTTGGCAGGATCATTAAAATCAAACACAACACAGCACATATTCAATTTTCTAATAAAAAGATTATGCTTCTCCGAGCTAGGAACATCCCTAAAAGTAGGCAAAGCATCATAAACTGTAGAAGTCATTATCAAACCCGATGCAGGAGCTGATTTCTTAGCTTGATTTGTATAGTGTTGAGCAATAGTCTCATTCCCAGAACGAGACCCAACTGAACCAGAACTCGAAGATTTTGAAGAAAATGAATTGGATTTCAAGAGGGTATTAGAAGATAAGTTCAGTGAGAAGCCATCATTGAACCCTCCTTCACCGTTTGAATTGCTGTGAGACGATTTTGAGGGTTTGCGAGGTATTTTACCGAATATCTGTTTAATCATATCTAGAGCCCCCCAAAACCAAAAAAATCCAACCCCAAGTTTCTACAAACAAATCAAACTTTCACAATCTCTATCAATAACATGAAAACAACTAATGAAACACGCGGGAGGGTACGATTTAGGCACACCCAAATACCCTAATCAGAAACCCATACCTTAAAAAATATTGTGAAAATTGTACTCATAAATTCACGGATTACGGGTGAATGCGCTAGGACCTGAATATATTGACGGGATGAAGAAGTGAAAAGCACTTACATTGAGAAAAAGAGTGAGAAGATGGCAGAAGAAGGGAAGAAAAATAGAGAATGCAAGAAAATTAGAGCGAGTGAAGTTATAAGAAGGAAATTGGTCCCAGAATGAGCCCTAGTGGGAGAAACATGATGATGTGGCCCAAATTTTATATTTGAATTTTATTATTTTTTTTTATAATTTGAGTAGCAATTAAACATGTGTAGTCTAGCGTCTCTGAGTGAATATTTATTCTTATATGAACATATTTTTATATAATTAAAATTAAAAATTATAAAGTAATTATATAGTGTTATATTTTAAAATTATCAAATTAAATAATTATTTTGAAGAATTAGATATTATTTTTTTAATTATTTTTATCAAATCAATTCTTAAAATTTGGAATTTAAAATAATAAAAAACGTAAAACTTTGTGAAATAGATTTAAATCGTATCATTTTATTCCGTGTATGTTTTGATTTGGGAGTTAAGTAATTTACAAATTAGTTTATATTAAAAGTGTTTTTTATGAATTTTTTTGGAATTTTTTTTTATTTTTTTTATTTGATTAGTCAATACAAACGGTAAAGAAAAAATAACAACCAATATTAAAAAGACATAAAAATTCATATATATATATATATATACATGATTTTATTTTTAAATATAAAAATATATTTTAAATTTTCATATTTTAATAATTAAAACAAAAAACCATATATATATATATATATGAAATTAAAATAAAAATTCCAAGATAATATAAATGATAGAAGAATTATATTAAGAATAAAAGCAAAAAAATAAAACATATATGACATAATTATAAATATTTAATATAGAATAATGTCTTCCAGTTTCAAATGTTACCATTTTTAAAATAAGCTCATTTAATTAAAAAATATTACCGTCCATTCCACAATATCCTTATTCTTCATAAATTACACATGCATACTTAACCACTTCATTTTAAAAATTATAAAATATGGATTTGGACAGTATAATAACTATTTCTGGTAAATTTATTTATTTTTGTTTTCTTATAGTTCCGCTTTTTACAATGAAATTTATAACACCAGTAATTAGATGATTATAAAATTTAAAAGTTAAGATGCAAAAATTAAAAATTTTCAAATGTTGTCTAAATTCACTAAACTTATTTGTTGAATTCTTTTGTTTATAATACTAACCATTATTTTTTTAATAATCAAGTTTTAATTCCTTTAATAATTTAATTCCTCCATAATCATATAATAAGATCTTAAAATCCAACCTTAATAATATCAATAAAAACAGCTAAATCAAAATATTTTTATAAATAATTTTTATTAAAAATTCCATTTTAAAATATAATTAAACAAATTAATTCCCAATTAGTCTTAAAATCATTAATTAATCAAGTTATGACATTCAAGTCTAATTTCATGAAGATAAAAATGAAAAAATTTAGACTGTATAAAGGACAACAAGGTTTAAATAATGTTACTTTAAATTTACAATAACTTAAACATAAACTTTGACTAGATACTTTTAGATTTTAGAATTCATAATCATTTAAACTTTTATTTATTTTCATTTTATTTGTTGTGGATTTTGAGCTGGTTTCATATATTAATTGGATGTTAAATAAGAGTAACATGTACATAAAGCCATAGGCACAACAGGCCTTGATTCATGCACTAAAGAGAGTGGTAGCAGACAAAGGTCAAGAACCATTGGTTAGTCCATTTATTTCCAGTTCGATCAAGTCCTGGATCGCGGTAAATAACATGACTCAAGTATTTTATTTGAAGTAGTGTCTGTTGGTCCACACATATCTACATATGTTTTGTGCGTTTTCATATCATCCTTAGTAATGAATCAAATCTACTTTTACAAGTAACTTAACAGTAAAAAAAGCAAATCACCTTCCTTCTAAATTGTTAACAAGCAATCAGGACTATAAAATGTCCAAATTTATTAAAGACAGCATTACAACTGAGATCATTGCTACACCAGGATGGCACTTAACTAGTTCACATGAAAACTACACCCTAAGCAAGTTAACAGGCGCAGGATAATTAGATAGCAGATACTGAAGATTTAACACCGATTTTGAAGGGAAAGATGATGCAAGTCAACAACTTGTCCTGATGATCCTTAAATGTCAGCTTCACATTATAGGTGCCCTACATAAGTAGCAAGATTAAAATAAAGTAGGAAATGAACAAAATAAGTCAAAAGTTCATGGGAATAAGTTGTGAATGACAAATATGTTGAAGACCAAATCAAGAACAATCTGATGAATGAAGGAATAACATACATCATAATAACATGCCGTCAACAAGGAAAAACTGATCTAATAGTTATTTGGAGTAAATAGTAGCACATTAAAGTGCATGAGTTATACAGCTACTTACTACCATCATTCACATCACAATAGGATTTGCTTTTAATAGCTAATAACCTAAAAGGAAAAGTAGCAGCTTGGATTTGCAAATGCCAATAGTGCCATAATGTGTAAAGGAACTGATACCTTTGGAAAGGTCTCATGCGTGTGTCAAGCAGACAAAATTTTTATTTTAATGATAAAATGACGTTATCAGATTGGCCACAGCATTGTGAATAGTATATACGTGTGTGCATGTATATTGGGGAGACTAACCGGTGGGGTAACTGGAGGCAATAATTCGGTGTGAACGAGTAGAAAGTTGCCTGCAGGCACCGGACAGGGTGTTTCCTCACAGAGATCATGGAGAAATGTAGCAGGTGGCCCTCCTACTCCAGCATATGAAATTTCATATATTAAGTCCCCGCTTGTAATTGGTTCAGCTGCATGATTAACAGGTACAATCTCCACTCAATAATAATGAAAGTTAATAGGTAAAACTTCAAAAATGATGCTTTGTAGAAAAAATGTTATGAACAACATTCCTTCCAAGTTTGCCCTTTCTTCCTCTTGTGATATTACAAAAACCATACTAAAGCTTGTACGACATGACTTGTTTACGAATTACAAGTTCATTGCGCACAGTTTTTATGTTAAGCAACTCATATAAACATAATGCATTAAAAGAATAACATAAGAAGACAAAGCCAAAAGATTATAGAAATTGAGGGAAAAATCAAGAGAAGCATCAGCACTCACGCGTATAAGCTGGGATCTTGAAGGTGAATGGAACTCCTCTTTCGACAGGGTCAGGTAATATTTCCACCCCACTCACCTTTACAGCATAGTCTTCATTGGTATCTGCATAGCATAATTCAGATTAAGGGAGAGAGCTAACACACCAATAGATACAAGCACCAAAAACCACTAACCACACAGGTAGCTTAGGATTTGACATTGAATACAGAAAAAGTTTCTTAGAAAAATCTGCTAAACCAGAATCAGAAACAGAAAAAAAAAAAAAAAGAAAAGGGAGAGAGAGAGAGAGAGATATTTTTTATCATTACACTGTTATATTTTTCAAATACCACTGTTGAAACAATAGGAAATTATTCAAATTGCCTTTTCATTTTTGCTCAACTCACGTATTCCGTTTCTGAGTGAAAAAAAAAGGTTTGAATTTCAAATTCATTCATCCGATTGTATCACGCGATGCGCTCATGACAACTTTTTCATTTCCCTAAGTTATTTGAAAATAAAAATAAACTTAAAGTAAGATTCCATTGGGTCCTCTATTTGATTTGCCAGGGTAGTGCGGTTTTCGTTAACAAGAAATAAAAAATAGTTGCTGAACCCATTACAGTCCACACAGAGTGGAAACTCGTAAATGAAGCTCTCCCTCATAACTAAGATGAATGAAACAAAAAGTGAACTGAAAGTTAGATTAGAAAATTACCACAGTAGTTGAAAGAGGGGTGTGGAGCATGAAATCGTGCTTGAGCATGAAAAGAAGAGAGCGTGAAAGTGACTAATGCCAGGCAAAAAGAGAAGTTGAGAGCGGAAGAAGAGTGAGTTGCCATGGTTATGGAAGTAGCAGGAATTGGAGTTGGCCATTATATTATATACACAAAATAATAACAATATAATAATAACAAAGCGTGCACCGCGTGCAATGCACCAGAGGTTATATATTAATACTTAATATTGTCATCACAGACTCCTAAAAGAGTAAGGTTTTCCTCATTCAAATTAATTAATATTTTAAACTTTATATGTTTATAATTATTCAAAAATTTTCTTAAAAAGGTAACTTAGCCCGACAAAATTATTTTATATTTGATGTCTCTCACTTCTAAAGGAATTTTTAGTAATTTCAAAATCGTTAATTCTGATATTAATTATCTTAAACATTCCTAATCTTGTGTACGTACGTTAGAATTAATCAATTTTCTACGGATTCTCTTTATTTATTATAATAAAATAAAACATCAAATAATTCAAATTAATCGAACCACAATAAACCTAAATAATTATTTTTATACTTTAAAATATAATTTATTTTTATATTTTAAGTATGATTTATTGTTAAATTAGTCCTTAAAATTATTTTAATAATAAAAGAGCCTTACGAAACTTAATAATAAAATGTAAAGAATAATAGAATGTAATTATAATTTTTTTACACACTCAGAAAATAAAGTAAATATTAATCATTTTAAGAAATAAATTTATACCCTCGCATATTTAAGAATTGATAATTTATTTCCCTTTAAAATAAAGCAAACTTATCAAATTACGTGTATTTTACAGATTCATCCTTACCAACTAAGAAATAAAATCAATATAAAATTCCAAGTAAGTGAATAAGTTTTAAAAACTTAAATTTGTAAAAAGAAAAAAAAAGAAAGTGTAAACAAATGTTCTGATCTATATCTTTTTTTTTTTAAAATAATCATTTTTCCAACTTTTCTACTAAAATTTTGTCGTTATTCCCAAAATTCATTTCAAATAATTTTCTATACAAAAATCTATAGAAAATTTCATACAAAATATAAATATTTCTAATGTATTATGTTTTGAAACAATTTAAAATTGTGTGTCTACAATAAATAAACATAGAGTTTTAACATAAAAGAGAACGGCTAGTTTTTTTCAGTATGTATAAATAAAGAGAGTAAATACACACCTTAAGAGATAATATGTAACACCTTCAACTAACCTTTTTTAATTATAAATTTTAAAAAATTACTGACGTGGTATCTCTACAACAAAATATATGAATAAATAAAGGATATCATTGAAACGTACGAATTTTCAAAAGTAATTGTGAATACAGGAAAAAAAAATCTTCTTGTCATGTAATCTCTTGAATTTTTAAATATTTAGAAAAAAATTAACTAATTTTCATATTTGTCTATATTAAACATTATATAAGTTAAAATATTAATTCACTGGTCTATTCTATGAATTTTCAACTAGACAGTAGTAGACACGTTTTTAATCATACTAATGGATATGAAATGCCACTGTTTTTCATTGAAAATTAAGAAAGTATTATTAAGTACAAAATATGGGTTTTATCAAATAATATATAAAAAAATAAAATAATATATTATTAATAAAATAAAATAAAAAATTAAAAAAATATGAAAAATAAGAGATTATTTTTATAAATATACAAATAAATATGAAGAACCAAAACTACAATAATAAAAACTTTTGTTTTTTCACAATTCTGAAAAAAATCTGCCATTGAGAATATAGGTAGGAAATGTCTATATATTTTTTAATCAAATAATTAAATATATAAACTTTAAAACTATATGATATTATTAGGTAACATAAATTTCATAAAATATTTGATCCATCTTTCTACTTTTTAATATATTTTTTAAAACTTTTATTTGGTTGAAATAGATTTTATTACCATGATGTCCAAATGGTGTGCAACTAGGAGCTTTTACGAATCTGGCTCCTGAGATCGCAAGAAGAAGAAGGAGTGTGCAGATTCCAATTCCCAAACAATGAACCCCAATCCAACACCCTCGCCATACATCAGGTTCTTTAACCTTTCATCTACATTTTCGCTTCACTATGGATACGTTTATCAGTACTGCATCGCTTAATTCCTCTACGTTAATTACGTGCTCATTGTAAATCTCGTTTGGATCTCCGTAGTTTTGACGCTACGTTCGATTCGATTCTTAATTGTACGTTATTGTTTACTATAACCGGTTTTGGTTTTGCGGATGTTGAACTATTGGCGAAACGTGACTTGGAGCGCAAGATTCCGACGCGGATGAATGATGAATGAATGCTTTAACTTCTCTCTTTTTCTTCTTTTTTTTCAGGAATGGTGGTGTTTAATGCGTAGTGGAAAATGCAACGTGCTCTCCTGACTGCTGAGGAACGTTTGTTGGAAAAAGCGGTGAAGGAAGAATGCCCATGGGAGAATCTTCCCAGGCGACTTCATTCAATTGTGCCTTCAAAGGAAGAATGGCACAAAAGGTTAGAATAGCTTCCATTTTGTCCTTTAAACGTTTATGTATTTACTTTAACATTTTTTATATTTATAATCATGATTTATTGTTTAATCTTATAGTTGGCATTCAGTACTCAATAGTTACCGCAGTTAGTTATTTCCGTTGATAAAGTGCTTGAGAAGATGCTTAGAAGAGCTTTAATGGAGTTTATTTCGACTTAATGAAATAGTTTAATTGCTTATGACTTTTATGAGTATATTTTTTGTTTATTTCAATAAGTTTCAGGTCGAAATTATGAAATAAGCTCTCATGTCCTGATTAAGAGTATAGACACTTAATTAACTTATTTGGCTAAATTGTACCAAAATTTATCATTTAACTCTACCACTGAACATTGCATTTCTATTTTTCTTTGAAAAATTGAAACTATTGGGTCTAAGGATGGAGAACCCCCATAACTTTGAGATAGCATTGCAGTTGGACACTTGGCATCTCTGCTGTGTTTGCTCTGCTCATTTCCGTTTGTTGGGCTGTTTTTTATTAGGGGTTCAAAGAGATTGGTGAGTTTTTCTGCACTTTTCTGTAACTCCTCTAATGATACGACTTTTTCCAAAGAAGTTTTATCTTGTTTTCTGTAAAACAAAATCAAACCAAGTTCGTAAGTTTTTAAGACGTCAAGATTTTTTTCGTCCACTACGTTTGTGTGTTTGTGAAGAGGTGAGATTGCCAACAAGTTCGTAAGTTTCATCAGTGAAATTGTGGTACTTGGACAGGACACATGTGAAGATTTCACGTGCTTGGTCTTTGCTTGAAAAAAGACCTCTTCTATTCTTGGTTGTAAGAAAACATCTTTTAACTTTTGAAGTAGAGTAAATTTTCTCAGGTATTAGGAAAGCTTTTGATTTTCAAAGGCCGTGGTAACTTTAACAAGGAAACCAATATTTATCGTCAGGAATGAGAGTCTTGTGATATTGGAGTCTGATTTGAGATCAGAACAACCTTGTGATTAAAACCTACCTAACTCTTAGTTCCTATTATTAATAAATTTTAAAATATTCTACAAATAATTCTTTTGGGCCTAATAGCAAGAATGAGTTGGCCGTATCAGAGATCAAATTATCATTTATGAGTTTTTATTTTCTATTTTCAAATTACGTTGTCATTAATCAAAATGTGATACTTTCCATTCATTTCAGGATTAGTGTCTTTATTTCTGGAATAATTTTTTCCAGAAAATACAATATTATAATTCTGCTTTCTCTAATGTTGACCATGTAAATTTTATGCAGGATAATCGAATATTGCATAAAGAAGAGACTTCAATGGAAAAATTGTTTTGCTCGTAAAGTTTGTAAAGAAAATGAATATTATGAAGATATGATGCGCTACTTGCAGAAGAATCTAGCTGTATGTGTCGTACAGAATGTCTGTTACTCTGCTTGATTTCACCAATTGAATTTTGAAATTGTGTATCAAATGCATTCTTACAAAACTTTATATGCATATACTTATCCACTGGATCATATTAAATAAATTTTGTGGAGAAAATTGAAGTTTATTATGTTTCAAAATTGAATTCTGATGTTGTAACTAAAAATAAGACACAATGTCCTCAGTTTTAGTACAAGGTTTTTAATAAATAATTTAATTATACTATTACCTTACGATTTGTGAAAGAATTGTTCATTTTCATACTCAACATTTACGAACTTATATCTAACATTTCCCTGATATTGGGCAGCACTCTCATGTTTTGTTTTTTGTCTTAGGAAATCTGCATTTAATGTGCATATTTTCACTTGCAGCTATTTCCTTATCATCTGGCGGACTATGTATGCCGTGTAATGAGAGTATCACCTTTCAGATATTACATTGATATGATTTTTGAAGTAATGAAAAATGGTAACTTTATTATTTGCTTGCAATTCCGACTAAATTAATTTCATGAATACTGTGGTTAACTCTTGCTATACATAGGAAAATTTTAAGATCTTTCCTTTCTTGATTGTTATTTACCAGTGGAAAGAAAAATGATGTGCTCACCAATAAAGAGTAGATAATTTTGCGGCATTGCTTTTGCACGAAATCTTTTAGTCAATCTACACTATCAATTATCTCATGTATTATACAATTACTTCTAAGTTATAGTAAAACGTGAGAAAATACAAATTAAAAAAAAAGGGGAACATAATGTTAAAAATTAAGAGAGGTGTGCATATTTTTCTTGGTAGTATACAAGAAAATACATATTAGAAATGAAAATATTTAAGAACATCCTTAGGAGTTATCTTTTAGAAATAAAATGTATTATTTTAATATAGATTCTACTAAGTAACTATAACCGAGGATCTATATTAAGATAATATATTTTATTTTTAGGAACTCTTAACTAGATGTCCTGATATTACAATGAGGTCATGCGTAGTTAATTGAAAGGAGTCTGAACTTTACATAAAATATTTTTAAATCTGAATCAAGAAGTGATAAAGACAGGAAATTCAAAGTTTAATATTCTAATAGTTGTTTTTCTTAGCTTAGTTTAATAGTTGCTAAACCATAGTCCAATTGATATTATTAATGTAATAATGACAATAAAAGGAATACATAAATAATATTAAAGAAACATGATATCATAGTTTTACAACATCAAAAACGAAAAATAAAGCACCAGTTTGTAGGTGTTTAACCATATAAGTACATACAAAAGTTGAAATTAAAACGTTATACTAAGTTTGAACTATATATCACAATGTCTATCAGAAATAACAATGATGTTAGGTTCACTATTTAAATCTTTTAAGGAAAAAAATGACATTGTATTAAGTTTTTTTACTAATCTATTGTTAGCTGATTTTTTGTCGGTTTTTAATGGTTTTTTGCTTGCCACTAATCCAATTCAATTTTGAAAAGTTACTCTTTAAAGGAGAGTAGAGAAAGCGTTTAAACTTCTTTGATATATTTTCTATTGTCATAATGATATCATAATAAAGGCATTAGTAAATCATGATGTATGTGCATGATGTCCAGAAATTTCATATTATACTTGCATTACTCTTGCTTGATAGTCTGAATTCTGAAGATAGATATGAGTAGTAGAAGTTTGTTTGGTGGAGCTGATCTTTAGAAGTTTGCTGCTTGCTTATTTGCAGAGCAACCTTATGACCGCATCCCGAATTTTAGTGCTGCAGATGCTTTAAGGCTAACAGGAATTGGGAGAAATGAATTTATTGATATAATGAACAAGTGCAGGTCTAAGGTACTACATAGATTTGCATGTACGTTATACTTAAATATATCTTTAATACTTTGGATAACAACTGCTGCATGTATTCTCTCTCTACGTGTAAAGGGCTATGTATAAAGGAACGTATCAAATGAGAAGAATTTTATAATGAGATTAGCGAATCCGAGGTATAAGATAAAATTATAAAGAATTAAAATGAAATTACAAATCTGTAGGACTATTTTTTCTGGCTGTGTCATCGTTAACCACTCCTCTCATTTGATATGTCATATATTTGAAAATATAAACTTCTGATAACCTTTATATAAGCTGATTTGGCCATGAAGTCAATGCCCAAACAAGACGATTAATTAGGTATTTCAGGTGGTTTTGATACTTTGCACAAAAGCAATCATTTAGGTTTTAGATGCTCGCAAGTCAGACATACGCATGCATTATTAATCTTTGTGACATTACTTAGGAAGGATAATCTATGATTCTTCTCTAAACCTTTTGTGGAATATAAAACCAGGGTAATTAGAGAAGCAGTAGAAAGAGAAGTAGAATTTGGAGAAAGAAGGAGAAAGGTGGTTTCTTTCTTGTCTGCAATTATACTTCTTTGACCAGACTTGCAGCAAGCATGATGAACCATCGTATCAATTTGTATCATCTTTGTGTTTGTTATTTACATATTTAAATTTGTGAGTTCATCGGTTTTACTGATTTTGTGTCGATGCTGATTTGAATTTGTACTATAGCCTAAATTATTTTTAGTTATGCCTTTATGATCAAAGGTAGGGGTGCAAATTTTTATGATTCATGTCACCAATCAATTGCTCTTTTGGGATATCCAGAAAATAATGTGGAAACTGAACAAGTCGATAGCAAAAGAACTTTTGCCTACTCAACCTGTGGATTTTCCTATTGAACCGTGGTGGGGAGTTTGTCTTGTGAACCTTACCTTGGAGGAATTTAAGGTGGGGTATGTCCTTCACCCTTATAAAACAGAGGAGCTTCACTTATTATGTTGTTAATTGATAATAAGAAATAACTTGGAATACTAATAATACACCTTTACACTCAAAGCGAAATCTCATGCTGTATAATAGAGATTGAACCCAAGTTTTGGCGGGGTTAATATGAAATTTTACCCAGTAATAAAGAAAGAATTGTATATATATTGCTTGTTTCACAGTATTACTCATTACTCTTTATCTTAATTTTTTATCGATTTATTCTTACCTTTTCTTCTACTTTATAGAAACTCTCAAAGGAGGAAATGGCCGCAATAGACAAAGTCTGTTTGGATGATGGAAATTCATTTGTCTCGTTTGACCCTGACGTTATAAGAGGTCTATCCAAACGGGGATTAATATATTTTGATGTTCCTGTTTATCCTGAGGACCGGTTTAAAGGTTTGTTCTATGGGTTTATGTTTTCTTATATTTTTTACTTGTTTTTCCTTTGTCGATGTCCTTTTGAACAACTGAGTTTATTTTTTAAGCTTCATAATTTGAATAAGGTAGTTCATCAGTTCCATTGGTGACTTTGGTCAAAATTGAGGTAAATGACCATATTGGTTACCACAAAATTCAAAAAGTAACACAGATTTGTTTATGGCAGCACGACTAAACTAGACCAAACCTATTGGAGGCGTAGTTTGATTTTTTTTTTAATTCAACGTGATCAATTTGATTTTTTCTTTAGTTTCATTTACAAAAATAGCATAGTGGTCCTTAAGGGTATGATTACATTGCATATTATGAGTTTAAGAGAAGTCAGAGGAAGAAGGCCTATGCTAGCTCTTAGCACTTTCTCTAGTTGGCAGTTTTCAAAACGGAAAGAATTTGGTTAAGAATCTTTCACAAATTTTCCTTTCCTGTTCTTAACTTTCACAGTTTCTTGATTTCTTTCTTCCTTTTTCCTTCTTGACTTTCAAGCACATCCTAAATGATGAAATACATCCAATGAAATTGAAACTCAACAGTCAACACATTTTGCCTCAGAGTAAATTTCATATAAATAACAATTGAACAAAAGTTCTAATTAAAATAGTCCAATATGTTAAAGTTTGATCCTCAGCCTCCAATATTTCAACTTGGAAAAAGACTTGTAGCAGAAAGTGGCTAGCATTAGCTAGTAAAAAAATAATGTAGAAAGTGGATCAATTTAATGTATGAACCGAAAAAATCCATTAGAAATTGAATTAAGCCATAGAAACAAAATACAAACTGAAATTAGTCCGGACTGAGCTGAGTATGTGATGATTTGTTGTGAAAAGTATGTGTCGCAACACAGAATTTCTAGCATACTCTCTAATTGCTATGACTAGTTCTCAAACTAATTACATTTAATTAAATACTATTTTATCTTCAATTGTTTACTTTGTGGATATTATTTGATATTACATGTTATGTTTTTCATTGATGTAAAATAATGCTCATATAAGTATCTATGGAAAACATAATACTCATAAACGGTTGTAGAGGACCGACCAATTCTGATGACAATTCCATGCATTTGATCTGTATTGACGCTGCATTAAGGACAAATAATTCCTGTTACTTACCTGATCGAGAAAGGGAAAACCGATGGTTTTTCTCAGTGAGAAGTTGAAAGATTAATTTCTCAAACTATGAAAACTATTTAAGAAACTGAAATCTCTCAAAATGGTTTCGTACACGCGGATATATAATAAAGAGCATTGAGCACTGATATATATATATATATATATATATATATATATATATATATATATAACTTTTCTATATAAATATTCTTAAATAATTTATATTATTATTATAATATTAAAAGAGGTTGTTGATAGATGTTTAATTTTAAAAAAATAGTCAATTTTTTTATAATAAAATCTCTTATAGCATATATTAATATTTAAAAGAGAAAGTTATCAGAATAATTTTATCTTATATTAATTAAAACCTATCTAATTTATTATTTCCATTCTGTTTTCACACACTCCAGGCAAGTCAGCCAAACTTAGGCCTTCAAAATTGTGTCCCATCCTAAGGCCCGCGTTTTTTCCGTTTTATTTTTCAAAGAAAATATTTATTTAAAATTTTAAGATATATTTTTTTTTTTTAATTTCCTAAACAAAAAATCACTTTAATATTTTTTTATTAATTTGGATATATAATATCCTTCTTAAAAAAACTGTGAAAAGTTGCACCTGTTCTTTAAGTGAATGATGGAATCTTATATTCATCAGGATTGATTAAATGAAAATAACAATACAGCTACAAAAGGATAAATAAAATAAAGTTATATATATATAATATGATCATGATATGTAATTGAATTTTATCCCTACTGTCAGACAATTGAACTAGGTAGATGCAGTTCTAAGTCGAAGGGTGGGTGATTAAATTTTAAAGGAACTTTCATGCTTGAATTTAATACCAAAATAAATCTTTTGAACGGTAAAGATTTTCTGCAGTGACGATATGTAATACAGTACGTTATTTTCAAAAGCTGTATCTTATAAATATGATTTAATGTTTATATTTATGATGGTTCAGTTTCAAGACTTGAAGGTTTTGTTTCCAACAGGGAGCAATCTTATGAAGATCCTATTGAAGAGTAAAGTAGTTTTTTCAGTCTGTGTTTCCATTATTTTTGTTTGAAGAGCATATTTATTTCCATATAGTTGGACTCTAATGCTAGAGTTCTTTTCTTTCAGGTTGTTGTATGCAGTTTTTGTAGTGTCAAATGAAAATGTGACAGTTAGGGAGTTGGCAACAACCCTACAGGCTGACTTGTCACAGCTGCAGGCTGCTGGTGCTTTTGTGTGTAGATTGGGGTGGGCAACAAAAGTTCTTGATCCAGAATCTATTATTGGAGATTCAACCATACTTGCATCTCCTATTAGTACACTTGGTGACGAAGATGCTTCTGCTGGTAGTCAAAGTTATGAGAATACGCTCTTCGAGAATGACTCCATTCAACAAGGGGATACCTCAACTTCAGGGAACCATGCACCTCGTTCTTCCTACACTCGTGTTGCTTTCATAGTTGATGCTAATATTACATCCTATCTTATGATGGGATCTGTTTCACCAGGTATGTATATACGACACTCCTTGATTCGTGAAGCTTAATGTTTAATTATTTTGATATAATTTTCTGATTTTTTTTTTTGTTATATTATTCACATTATCCATTTAGTTGTTCCCATTTCAAGTCTCAATTTCTATACCAGGAAATTATAAGTTTTCATCTACCCATAATTATGTAGCACCATAATAATGTTTATGTTGCGTTTTGATATTATAAAAATTCTTCTTAGTATTAGCGCTCGCCATAGTGACCAAAAACATTACTCTTACATATAAGGACTAAAACTTGTAGGTTTCTCATAGTTAAAAGACTTATCTAACTTATCTCAAGTAAAAATGGGGTTAAACAATTCCTTTTAAAATGATTGGTATAATTGTCTAATATACTTTAAGATTATTGTTTGAAAGAATTAGTTGTATCTGTCTTTGATGGGGTTGTTTATCTCCATTTTTACTTAAGTTATTCAAAGGCACACTTTGAATAAAATAGTTACAGGGACCAAGGGAAGAGTTTAACCTGTTTTTCTTTAAGTTATATTATTCTTGATGGCAATTTGGATGAAATGAATTCTGCTACTGAGTATGGCTTATGAGTTGGTTTATCGTCTCTCTTGTTATATGTCTCAGAAGTGGTTTGCACGTTTGACCAATAATACTTGTCGCTAAACTTGGCAGGCCTGAAATCCCATGCTGTTACACTTTATGAAGCGGGAAAATTGGGTCATGCGAGCATTGCTGATCTTTGTAAGGATCTTAGTACCCTGGAGGGTGCAACATATGAGGGAGAATTACAGGAGTTTGCAAATCATTTATTTAGTCTGCGTTGTGTCTTAGAATGTCTTCAATCAGGTGGAATAGCTACCAATGAAAAAGAAGAGGAAGGTTCTGATAACCTGAACATGATTACCTCAAGCAATGATGGGCCAAGTTCTGTGATAGCTGGAATTTCTTTGGATGAAAAATCAGGAGAGTCTAGTGTTTTAGAAACTGTGATGAGTAATCAGGATCTAATAAATTCTGTTTCAGAGAAGTTCGCGGAGGCTTCAAAGTACAGTGAACGTGTTCCAAGTACCAGTGGTGGGATGGACGATGAAACTCATTCCAACATTTTGGAGAAAGGCAGTGATGATCACATTCAGGAAGCTGACAAGTCAGACGCAAATTTCCATGACAATGAGAAACTGGCAGTGCTTGAAGGTTCAGATGTCAAGACAGAAATGCTGATAAGGAAAAAGGAGTATCGTGTGGACCTTCTCCGTTCTGAAAGTTTGGCTTCTCTTGCACCAACTACTCTTGACCGTTTGTTCCTTCGTGATTATGGTATACTTGTGTCCATAGTGCCTCTTCCCCATTCTTCAATTCTTCCTAAACCTACAGGTCCAGTTCATTTTGGTCCTCCCACATATTCTTCTATGAGTCCATGGATGAAATTGGTATTATATTCAACTGCAGGTAGTGGGCCTCTATCAGTTGTTCTTATGAAAGGACAATGTCTGCGCTTGCTTCCTGCTCCACTAACAGGTTGTGAGAAAGCCCTTATCTGGTCTTGGGATGGTTCCACAATAGGAGGTTTAGGAAGGAAGCTTGAAGGAAACTTGGTGAAGGGACGTATACTCTTGCATTGCTTAAATTCACTTCTTAAACATTCAGCTGTGCTTGTGCTGCCTCTCAGTAGATTTGATCTTGATCAATCTGGAAAACTTATTACTTTGGATGTCCCTTTGCCTTTCAAGAACGCTGATGGATCAATTGCCTCTGTAGGAAAAGAGTTAGGACTAGATGAAGAGGAAAATTCTAAGCTGCATTCTTTGTTGACTAATTTGGCAAACAAAATGGAACTGTGGACAGTTGGTTATGTTCGGCTATTGAAACTATTTAACGGAACAAAATCAGACCACTTCTCTTCCATAGAGAAATATGAATGGGTGCCATTGAGTGTGGAATTCGGGATTCCACTATACAGTCCAACGTTGTGCAAAAGTATCTGCGGAAGGATAGTTTCATCGAAGATGCTTCAATCTGGTTCATTCGGTGAACACCATGATGCAATGCAAAGCTTGAGGAAAAAGTTACATGACATTTGTGCTGAGTACAAATCAACAGGTCCAACTGCAAAGCTTCTTTACCAGAAAGAGCAAGATATTGGACAACCTATGAACCAAGCAAGGGCAACGTGGTATCCACTTATGGATATTTCTCCCGTTTCAGGGGTGGTATTAAGCGTGCGTCAGAGGTTAAAACTTGTTAACCAACAAAGCCGCCAAAATGAAGTGTTGTGTTGTGATGGCAGCGTCCTTAGGTTTGTTGCTGAATTCTTATTAATTCAATGCTTAAAGTTGCTTGATGTTTCCATTAGATGAGACTCTATTAGCAATGCTTTTTGTAACTTGATTGCCTAATCATCCCAAGTCTCAGAAAGTTTTTGTTCTTGCATGGTGAATGCAGATCATACGTATTAACTTCTGCTCATGAAGCTGCCACGAGACCGGTTAAAGAAACCCCTGAAGCCAATACGATAAAAACTGAAACAGAAGCAAATGATAGTAAAGAAGCAGTCCTTCCTGGTGTTAATCTTATTTTTGATGGTTCTAAGTTGCTTCCATTTGATGTAGGAGCTTGTCTTCAAGCTCGCCAACCTATAGCCTTAATAGTAGAAGCAGCTGCTGCCTCAGCATATGTACCATTCAAATAGAAATGCAGTCATTAATGATTATAGATTACTCCACCTCAAATCTTTGTTACACATGACTGGCAAGGCTTGCAAGCAACTCACGTTAAATTGTTAACGACACTGCCTTGTCTGTGTGCTTCTTAAAGATTGATGGTAATTGATGAGCGCGGACTTGGCCTAAAGGTTTTTAAGGTAAAATGTTCATTGCTTTTCTTGTAGTGCTTTGTGTTTTCCTTGTTCATTGACATGTCCATGGACTTTGTACGCATTACTACTCTAATAATGAATGTTGTTTGTATCTGTTCCAGATTTCGCTAGATCAAGAAATTCAGTATCAGTTGGAGCTGTGAAAAGAGGAAATTATGTTTAACAATGTATATATATGATAGGAATTTTTTTTTTCTAGTCACATGTAGTGAGAAGGTCATGAGCCCTTGGCTCAATCAAATTTGAGAAAAACGTAGCCGTTGGAAATTCGTTTTTACTTTCATCTTACATGATGTGAACTCATCAGTTGTCTTTTTTACTTCAATTGCTTCTTTGTTTATTACTCGTTTGTCGTCTCTACTGCCTTGTGTTTATTTTTTAAACAAATTAAGGGATACCAAATATCATCATAGAACACCACATCCACATGTAACGTATAAGGATAAATCGTGTATTCGTGTCGGCATAATAAATTTACTTTATATGGCAAGTCCTTCGATTGTAATATATGAAAATATCATATTTTATTTTTCAAAGTTAGTTGTTCCAAATAAAAACAGTGTAATGTAAAAAGTGAGAGCCTATTTTAACTTAATTTTTTTTTACAACTGAAACGATCAAACAAATGTATTATAATGTATAAAATCTATTTAATCATGTTATTTATCTTAATAAATGACAGGGACACAAGATGCTAATTTTTAGATTAAATATTTTTATATTGGAACTAAAACTAATATTTATTTATTTATTTTATAATAAAAAGCAGTGTATTCAAATTTAAAGACAATAAAATATGTAGAAAAAGTTCTATTGGGAGTAAAATTAGAACAAAATAGTTTTATAAGAACTAAAATATATTTAAGTATTTATTTGATAACAAATTAAGAAAAACTAACATTTATTAGTTTTATTTCCTTCCAAATCTAAATAAGTTAACATTCTTGACTATTAACCACTAAAATAAAATAAGTTAACATTCATATTTTGGATGTTTGCATTTGATTGTTATATCAGTCATATAAAACTGGTTGTAATCTTTTCAGATAATATTTTCCAAAACATACGCTAAAAATAGATTTTTTATAAAACTTAAAATGTATTTTTTTCCTAAAATATCTGAATGATGGATTTGGGTTCCCAACAGTCCACGCAAGAGATAAAGCGAAAAGGGTAAAACGGTGTCGTGTGCATGATTGTGAATTTCCGGGACAACTAAGGCCCTTTGTGTTGTGTATATATATATTGAACGTGGGACACAGTGAGTTAGAGAAAAGAAGCAACAGAAAGAAAAGAAGAGAACGGAATGGAAGGACAGAAAGAGAATCCCAATGGTAACGCCGCTGCTATGGTACACTCCTTCTGCGAAATCACTTCTTCTTCCAAAGAAGAAGCACTTTTCTTTCTCGAAAGCCACAATTTTGACCTAGATGCCGCTGTTTCCACCTTCCTCGATAATGCTCATAACCCTATAATCATCCCTCAAAACGACGACGTTGTTCCAAACCCCAACGCTGCCACCTCTTCCCCTCCCTCCGATTCTCACTCTCCAGATTTTTACCCTTCGCGCTCCCCATCTCAATCCCCGACTCCGTCACCGTCGCGCACGCCCTATGAGCTTCGATCGCGCAGGTCTCTTGGCAAGAAACCCTCCTCCAGCCGTCAAGACAAAATTCGAACCCTAGGTGATCTCAAACGCTCCTCCCGCGACTCTGATTCTGATTCCGATCCCGATTTCCAACCCGACGAGTACTACGCCGGCGGAGAAAAGAGGTGTTTTAAACAATTGTTTATTTTATTAATTGAAATGGTGAAATAATGAAATTTTGAGAGAATGGAATCTAATGTGGCATTTTCTTTAGAATTTTGAAATTTTCTTTATTTGATGTTATTTTCAGTGGGATGCTTGTTCGAGATCCTTCCAAAGGGAACAACAACAGTGTGGATGATATTTTTGAACAAGCTCGGAACGTTGCTGTTGATGCGCCTCCTGAGAACCCTGGAAACTCTTCACGGGCGAGAAGTTTCAGTGGCGCGGCGAGGTTGCTTTCCGGCGAGACTGTGCCGTCTGTTTCTCAGCGTGTAGAGGAAGTTACCCACACTGTTACATTTTGGAGGAATGGTTTCTCTGTCAATGATGGTCCTCTGAGGAGGCTGGATGATCCGCAAAATGCACCATTTCTCGAGGTAAATGACCCACTAAAGCTCTTGTTCATAGGCTTTATCCATGTCTTGTATGTTAATATGTATATCTTCAAAGGGTGCATGTGCATTTTGGTAAATGGTTTAACTAAGTACTTATTGAATAAGTGTTCATTGAGTAATTAAAATGAAAATAATGTTAATTTGTTTTCTTATAAATTGTAGTCTATTTTATTGACTGTTCTTAAGAGCTTATTGAAATAAGTTGATATGTTAAAAAAACACCTTGTTTACATCATATCATGTTATTTTTTGTAAGCTTTTTTCCTAGTACTTATACTGTATTTGGATAAACCTCTTCGTTAGCATTTATAAGGAAAAAAAAAGTTCAAATGAATTAAGGTTTCTCTTAAATTAGAATCTTCATATGCTGTTAGATTTCATAGAATTTAATTTGAAAAGTTAGATTTCATAGAATTCTTTTATTTAAATTTTCTGAAAACCGAGGTGCATATGCAGTGTTATTGCATAGCCGCTATAGCAGCACTATAGTACTGTTGCTTTGAAGAATTTCTCGGATCTGTGATAGCAACTTCGTATGCTGTTGTGGCTGCTATGGTTGGCATGTGTTCTGCACTCTGCATCCTCTTCTCATCACCATAGAGTCTATATTCAATGGAATGTTTTGAGTTAATTTTATGCCAATCTTTTTTTACATTTTATTGTAATTTACTTACAGCTGAATTTGTATATATCATATAGCTCAACAACTATGCAACGTCTTCTATTTACCTGCAACATGATCCGCTATCTGGAGTGGATTATTGGCTTTCAACCATTGTGCCTGCAACACTTTGCTTTCCATAAGTTTTCCTAGTCCGCAATTGATAACATTGCATAAGTTTATTTTAGCATACAGAGGACGAAATCAATTCATTTTGCATTTTTATTATCTTTTCCCATAATTCTATATAAAAAAGCTTACCATATAGAATCTCGTTCAATAGCTTAGGTTATGAAATGAGGTTAAATACGTGGTAATATAACTCTTTGTTGTGCAGTCTCTAAATCTATTGAAAGTTACTGCTTTCAACACTCGCAACTTGTGAAAGTTATCGTTGTCTTCTCATTGAAAATTATTGATGCTTATAATTTATTTACCTCAATACAGAGCATAAAAAAGTCTGTATGTCCCAAAGAGCTTGAACCAGCAGATCGAAGGACTGCTGTCCACGTCAACCTCACAAGGCGGGATGAAGACTACCCAGTATACCCTTGTCTATTTTTTTCTTTGGTTTGAATTTGTTAGGTATCCTATATATGTTTTTTTACCAATGTTTATGTGCAGGAGCCTGTGAAGCCACGCCATCTTCCTTTCCAGGGTGTTGGAAGAACCTTAGGAGGTACCAGCTCCAGCAGTGATGAGCCTATTCAAGTAACCGGTACTTCACCAATTACTGCTGCTCCATTGCCAACAATGGGGTTAGTTGTAGATGAGTCACAGCCAGTAACATCAATCCAGCTGAGGTTAGCGGATGGCACACGCATGGTTTCTCGCTTCAATCAACACCATACAATCAGAGATGTTCGAGCATTCATTGATGCATCAAGACCTGGGGGAGTAAGAAGTTATCAACTGCAGGCAATGGGTTTTCCTCCTAAACAACTTACTGATTGGGACCAGACAATAGACCAGGCTGGTATAGCCAATTCTGTTGTAATCCAAAAGTTGTAGCTCGTTTACCAGATTCTATTTCCATTCGACTTGAAATATTATTCTTATGTTTAAAAACATTGATTGATCTACTTATATGCCATTAGTGAATTTGATAAAATGTTCATTGGTAGAAACTATACTTCAAATTTGCTTTTATAATATAAGTATTGTTGATAACTTCTTACTTTATCTGTAACTGTTCAGTAACAATCACCCCGTAATTTTAATTTCTGATTACCGGAACCCTCTACTTTTTTAGTGTTGAACTGTATTCACGGATTGTCCTTTGTGAACTAAGGAAATTCTATCACTACATACGGGATAATCACACGGCCACCAGTTACAATCATGTCATGGCTACGCCTGGTGAAAATTTGAGCGGGTGAGTTATTAATGTATTGATTTTTTTTTATATTTATTTCTTCAAAACAATTATTGCTTTGATAGTCCCAGAATTTAATGTGATTGCGAGTGAGCACTCAAAAATCTATATCATTTGTTCAGTTTTAAGTAAGTCTTTTACTTGTTAATTATTGCATTTAGTTGTCATATTATCTATATGGGATTCCCATTTAGAGTTTCTTTAGATGTGTGTTGGGTCCATCTTTGGTATTTTCTATATAGGATCTTGTTTCTTCGTAGTTGAGTAAACAAGTGTGAGATGTTTCAGTGGTGAATGAAAACCGTAGTTGATTTCCAAACATAATCGTGGAAGGTGGAAAACAACAGCTTGACTGACAGTTACAGATAAGGTGTATGCGAAAATCGGAGAGAGTGTCGCAAAAAAGCCTCCGATAGTGATGTGCAAACAGCTGTTATAGGTCCAGAAACAGGCGTGCCCTAGCTCCTTCCGCTGGATCACGTAAACTTCATCTTATCATTTTCCATTATTATTTTTTAAATAATTGCAAAGAGAATAGATAAATTTACGATGAGAATTGATACAATTGGAAGAGAGTAATAGAGTATATCCAATTAAGATCCTAACTTTGATACTTGGCTCATACTTGTATAGGAAAAAGTTGTTAGAGGAATACCTCATAATTGTTTGATAATCAATTTGAAGCGGGCAATACAAAGGCTTTGATTCCTTATTACGGTTTCTGCATTAAGAGTTACTGAATAAAAAAAGGAGAAGGCAGAGGAATGCACGATTGTGACGCTTCTTTCGTTGTCGTTAGGAGGATTTCGCAGTGCTTTCATTCAACTTCCGGTAAACTTCTCGTGTTTTTCACCAGCTTCATAATAGTCTTTGAATCTGCATGTAATAAATTTAATAAATAATGTTTGCTTTTGTTTTTAATCTTATGAAAATAGAAAGCTTTATGCAATATTATGTTAAGATGTAATTAAGAGGCTCAAATAAATATAATAAACGAAACAATGATAGAAGGAATATATTACTAAGAAGAGAAACGTTTAGGATATTAAATTGTTTGTAGTAAGAGGGGTAGCAATAGCAATCTCTGGGAAGGACCCAAGAGAACCCACAAAATGCATGAAACTTTTAAAAGGTAATATTCCCATGTCACCACCTTGTAAATCTTATTCTTCGTTATTGATTTAAGAATTTTAAATCAATATAATCCTTTGTACGATTCCCTTCCAACTTGGATGTCTTTTTCCAAATCTTAACTTTTTTAAGATAACATTATTAAAATACTTATTTTCGAATTTAGATTCCATTTTATTATGATTTTATATTTAATTTATATTAGATTTTATTGTGATTTTTTTTAAGTACTTATCCTCAAATAATGTAAGATTTTTTAATGTATTAAAAGGAGTCCATAATAAAGAACTAAAGGGTAAAAGTAGCATAAAATTCTCTTATTTTTATTTTCATACATACTATTAAATATTCCCATTGCAAATTACGAACCCAATCTGGTATTTTGATAACATTTTACTTTGAGCTTCTGCTCTTTTGATGACATTTTTTTGTTTAACTCTAACTCCATCCCTAACACACAAACGTTTTGATCATGCATGTATACAATTCGAAGGTTGCTCACTATCTTTGCTACATTATTTAGAAATTTATTGATTCAAAACAAACACTTTTATTAATTTATTTATTTAGGTAAACCTATTTATCTCTTCTCACTTTTTTTTTTCTCTTTTCTCATTTATTCTATATTTTTCTCTTTCCTATCTTATGTCTCTTCTTTTTCTCTCTTCTCTCACTTGTTCTTCTAATTAAAAATATATGAAAATAATTTTTTTAAAATCAACAAGAAAACTAAAAAAAAATATTAATTCATTATTTGAAACTATGATAATAATAAATAATTTTATTTTTTTACAGTAAATAATTAATTTTAAATTCTTTTATTAAAATAAATAATTACTCATCTAATTAAAAAATAAAAAATATTTATAATTTAAATTTATTTTTATTTAATAATTTAATCTAGATATAATTAAATTGAGTTCCAATGATTAGTTATATTAGGTCATTTTAAAAAAAATATTTATTAAAAAATTACTTTAAAATAAATGTTAATTTTTTCTAAAAATTTACAATATAATAATAATATTTGTAATATTTTATATTTATCATATAATATTTTTTAAATATAATATATTAAATTATAATATTTTTGAATCATTTAAATATTTTTATTTTTCAATAACAATAAATGAGTCACGTTATTAAATTTTAATCTATTATTTTTAATTAAAATTTAAGACAGAACGAGAGAAGAATAAGAGAGGAGAAAAATAAAATATTAAAAAGAGAAAAAAGAATAGCAAAAAATATATAAAGAAGAAAAAGATTAGAAAATAAATGAAGAAAGGGAGAAAAATAATTATATTATGTCAGATGAATTTATTTCTTCTTATTGAAAGTATGAATAGTAGATAAAATAAATTCATCTTATTGAAAGTATGAATAGTAGATAAAACTAGTTAGATAAATAAACTTATATTTTATTTAAATATTTTTCATTTTAATATATTATTTATGGGATTAATTCAGTAAAATAGATTATTTGATGTGATATTTCAGTTTAGAAATAAATGAATCTTAAGAATAAAATATTTTAAACTAAAAATTACTCAAATAAAATTCATATGAATTAATTTATCTAAATAGACTTATTTATATAATTCGTGTGTAGTTTTTGTTTTTGTTCTTTTTTTCTCGTATTTTTTTTCTCTTTCTATTTTAAGTATTTTATTTTTTTCTCTCCTCTCTTTCGTTGATTCTTCTAATTAAATTACTGTATTATAAATTAATTAAAATATGTTTAAAATAAATATTTTAAAAATAACATTAAAAATAAAAATTATTAAAAAATTATTTAAAATTATGATAGTAATAAATAATTTTATTTATTTTGACAATCAATAATTTCATTAATTATAACATAAATATTAATTTAAAATTATTTTATTATAATAAATAATTATTTATCTAATTAAAAATATTAAATATTTATAAGTTAAATGTATATTATTATAATTATATTGAATTATGATAATTAATTGAATTAAGTAATTTTAAAAAGATTTTTGTTAAAAAATAATTTAAAATAAATATTTAATTTTTTTAATAATTATACCATAACAATAATATTTATAATATCTCAAATTTATCATATAATATTTTTAAATATATATATATATATATATATATATATATATATATTAAATTATAGTATTTTTGGATTATTTAAATATTTTTATTTTTTAATTATAATAAACGACTCACATTATGAAATTTTAATTTATTATTTTTAATTAAAAAATAAGATGAAGTAAAAGAATAATTAAATAAAAAATAAAAAAAATAATTATATTAGATTAGATTTATTTATTTATTTTCCCTCAATTTTACATTTGAATAATAAATAATCTAATTAGATAAAGGAAAAAACTATTTTAACATTGAATCCAACAAATATTTAATATACAACTGATTATAATATTGTAATAATAATTTTAAATTATCTTCTCATTATTATATTAATATATTATATTAACATATTATATTAATAAAAATGGATTGTACGGAATGCTTGGGATGATTGTGTTAGGAGGATGCATCACCGTTTCTTTAGTAAGATTTTATTTAAGTAATTTTAGTAAGATTTTATTTAAATAATTTTTTAAAATATATTATTTATGATATTGATTAATTTAAATAATTTAGAGATTATTTTATTTAATGAATTTATAATTTATTTTTAAATTTAGAATTTTATTTATATACGTATCCGCTAAACTTTTCATTAATTATATAATATTAAATAGAGATATTTTTTATTATATTTATATATATATATATATATAGATATAATAGTAATGTATAAAATAAATATATTTTATTATTTAAAAAATGATCTCATTAAAACATTAAATAACATTAAAATAAATATAATTTATTATTTAAAATATCTTGATAAAAAATATATTAAAAAAATATGATAGTCTTACTTTTTATATCTTTTAAAAAATGACTATTGTTATTATATACATATTGTTATATGAATTTAAATATAATATTTTTTATTATTTTTATACATATTTAATTATGCTAGTTTAAATATAAATAATTTATAAAATATTCTAATTATCCCATATTAAGTATTTTTAATAAATTAACAATAATATAAAGATTTTTTAAAATAAAACATAAATCAATCACATTATTTTTAATCTAAAATGCAAGACGTAAGATATTAGGTTATGTTTTTCCTCCCGTATAAATTATTTTAACTTTCTTAATTTTTATTCAACATGAATTTTAAACTTGAATTCTGACTTGTATATAAGATCTCATGGTTAATATTTGTAAAAGTTATATGACCATATGCATTTTTTTGACATTAAATTCTGGAATATTATTATAGTACAGTTAAGAGACATCCACACAGACATAAACAATGTTGTTTACGATAATCTATTCGCAAAAGAAACATGAATATGTTTGATGTTTTGTTAAGGAATTAAATGATGAGAAGTATAAGATTTTGTGAAAGGATATCCCATCCAATGTATGTGTTGTGTTGGAAGGGAATTATAGAATGAGATTTGCTCGCAGTGGTGGATAAGTTCACCATTCATTATGCCTCATTCTCTGGACCACATCCCTTCGTAAAGAGTTTCATAATTTCATATATCAACCAAATATTTAATCTAAAAACATTTCCTAATAATTACAAATCATTAGTCCATAGACAGATTTAACTAGTTCAAGTTTGTGTTTTTGAAAATTATATTGTTCGAATTGATCGATTACATACATCAAGTTTTTTATTAACCATTTATTTTGCATTTTGGCGAGCAAATAAAAAATAAGATTGCAATTTATATTTCCTTTCTTCTTTTATTTTTCTTCTAACCAACAGCCTTATTTTTCACCATTTTCTACTCTTTTTGGACTTATTTCTATAACCTATTTCAATTGCATCAAACAAATAGTTAAATCTAAAAATATAAATTATAATTTCATACACTTTTTTATTTTTAATTTTGTTGATCACTTTATCAATTTAATTTTATTTTAATTAATGTTATAATCAAGTCTATAATATAAAATCTTATGTGATACAAATTAAAATTAAATAATTATTCTACTCAATGCTTTATTTAGCATAGATGAAAAAAAGAGAGCATAGATTGATTGAAAATAATAAATGAAAAATAATATGATTTTATTTTTTTATATTAATTTTATTATTAATAATTAAAAAACAAAAATAATTGTATTTTATTAATATATATATATATATATGTATATATATATATATATATATATATATATATATAAAAAAATCTACGCAGAAAAGGTGGAAAAATAATTGAGAATGAATACGTTGTCCTCTAGGTTATTATTGTTATCATAATGTTCATCTTGAGTGTGCGTGACAAATTTTATTTTATTATTTTATCCTTATCAATCATAATTTTTTTTTCCTTTTTGTTTCGTTTCTTTAATTTTTTAATATTAGTAGTTGGAGTAGATTTTGCGTTGTGATTTAAAAACATTATTAAGGTTTTATATATAGCAAATAATAATATTATTATAGATAACAAGCGAAAAAAACATTAATAATCAATTATGAGTGACTTATAATACACTAAATGAACCATATAATCCATTACGTTGCACTTATATATATTATGTTAAAATTTTATATAAATTATAAATATAAAGTTCATCTTTTAAATTAATTTTATAATATTAAGATAAATATTTATTATTTTTTAATATAATACGAGAACTAATTATAAAAATATTTGAATAATTTTTAAGTTAATAACTTTTAGAATGTAATATTGATTATGAAACAATTATTAGACTCTTTATATTTTGATATGAAAGAATGTGTTAAAAATTTCATAATTATTATATATATATATATGATTAGTTTATAATATATAATTAAGATATATAATTAATTTATAACATATGATTAAGGTGTAAATTTTAAATTCATTTTCATAAGGTTGAATAATCACTTATTTATAACAAATAACGTTTGTTAGAATGTATTATTTATTATTGGATAATTTTTGGATTACACATTTTTTATGCGAGAAAATGTGGTGGATTTCTCTATATGATTAAATTATATATCTCTTAATTTTCAATGGAATCACTTGTTCTAAAAAGTAATATTTTTTAATTTAATATTTTTAGTAATAACTTACCTTAACTATTTAATTATAAAAAATAATGATAAAAAAAAGGTAAATCTTTTTTCTGTTAAGCAAGGAATCCTTTTCTATTTATCATTTATATCTTAACATTATATTGTTTTAGGAAGAAAAAGGAGGTTATTACATCTGTGTTATCACAGTAAAATTTTGTATGGTTAATTAATAAAAATGATATTACAGTAGTACTAGTAATTAAATGCAAAAGATTTAACATTAGAGGGATGAAGATGAGTGAAAAGAAAATGTGAAATTGTGAATGATTGGTGTAGGGTAAGGTAAGAAACGCAATGGTGAAAAACTGAAAGGAAGGGACGGAGGGAGTGTCCCACAAAGAGGGCAACATCTTATATAACATGGCCTTCTTTTGCTATGTCTACCTCTTCCAACCCACTTTTCTCCCTCTAAATTTGATTAGATTGACATGACCCCTCTGACATATGTGTGTCTCTGCATGGATTCCAATTTACAAAACGGTGTCGTCTTCCTCTCATTTTCCCACCATCCTATTCCTAGTGGCTAGCTAATATATACCAATTCCATCATACTAAAGCAAAAGTGGTGTCTGTGTGTTGTATCATTGTATGCTGTGAGTGTGGGAGAGAGATATGTTTCATAGATAAAAAAGGATCCAATATCTCCCCAGAGGAATATCACATGGCTGATAGGTGTCCATGGAATGGACGGTTGATGTTTGATTCCCTTCAATCACACCCACCACCTCTATCCCTACAATTCTTAAAGCCAAACCAAAGAGTATTATTATATTGTTCATTTCATCACCAAAACACCAACAGCTTTTTGCACCTTGTGTTATTCTTAACCACTATGTTTTGCTAGGCTTCCAATCAAACAATCTGTCCAAAAACGTGCACATCTCAATCTAACCTAGTACTTATTAAAGAATTCTAAGATGCTAACCAATTAATCCCTTTTTATCAAAAGTTATTTCTTAGTTTTCAAGAATGTTTTAAGACTTAAGCATGTCATATAATTAAGTTAATTAAGAAGTATAGCATATAAGTACGTAGTTGGTACTGCTCATTTGATTAGCATAGATTATGCATTATTCTGTGATTTAATTTGTGTGAATGAGTGAAGCACTTTTTCTCTCTCTCCTCCATTCCATGATGTGAGTGAGAGATAGCCAACAATATAGTACGCATAAACAGTGGTAGTGCATAGACCTAAGAGGGTGAGTTTCACATAGATACATCTTTCATTGGGAAGGAAAACTCTGAGTTAAGTTGCAGAGACACACGTTAACCCTGTGTGTAGCCTCTGTGTCTCCACCTGCATTTAACACACAGCACTGGTAGTGTTCGAGTTTATGTGTAAGAGATAGGGAGAGAGAATGAGATTAAGAAGCAACACTGTTGATGCACAGAAGGAGGAAGGTAGACTACACATTCCCAAGGGAGGACTCTGAATCTGAATCTGATTCCACTACCTTTTACAGGCTATAGAGCCAAGAGCCCAAAAATCCCTATTGTTCTGACTGACTAACCATTTAGGTTCTTTGGAGTTTTCTACAAAAAAAGAACTCAGATTTTTTAGCTCCATTTCCGGGAGTACACTCTGGACAATTATATGCAGTGCTCTTTTTGAGAAAACAGTGAGGTGGGGACTAGGAACAACTGATCCAAGCCAAAGAGGTAGAGCTAGATACAGCTAGTAGTATTACTATTACTATTATATATAGTATGTAAATAAAAATAAACTCATTTTATATGTGCCATGTGATTGGTTTCACATAGAGAGAGAAACGGAAAGAGGTCTTCATTCCTATCAAGGGTTTAACACAACTTACTTTGAAACTATGATAGGGTTTGGAGGGAACAGTTGCAGTGAGCTTTCTGAGATGGACATGATGAACATGGAAACTAATAGGAAGTTTCTTTCTCTGCCTCTCAGTAACAACTCTGGTGCTCAAATGCGCAGTGATAGAAGAGTACCTGTCGCTACCAACAGCATCCCTCAGGATCATCACTACACCCACCACAACACCACCGACACTTGCAGTGTGAGGGATAAAATCATGGCACATCCACTTTTTCCTCGTCTATTGTCGTCTTACCTCAATTGCCTAAAGGTGATGAATTCTATATTGTTCTTACTTGCTACATATTGACATAAGTACACCCATCTTTCCCTTTCTTCTCAACACAATTTGTCCGTATATGTATATAATCATGCACTCTTATAATTAAGTTGTAAACTAAAATTGCACTCACATCTATTTCTCTTTCATGGGTTTTATGAGGATCCAAACCTTCTATTGTGATTTTTCTTTGCAAGATTTTTTTATTTTATTTTCATGTTTTGCTTGTTTTGATGGCGTGAGTGGAGTGTTTACAGGTTGGAGCACCTCCTGAAGTGGTGGCTAGCTTGGAGGAGTCATGTGCCAAATGTGAATCCATCAATGCATCAGCAGGAAGGACTGGAAGTGGTTCAATAGGTGAAGATCCAGCACTGGATCAGTTCATGGAGGCCTACTGTGAGATGCTCATAAAGTATGAGCAAGAGCTAACGAAACCCTTTAAAGAAGCCATGCTTTTTTTCTCAAGAATTGAATGTCAGCTCAAAGCCCTAGCAGTTTCATCAGATTTTGGTGATTACCCTTACATAATTGTTTGTTCCTACAAATAAGTACTGTGGAGCAATTATGGACGATTTCTTGTTTGGTGAAGTGGGTACTGGTGGTGAGCTAGTGTGTTAGTGCGAGAGAGGACTGAATTAGTAAACCATTCTTTGTGTCAAGAGAAAAGAAAAAATGAATAATTTATAGCAGCACTGCCACGGATCGTTGTTTTAGTACTATGAAATTACTAGAACTCTCGAAATCTTTTAGTCAGAGTCTAAATTAGATGAGTGGTGAATCGTGGTTTAACTTGCTATCCTTAGACTAGTGGTAGTTTTATGTGTTTGAGCCTTTAAACCCTTGGTGGAAGAATGCTGCTAGCATCGAAGGAATCGATGACCTTGCAAGCAAGTTACTAGTCATAATTCTGATTCTCGCCAGCCATGTCTTTCAAAGCTTAATGTTGGTATTAAATATCAATATTAGTTGGTTGAGTAATCATAACCACACAGTTGATGGTGCAATTAATACCAATAAAAAATGGAAAACCACACCTGCGTCTACTGGATAAATTTGTTTTTAGTAAGACTGATGTGATGCCAAAAAATATATATATATATTTTTTATACTATCTTCTGAATTAGATGAAAAGAGATAGTCAAATGACCTTTCTCATCATAAATAATGTGATTAGTTAAAATAGAACTTGATTAAAAATCTTTTACAGTATTTTTAAGATTGTTAACAATAATGGGTCCAGGGTGTTTCAATTAGGTCAAAAAGTTTGAAAACGATTATGAGTCTAAATTATTGCCTGAGGGGAAATCAAGAAAAATGAGACTTTGTTTTATTATTCTAATGATGAAAAGTTTATTCAAACCCCAATGCTGCTTAATTAAAGATTGATAGTATTTTTGGTTCTTGTGACCTTTGTGTCACACATTATTTCACACATACTCAGTGAGTTGTCACCTCTTCTTTTTTAATGTTCCTCTCCTCATTTAGATGCATGGCTCTCTCCGTCAAAGTCCCTTTAAGAACTTAGTAGAAAAGGGAAACTCCTTGTCTTATCTTCTGTGGCCGTATGTTTCCTTGTCAATTTGTTCCTTCTGTAGCTTAATTCTTAAAAACCAATGTAAATATTAAGTTTGCATGATTATCTTTTTATTTCCCTCCTTGGTATGTTCTCTAGTGTTACATTTTAAATCACCGATGAACCATATTTCTTATGTATTATAGCTTGTTTGAGTAAAGGTTGCATGTACTTTGAATCCTTTTATGATATGCAGTTAATTATGCATGGTTATTAAGGACTTATCAAAACTCAGTTATTTTCTATTGAATCTTCTCCTATTTAGTAATATAACACTAGTGTGTAGTAAAGTAAATATTCTTAGTCAAATTTAGTTTTATCATGTCTTTATCACTTCTTAGGTCAATGCTTATATTGGATAGTTCAGAAAAAAAAAATATATATATATATATATATATATATACTAATGCTCTTAATACTTTATAAAATAGTATTTATTAAATGAGTAATAAATATATTTAATGTCTTAGATATATAAAATAAAATGATAACTGTCTTTTTATCCAGCTTGGGGATTGGTAAGAAGATTGAGAATTATTTGATGTAATACTCTTAATTAATATTTCTGAGTTACACGTCAGTAATTATGAGTTCCATGTAATTTCTTAATGTCGATATATTTTTCTGATAAACAATTTATTTGCATGAACTATTTTTACTGTTAGTTCTTAATTTTTCTTCCATTTTGTTCTGGCATTTTGAAATTAAGGTCAAAGTGAATCATCATCACAGAATGAGGTTGATGTGCTTGAAAACAACCTAGATTCTCAAGCTGAAGACCGGGAACTGAAAGTGCAACTTCTGCGTAAGTATAGTGGATATCTAGGGAGCCTGAAGAAGGAATTTTTGAAGAAGAAAAAGAATGGAAAGTTGCCAAAGGAAGCTCGGCAACAACTGCTTGACTGGTGGAACCGACATTACAAGTGGCCCTACCCTTCGGTAACTAGGCTCTGCATCCTTTATAAACCATATACCTGCAACACTGTTCTAGACAAACTAATAATCATTGATTGAAAGTCACCCATTTATCAATTATTTATATGGTTGTATTTTTCAACAAATTTTAATCTACAGTAGAAAGTGCAAGTTTTTTACAAGGAATATGAGTGATGCTAAGATTGCTTTGTTCCCTTTATATTTTCACCAAAATGCAGACATATTTGTTGGTGCTATAGCTTTTGGTGTTGAGTAGAAAACAATGTTGTTATGTTGGTCTAAGCAGCCAGTTGTGCATTATTTCATGGTTTATTAATACCAATATATATTCGATGACTAATGTTATGATAATGGTGAATGTGATGGGATGAATATGTAGGAATCCCAAAAGCAAGCACTGGCAGAATCCACTGGCCTAGATCTGAAACAGATCAACAACTGGTTCATCAATCAGAGAAAACGTCATTGGAAGCCTTCTGAGGATATGCAGTTTGCCGTGATGGATGCAACTAACTACTACATGGAAAATGTTATGTGCAAGCCATTTCCCATGGATGGCATGCCCATGCTTCTTTAACACAATCCTCTTCTATAACATTCAATAGTTGAAAACCCTATCTATTAAGTTGTCTAGGTCTCCAAGTTGCTATGAATATGTCATTGATGCTTGTTTTACCTTAATTGTAGAAAGCAGGATGAAAAATCTACGTTATAACTGAACTGCAAGCTATATATGTAAGTGTGCATGACTAACTATATGCTCTATTATCTGCACTGTTTGTGGAGATCATTAGAGATTTCGTGTTTGTGTTATTTCCTAATTTAATGAAAAATATATTTTGTTTTCATACGTATATGCATCAATAAATGTACAACCTGAAAGAAACCAAAAGCGCATTATTATCATCATCGAAGCAAAGTCTGAGTATGTTATTTTTTAACATGTTGTCGTAGATATATATTCATGTTTCTGACACACTTATGTTAAGCAAACACTAAAAACAATAATGAACACTTTAGGTGTTCTTGTTGAATAGTTGCCATAAAATTTCTGGATACATACGCATGGTGTCTGTAACATGGTGGTGTGTGGGTCCTCATCTCTTGGCTGGTGTTGCCTCTTGCAACTAAGGTTTGTCATCCTTGATTTGACGATTGAGTGTGGTTTGTTGCTTGCAATAAGGAAAAAGATATTTGGACACTCAACATGTGTCTGCATCTAAAGAGAAATAGGAATAGATGTATTAACAATTAATATAAGTTGTCATCGCCCTTAATGCAATATATGATCCTTTCACATGTTTGTGCTTTTTGGATTGATATTATATATGCCGGTGTTTCTCATGTTTATGCTTATATGATTGATTCAATCTAAGAATACAAGTTCCCATTGTGCATGAATATAGTAGAATAGCTTATCAGGGTTCACATTTTAGTGTGCGAGGTGTTGATAGACAAGTTCGTACAAGCATAAAGTTTCACCAGTTTATACTCGTAATGTTCTAATTAGTAAGTAAGACTGCCTCAGATAAAGCCTGAGAACTCACCATAATAATATGAACAAAAAGTTTGGTATGTGTACTTTCATTCGTGAGCACATGCACAATACAAATTCTCTTTTTGTTTTCTTCACGTGAGTATTATTTAAAAGAAAGATTTTAATATTTTTACGAGAATGGGTAGGATTTTTGTGTATATATATTTTATGTGAATATTTTCATCTTTTTATTTATGTATTTATTATATATTTTATAAAATAATATCTCAAACATAACTATTTAAATTAAAATAATAATTTAATATATTTTTTTATTTGAAACAAAATATTTTAAGTATTTAGTTTTATAATTTTCTATTAATAGCATATTTATGTAACAGATATTTAGTAGTAATCTAGATATATAAGAGATATTTAAATAATTTTATAAGAGATATGTAAAAAATAATATCTTTAAAGTATGACATTTATATATAACTAATAATATATAAAGATATTAATACTGAAAAATATTTTAAATTAATTTTTGTAAGTTTCATTGAAATTTATTATTTATTTATTAATATTATTAAATTTTAGTTTTATTAGTATAAATGAGATCATTTTTCCTTCAATATCATGTAAAAAAAAAATTAATTGATCACACAACTTTACATTGGTATATATGGAAGTTTTTTATTTTGAAAAAATCTGGATGAGTTGATCTGAGGGATGGATGATGATCGAGAAAAGTCTTTCTCTCGGACCGGAAAACAAATGGGTGTTTGTTGAAGACATAATGCAGAGTTTGAACAAACGGAACTGAACTGAAGGAACGAATCGAAACTGAAGTTGCATGCAGTGAAGTCCTATTAGCACAATGAAAACATTCCTTAACTTGGTTTCTTCAAATGTGTTGCGAACAATGATTACGATGTTGTACTTAATGAGTTTTCAAATCCTGGTGAGGGAAATTCAGAAGTCTTAATGCGTCATCAACAAAATCTTCATAGGTGTTAATCAACTCATCAATCAAATCGTATCTGTCACCCGTTCAGGATAGTGGAGATAAACAATTTTCCATCGTAGTTAGATAATGGAGTTATTCATATTTGACACAATTATAAAAACTTATCAGCGTTGGAAATTTTTTTTTTCCTCAGGAATAGAACATAAAAAGCACACCAAACATAGCTTTATTTTTCCATCTTATTCATTTCAAAACTACTTGTTCCAGACAGGTTATCGGAGACAAAGACTCAGGTCCAGATTTTGGTGGGACTTTTACGGAGGTTCCCTCGTTGAGACTTTTAGCGAGGATTCATTAAAAAAAAAAATCAACATTAATAAAACATTAATCAATATATAAAAATTGATACTATTCTCCTCTAAAAATCTTAAAATATTAAATTATTTATCATATTTTTTTATATCTTGTTTAGTTTTTTCGTGAAATTTAAACTCATAATTAAGGTTTTCAAAAATAGACCATCTAATATTTTTCTTTTGACCATGAGGCAAAATTAAAGAACTTTTAATAATTTATTTTTATCCTGGTTCTTAAATACATAATAGGTTTTCAAAAGTATAAACTATATGTAATATTATCACTTAAGTCACATTAAAAAAAATGATTATCGATTTGAATTTTGAAATTTTTTACTCTTAAGAACTAATATGATAGTATTACTTTATGAGAAAAAAGCTTTTTTCTCTCTTGTTTTTTTTTCTTCGACTAAATTTATTTATTTTTTACTTTGTTTTTTATTCTTTATAAAAAAAATTCCTTATTATCAAACAAAACATAAATGTAAAAAAATAATCTTCAACGTGATTGATTTGTATAATTAATCGCGGGTTTTATATTAAAAGGTTTCGCAATAATCACCAACGATAATTATTTATTTAAGGGGTTGGATACACAATTTAGTGACTTTAATATAGTTAAAATTAAATAAATATAGAAAATCGGTAAATAAGAATAAGAAATAATGAAGTGATTCTTTCACCCGACCCGACCCGATACACCGAACCCAATACCTTATGATCATAGCTCAAAACTGTGCGTTTTGTTGGTTTGCACCACGTTAGGGGTTTCTCGTTTTCATCTACAGCTCAGCGTATCGGTAACCGGCTGCAACAGAGCCAAACAATTCCATTCGGTGGTGTCTGCATTTCCTTCCCGCCAAACCTTTCCGGTGACTGTTCTTCGCTCACGTTTTCTCACGGTAATCTCTCCTTCATCTTGATCCTTCCCCTGAAGCTATTCGCCACTTAACATGTAGTTCTTAGTTAGTTGTTTTATTAGTTCGTTCCCTCTGTTGTTTCCAATTTGGATTAATATGTTCTACTCTGACTCGTGGTCGAATCTCCCTATATCACATTGAATGTTAGTTGATAACTTGTGTTCGTCGGGATGTGGCAATTCTTGGAATTTAACATATTTGCTTATGTGCCTACCACCCATTTGATGCAATGCCGGGCTAATGTCACTGTATGAATATTTTATTATCATCTATGTGTGTATGCGTTCTCTTTTCAATGGCAAGGGTTTCCAAAGGCCTGCTTATCTGTCCTTCACCACTTTATTTGTATATACTTTTGTCACTCTTTAGTGGTCTCATCAGTATATTTTATACAAAGCGAGGCTTTCTGTTCTGCTCACATAAAATAATTTCGAATGTTAAGTTGAATTAAGTGTATGAATTTTTATTATTTTCTCATTTTGAGTATATTTGTGTATGATAACTGTTAAATTTGGGTATCTAGTTAGAGAATGAAAGTCACTTGACTTGATCTGTTTCTTAATGCTGTTCTGCCTTCAACCTGAAGGCATGAATGCGTTCAAGGCATACAAGGCCTGTGTGCCAATTACTTGGAGCCCAAATCTCTACATAACTTTGGTGAGGGGAATTCCGGGGACCAGGAGGCTCCATAGGCGCACTTTGGAAGCACTTCGCCTGCGCAAATGCAATCGAACTGTCATGCGATGGAACACGCCTACTGTTAGGGGAATGCTCCAACAGGTTTTAGCACAAGCTCTACACAAATCTATTTTCTGCTTGAAATGATTTTCTGTTGATACTAACGTTGCTAAACATGGCAATTAATATAGGTCAAAAGGTTAGTTGTTGTTGAAACAGAGGAAATGTACAAGGCGCGCAAACAGAAGGAGGAAGCGCACCGAGCGCTACGTCCTCCGTTGGTCATAAGTCATAAACCTCCCTCGCTTACTGATGCTTTATGAAGTCTACTGTGTTCTTAAGGATATTATCTTCTTGCTACTAAAACTATTCAATGGCATTGTTTAAGGCTTAGGTCTCCAATGGACAAAATCTTGTTCTGAAGGTAATGTTATAGTTTGGATCTATAATTTTGTAGTGTTACTACTGATAATATTAGTCAAATTCAGGCTTCTGCTCATGAAACCTGCCTAAAGTGGTTTATTTATTTATATTTTCAGTCAGGGAATCATTTACAATTCATTTCATAATTGTCTTTTTCTTTGGAAACAACTCACAATGTAGTTTATCTTTTTTATATCTGTCAATACTTAATAGTAACATCACAATTGTCCTCGTTAAATGAGGTTGACAAATTCCCCCCACAATAAACAAATTCGGGGGATAATGTTTAGTTCTTGCACACTATATATTTGTCCAAACAAATTGATATTTTAAGACTATATCCTATGCTTCTTCCTTTCCATCAACAACAACAATCACATCATTTGCACTCACAAGCTCTTTTTCAGCACCGTCATTAGCCCTTATGCTGTGTTGAACTTTGTACTGATGCCTCGTTGCTAGAACCAGAAAAGATATAAAATTCAGCACTCCTAGCACTGCTAGCAACCAATAGAAATAATCTAGCCTTCCCTTGTTCAGATTGCTCCTTAACCATCTTTTGTTACTTGCCTTGTCCACGATTGACACCAATAAGCTACTGACAAAATAACCCATTGAAAGAGTTGATAGGAAAAGTCCAGTGCTCATTGATTTCATTCTCTCTGGAGCCTCCCTTATGAAAAATTCTAGTTGTCCAACATAGGCAAATGCTTCCCCCGCACCCACCAGAAAAAACTGGGGGACCAGCCAAAAAGCGCTTATTGCAGTACTATTTTTTACTGCATTCCCCCTCCTTTCTTTCTCAACAACTGCAGCAACCACCATTGCAACGATGGAGAAAACTAGTCCAATTCCAACCCTCTGTAGACTTGTGAGCCCTTGGACATTGTGGGTGAGTTTCCGAGATAAGGGCACAGTGAGTTTCTCATTTAGGGAGGTAAAGAGGAGAATGGTAATGATGAGAAAAGCTGATAGAGATCCTGCTGGGACAACTAAAGATCCAATTTTTCGGTTCATGGATGTAGCTTGCTCAATGGTGAAGGTATTCATCTGAGAATAGATTGTCCAGAAGAGGATACACGTAGACCAAATGGGAAGCAGCTTGATTACCATTTTAACCTCCTCAACCTGAGTCACTGTGGAAACTATCCATGGATTTTCCTTGTTTTCATCCTTTGAGCTGTTCTCATCTAGGATTGCAGCTTTGTCAAGGAACCTATCAGCCAAACGCCAAGCAGTGAAAGTTCATGTTAGCTTATGTGAAATCCTTCATTTATAATTTCAAGTATAGCTTACTGGGGTTGAGTAAAGATGACATCTCTGGATTTCCTAGAATATTTCTTTAGGATTTGAATGACGCCATTAATATAAATCGTTCCTCTTGTTTTTCACCGAAGAATCAATCCATATAAAACTTGATTAAGGTTACAGTTAGATAATTCAGTCTAATGCATGATATTTGGATCTTTCTATTTTGTTTAAATGCAGCGAAATATGTAGTTTGTCATGTAAAATCAACTTTGCTTATTTGCCATCAATAGTTACAAATCACTGCTATTCGTTTACAGGAAGTTTCCTATATAAAAGTCAGAAAAAAATACGACATGGCAAAAAGTAAAGTTTCTCTGTAAATTCAAACTAATGCATTCATTAACTAGAAATCTAATTTTGAAGTTAGATTAAATAATTTCGACCAGTTAGCTTAATAATTTAGTTCATATTTGATTTTTTTTTTTTTCTTTTCCTACTGAAAATTTGGGACCCTAAAGAATTGGGGGTATGAGACAAATGTCTCACCTTGTGGCTTACACGACCCTAATAATTTATATAAATTTTATGTTCAAACTGTATTATTGTTTATTGTATAAAAAAATATATAAGAAGTTCGACTACAAAATTAGAAGCTTAACTAAAAAAATACTTATGGTGAAAATGTTAATAAGCTTGACTTCTAATATGTAACAACAGTTTTAACATTAAAATGTTATATTATATTTTATATTCTTCGTACCCACCCTACATCTCAGATAATTTTAGAAAACTATCTATATGCTTAATCTAACACTGAAAAATTAATGTACGCTCTGAAACAATTTTAGATATCTTCAATATTAGATTAAAAAGGTTACATTGTATTTTGCTATTGATAAATTGTTTATTTGATAAAAGCTTTGAAAAAAAGGTTTAAATATAAAGTACTCAACTTCAGTATTAATTGTATGAAGTGATTGTTTGAAAGGGTGGTCGTTTGAAAGGAGCACGGTCAGAGTAGTGTGTCGATTGAAAAAGTGATCTAATGTCTCCATTTTTATCTGAGTGAGTGGGAGTGGAGAAACCCAATCCAAACAAGTTTAACAAAACAGTTTTCAAAAATCATTTTGCAACATAAATTTTGATAACAAAAAGTAGCAAAACACACTTCCAACACACGCTGCGTCTCTTTACTTTTTCAAATCTCCTTTTTGACAAACTGTTTAATCAAACGTAAAATTTGTCCTTTCCTAAGGACAATGAAAGACACTAATGTTGTCCCAGATATTAATAGAAATAGTAATCCCGTGAAAGTAAACAATCATCATCAGAACCACACAAAATTAGAAAATCTTTTGCAATTGTTGTGCAATAATTGAAGAGAGAGAGAATAGCGTATAAATTATGAGTAAACTACGGTTACAGTTAGTTATTGAAACCAGTTTCTTTAAAAAAAAGAACAAAACTTTATACTTTACCACTTGTATTATTTTGTTTCATATAAATTACCAGTTCAAGAAGACAGAAAATTTACCTGAACCTCTCAGTATGTGGCACTTTGGCTTGAAGATAACCATTGAGAAAGGAGGGTTGTGAAGGGAGGGGAAGAGCCCTATTCTTCCAAGCCAAAAACAGCACTCTCCATATAACTGTTAGGGGGCTCCCTTGTGGCCTCTTGAATCGATAGAATGGTGTGCCAGCAAGCAAAACAGCAACGGCAACCAACATTGTTCCTGCTGAAATCCCATAACCCCACCCTCTTCCTATGTCGTCTTGCACATACACCAGGACCACCACAGAAAATAAGGATCCCATACTGATGAAGAAGTAAAACCTGTTGAAGAAAAATATCATCATCCTTTCCTCCTTCGGGTCTGTTGTATCGAACTGGTCAGATCCAAACCCTGAGACATTGGATTTTATTCCTCCACCCCCCACTGCTACAGTGTAAAGTGCTACATATAACAAAGCCAATTGTTTGCCAGTGGCCTGAATGCATTCGTGGTGCTGTTTTCTTACACTACTGCATGCAGGGGGTCTCATGCTAGGAATGGTAGTAGCCACAGTTAACAAGCTCGCACCCTGATCCAAGAGAAGTGGAAACAAAACTAATTGGTGACTCCTAGTATAGCTAGAAAGATGTTTAGAGTAAACACTGAATATTCTTGTATTTATCCGATCAGAAACTTCAAATATATAACAAGTTTATTGTCTTTTAGCATGACTAATTTATAAGTCGTGTTAAAATTTATTTTTTATTTTGATTGTTAAACTGAAAGTGTAAATAAATTACACTAAGAATGTTATATTATTGGCATTTGAAAACTACTTTCCCTAAAAAGAAGGGAGAAAAATGGTTGCCTTGGTGTGCGTAAAAGCCAGATAAATAGAGAGAATGTTTTTGTGTACATCAAAATATTCAAATCTGTAACATACCACAGCAGCTATGGTTGCAGATATGGCAACAGTTAGGTATCTGCCAAGTTTGGCATCAGCAAGGAAGCCACCAAGAAGGCCAAGCAGGTTGAGAGTTCCCATAAAATTGGTAACTATGGTGGCAGAATCAGCTGAAGGGAGATTCAAATCTCCAACCAAGTAGGTCACTAAATTCATGGATATGCCCATCACACAAATTCTTTCTGCCAGTTCTGTACCTGCATAAGAAAAAGTTTTTGTTTAAGCCAAATTAGGTTCAACCTTGAGAAAATGACTCCAATTTCTATTTGAGATGAATATGAACCTAAGATGAGCCCTGCTGCTAGCCATCCTCCAGTTTTTGTTTTATCTACAGGGTGGCCTCGAAAATCCACAGCAGCAATGCCTTCTGCCCCTTTTTCCTCCTCTCCATGACTTGCAACTAGAACCTATCAAATAGCAGAAGGGAAAAAAAATTCAAAATCATCAAGATATCAACAAAGTATAAAAGAAGCTTTGAACAATAAACAAAGTTTTTGGAAAAGAAATTAACACCATGTTTTATGTTTTGTCGGAGTGCTAACTGCAGAGAGTTGGATGTTGTGTGTGATGTTTCAGCTCCAAGGGTTACGAAAAAGAAGTGGTGAGGAAATGTGGAGCTAGCTATGTCATGGCCAGGACGAACTTGATAAGAACTAGTTTACAATAGGTCCACTTATGAGATGAGTGGCCTGAAATGCTGAATCTGCATAGTATGTGTCCGGGTGGTTTGGAGTTTTATAGCCTATCGTTCGTTGTGTAGCTTAAGACCGTACTTGCCCAATGAAAACAACACTTGGAAAGTGATGGAACAGTATAGGGGACTCCTAATTTGCCATCACAAAGTCACTGTCATAATGAACAACTGAGAAAGAAAGCATGTACCAATCCATGTCCTTCATATCCTCATGCTTGATCAAGTATTTTACCATGTCATACAAACAATTAACTGGATGAAGGTGGATTTAAGCATGTTTGTTAGTTGCCTCAGCAAACTTTAACAAAGTAATTTAGTTGAAAAAGTTTGTTCTACAGACAGAATGCTGAATATAGTAAAGGAGAAAAATGTTCCTTATAAATATTCAATATCAATCGGAGGATAGTATTTCAATTAAATAAAAATCGATCCGACGAGGAACAATTTCAATAGAAATTTCCAATTATGCTTACTAAGTAGATTAATCAGATTGAGTTTTGCAAATAAGAGTTAAATTAAAATTAAATGACAAAAAATTGTAAATTGTTGAGAAAATATCAATTAAAGGTATTTAGGATTGACTTCCTTCCTTATCTCTCTTTTGTAATGGCTATGTCAATTAAGAACATCAATTAACCTAACAATGTTGATGTCACCTACTCAAATTATTTATGTTGATTCCTCGTGAAGTTCATAAGAAAACTTAATAAATGTTGATTCCTCATACAATTAAAAGATTTTCCAGCATTAGGGTTAGTGTGTTAAGCAATTGATACATTCATTCCATTCTTGGCGGTTAACGTAACAAATATTTTTACCGTGATCTAGGGTTCAAGATATATTTTTCAATCATACCCCAAACATCAAGAATAAATCATTCCAAAGCATAAAGGATAAGAATAACAACATCAAAACATAGATTAATATATCAAAATATCACCATGATACAAAAGAGTTTAAAGGAAGTACACTCAATCTCAAGAAAATGAAGTTAGTCACTTATGTTGGCCATTACAATGCTCTAATTGATGAAGAAGTGAAGAATTGACGAAGATTAGACAAAACTCTAACAGTCGTGTCTCCTCCCAAGATTGCTTGTTTTTCTCAAAACATATCTTATCGTTTTATAAGAGAATTTAGATTGAGCTTCGCATCATTCATTCACTTAAGATTCTTCTTTCTTTCAATTTTTCTTTAATTACTTCACAATTATAATCTTTGTTCTTATATCAGGTTATTCTCCAATTCATTTGAAAAAAAAAATCATAATTAAGATAAGTTTAACACACTACACCATCTTGAGTATGCATTATAAATCAAATGCAAGGTTCGCACAAAGCGAATGGGACCAACCACAATTACATAATCAAAACTGCATATATAGATATGATCAGATCAGATTATGTGCACGTGAGTGACTCAACTTTTGTCTGTTGGTAATTTTTCATAAACAATCGAAAATGCATGATTCTAGGATACTCCGAAATTATAATCAAATTCTTTTGAAGTTCAAGTCTAATAACATACACTGCAAGGTTAAAAGAAAAAAATATATAGCATTTATTCGCTGGAGAAAAGAGAAATTGAGGAGAAAAATAAATGGAAAATAAAATGAAAATAGATAAAATAAGGTGTTTGGTTTGAAAGATTTTTTTTACATATATAAAATTTTCCAATTTAGTTTTAGATGAGCTTCTTTCTTTGTTTTCTTATGTATCGGAAGGACAGGATTGAGATTTTATGTAAACGTTTCTCACATACATTTCTTTACATCTATTTTTATTTAAAATTCTATATTTTTCTTTATAATAAACTCATACTCTTTTTTCTTTCTTCTTCGTCAGAGTTTCTTTACCATAAGTAAAATACATACTACGGCTAATTTTTATAGTAAAATAAGTACAAACTGACATTAAAAAATCAATAATGTAAACTCCTTTTTTTTAATAAAAAGTAATAAATAACTGTGTAATAATTTATTGATAACAAAGCCTAATATATATATTGTGTCATCATTATAAGCTTTTTCTCTGAATGGCTGCTTTCAGTCACCACAAAAAATAAAATTGAAAAGTCAATAAGAATAGAATAATCCATAAATTAAGAGGGTAACCAATCCAAGAATTGCATCAGAATAATACATCAATGGTGTACTCTCCAAACCCTATATTTTTTCTTTGAGCTTAGAATTTTTTATTAAACTTATATTTCCATTTTATTAAACGAAGTTAATTTCTTTTGTAAGATAATAAATAGCTTTCAAATGATGATTTTATTTAATAACTCGTGTGTTAATATTTACTTGGAGTTTCTGAAAATTTCCATTGAAACTGTATCAACTTTGGCATGGAGAATTGACGAAGAAAACATGATTGCATGGTGCGTGTGTAAGAAGCTGCTACTGCTACCACCTGTCTGTCACAGTGTGTGGATGAACTGAACCTAAGAAGATAACCATTTGAAGGTTTCTTTTCATATTTCTCACTTTAAAAATTGGTCGCCAGAGGAGAAAGTAGTGTTAATTAAATTAGTTTCTTGATAAAAGATGATAATAATTCGTCTTTTCACTTCATCAACTCTGTTGTAAGAGATAGGAATCAAGCAACACACCCACATGCCACTTTTTCCATTCAAATCATTTTCTTCTCGGAACATTTAATAGTTACTTCGGAAACCAGAAATCACTTTTCTTGATATTTTTAAAGATTAGTATTTTACTTTATAAAGTTTATGATAAGTTATTTTAAAATATCCACAAAAGTGATTTGTTTTCTCTTTGACGTCATGTTATTTAATTAGATAATTTTGTCTTAAACTGTTCTATTGTACTAAACACTTATATAGAAGGATTTTATGAGTCTCTTCTATCAATTTTTTTATATGATTTTCTTTTCTAAAAAACGTTTAGGGTTAGTCTCATTAATAATTAGTTATAGTCCTATTACCTCAAATTTCTATGGGGAAGAATTTAATTTACAAATCTTTAAAAACAATGTAAATTTAGTCGTCTTAGGTTTAATTTTGTTTGTAGTTATATTTGCTCATGGATTTATATTAATCGTAATTTAACGTTAAATTGGAAGGATTGAGTGTTTGATTTAATGTTATGATGTATGTTTGTTTTAACGTGTGAAACACATGTAAGCTGAATTTTCAGGTAAAAAGGGTTAAGAAAATGGAAAACCTACATTGTCTTAGTTATGAATTGACGTGAATATATTTGATAAAAACGTTTGAACCAAATGTACGTGATTCATTGGTGAAAAAATCACGTCAAATTTTGAAGACACACAGAAGTAAGACATGGTTACTTGGGGCATTTTAATACACTTGCTTTCTATTATGTATTTTTTTTTTAGGCGAAAACACTTTCTTGTATTATTATTATTATTATTATTATTATTATGTCACATTCTTTTAAGTTCATACGTAAACTAATCCTTATGTAACTGTGATTAACCGAGTTTTTTTAAAGAAGAATATACGATTTCTTAATCTATTGTAACTAATTATTTCACTTGTTCATTTTATTTTTTTTATTATTTTTTATCATTTAATATAAACATTGGAATTAATGAAAATAAGAAAAATACTGATTATTTTGAATATTATTATTATTATTATTATATCATGAAATATTTAATTTTAACTATTATAGTTCATAATAATAAAATATTACTTACGATATTAATCAGAATAATTCATAAATTGACATGAATGGTTTTACAACACATTTCAATTTTGAAAAAAAAATTAAAATAATATTATTTAACTAATTATTAACTGCATACATTCGTTCAGACATAAATAACGAAGGTGACGGAAGAATTATTATTGTGACGCATTTTATTAGTTTTTATTATTATTTATAACATTTTTATTATTATTTATATGATTTAAATATGTATATTTTTAAGTTATTTTTTATTTATATTTTATATTTATGAATAAGATATCTTAGTGAAGTACAAACAAATTTAAATATCTATTATTTATTTTTTTCAAAATTTACTTCATAACATTTTTATATTAATTATGAATATATATAATCTTTATCTCTGTAATTTATTTTTTATACTTATGCATCTTTATTGGATCAACTACCTTTACTTAGATATAAATTTCATAAATTGAAAAGAAAAATATTAATTAAAAATTAATTCTCACTAAATTAAAAATATTTCTTAAATCATATGTTTACATTTTTTTATATAAACACACTTAATAATAAGCATTTTTATGAATAATTAAAATATTAAAATTGTTCTTCCATATAATTGAGTTATAACTTGCAATGTATTGATAATTATTGAACAATATTTTTCTGGATTATCTGATTCGTAACTAACAATAGAAAAAATTTAAACTAGTATGAATATTTTATTAAGATAATATTGAAATTAAATTATAATTATTGCATTAAAAAAAGTATATGACAACTAACTTGAAAATTTATCAAAAAGTTTAATCAACAAAAAGTGAAATTTTAATTCACGATGATCCTAAATGTCTTTGTGTAATTTGCACTGAAATATTTGTTGTAATGTGATTTAAAATAAGAATTAAATATAAAAAAATTCAGAGACAACATATTTAATCCATAAGTTTTTGGTTTTTTCTTTCTTTGGTCCATAACCACAAATTTATTGAGTTTGACTTCATGTTTCTTTGGGCTTATGTGTACCTGCATGATGCCACAAGGCTAACTTAAAAGCCCAAAACTAAAACACCCACTTAATTCCAAAGTAACACTAGGAACCCTAATTCGAGAAGCTACAATACAACACATTTTATTTCAATTGTGGATGCTATATTACGAAAAATATGTTAGAAGTTGAACATCTCCACAGTAACAATTCTTATTAAAAGAACATATTATTATTATTTATAATGTGTTACGTCAGAAAGGTGGGATAATTTTAAAAATTTATTCATTTAAGATAAATATTATTTAAAATAATATTATTAAAGTTTAATTTTTATATTTAAAGTATTTTTTATCGAAAAATTAAAAAAAAATATATATATATATATAAAATAAATTATTTTTATATTTATATTTACGATAATAATATTTGATGTGTTATTTATTTTAAAATTCTTACCAATCATGTTTTTATAAATTAAGAAAAAAAATTTATATATAAATTATCAGTGATTTCCACTCTTAAATAATATAACTCATTAATATAATATAAAAATTAATTATTTTAAAATATTTAAGAAAATATATTTTTATTATATAGAAGACTTATTTTGATGGAGGATTCAATTTAAGACGTTTGAATAATTTTGTGTTTTCTTTTCAGTTTGGTAAGAAAAATGAATATTTTGTGTTTTCATGGTTACAGGATACATATTTATTTTTTTTATATTGAAAAAAAAATTGTTATTTCTATCTAAATATTAAAACCTATTTTGACCTTTTTAGTATGTTATGTATCTTTATTTTGGAATGCAATAAAACGATTCATTTTCTTCATCTCAAATTCATTTATTTAATAAGAAGGCATCAGACAATGATGGGATGGTTAGTCCATTACATCATATGATAATATTATATTTTATATTTGTTTAAATTATTCATTTTTGTATTTTTATATCAATTTTTATTTTCATATTACCAAACTAAAAATTGAACTTAATGCTCACTCCTGTGTGTTATATGCTCAACAATTCTAGGTTATTATTTATTAAATAAATAATTAATAATAGTAAATAGTTACTTGTAAATTTAAAATATTATCGGATTCTCATTTTGAAAAAAGAAAAATTGTACAAATGGGCGCAATTGCTTTCCGGAAGAAATAAGAGAAAATGGTTGAAGAGACGGCGTCGTATAAGGTCAGGCATATTAAAGCTCATACTTTAGGTTTCACTTTCAGCGAAGAAGAAGAAGAAGAAGAAGAAGGTGGAAGAAGCATCAAATTAACACATTGTCCAGAAGAAGAAGACGAAGAATGTGGACGCGGATACTCGCACGAGCAACACGTGCCCTCGCTGTTGCTGGCAACTACTCATCAACACACCAACGCATCTCCAACCCTATCTTTTGCGAAATCCCCAAATCAAGTTTCCCCCAAATTCTCAGCAACCCTCGACTTTTCGCCACCGATTCCACCCTCACCCTCGATGATGAGCTATCACCGGATTCTTCACAAAATGGTGGTGACACGTACGAGGTTGACGTGGAAAAGTTGGAGAGTGTGCTGCGTCTTCTTCAAACCAGTGCTGATGGGTCCTTTGAGTCGTATTTGGATGACATGGAATTGAGTCTGCATCATCAATTGGTGACAAAATTAATTGAAACTCCGTTTGTTTCGGGTGAGAACCTGATAAGGTTTTTCAGATGGGCATGGACTGAGAGATCATTGGGGGTGACCACTCCAATGGTGGAATCTCTAGTTTTGGCCATATGTGGAAATGATGTGAAGAAGGAAGAGGCGTACTCGTTGTGGGATTTGGTTAAAGAGATTGGAGAGAAGGAGAGTGGAATCCTCAATTTGAGGATTCTCAATGAGTTGATACTTTCATTCTCGAGGTTGGGGAAAGGGAAGGCTGCATTGGAGGTGTTTGATAAATTTGAGGCCTTTCACTGTGTGCCGGATGCGGACACGTATTACTTCACAATCGAGGCGCTTTGTCGGCGGCGTGCTTATGATTGGGCTTTTGGTGTTTGTGAGAAGATGGTTGATGCACGGACATTGCCTAATGGTGAGAAGGTTGGTGCCATTTTGTCTTGGTTGTGTAAGGGCAAGAAGGCTAAGGAAGCCCATGGAGTGTATGTGGTGGCAATGGAGAAAGGGAAACGGCCACCGATGAGTGCGGTTAGCTTTTTGGTTGCCAAGCTCTGTGGAGAAAATGAAACTGTGAAATTTGGTTTGGAGATGTTGGAGGATATCCCTGAGGAGAAGAGGGAGCGTGCGATAAAGCCGTTTTTGGCGGTTGTTCGGGCATTGTGTAGGATTAAGGAAGTTGATAAAGCCAAGGAGTTGGTGTTGAAGATGATTAAGGATGGGCCGCCACCTGGAAATGCTGTATTCAATTTCGTTGTCACAGCGTATACAAAGGCCGGGGAAACTGGTAAAGCTGTAGAGATGATGAAGCTGATGGAAAGTAGGGGTTTGAGACCGGATGTGTACACATATACTGTTCTTGCTAGTGCTTATTCAAATGGTGGGGAGATGGAAGAGGCTCGGAAGATCTTGGTAGAAGCGAAAAAGAAGCATGTTAAGCTGGGCCCCGTGATGTTTCACACCCTGATTCGTGGATATTGCAAGTTGGAACAGTTTGATGAGGCTTTGCAGTTGCTGTCTGAGATGAAAAATTATGGCGTTTGCCCCACTGCGGATGAGTATGATAAGTTGATACAGTCTCTCTGCTTGAAGGCTTTGGATTGGGAAATGGCGGAAAAGCTACAGGAGGAAATGAAAGAAAATGGTTTGCATCTCAAGGGCATTACAAGGGGTTTGATAAGAGCTGTCAAGGAGATGGAGAAGGAGGTTTTGGAGGGTTAGAGCATTACTGCAGTGGCATAAACATAATTCACTGTTTCAGGTTATGTGAGAGGCCTGATAGTTGTAACTCTTTTCTGATTAGCATACTATTTTGATAGGAAGGTGGAGTGTTAGTAGGCACTTAGCATGGAGTCTCAATGCAAAAATAATTGAGAAGAGAAAATTTGAGAAGTGATTGTGTTGATGTGTTTGATGTCTTTAACCGGCACTTTTTTTTAACGTTTTATAATATTGAAATGAGTTGGCCATGTTTCTATCCTTCCTTCTTTTGCATAATGTTGTCATCCACATTCTTTTTTATTTCTGTTGATGATATGGGATTGCGTGGGATAAGAATCATTTTGCATCCCCCTCTTCAGACTCACACTGACTCACTAAAGAGGCTGCATGCTAGAATTAGCCAAGGCTGAGTGGCTCACCTTATTTGCTGTATTTCGTTGATCAGGGTTCTCTTTCAATGAGTAGGTGGTGTCTAGATTAATTTGTGATCCTTAATTGAATGAAGTCTTTGATTGCTAACCAGGAAAATGACTATAATAGTACTTGTATTACGAGTTTCATTGACGAGAGGCAACTTTTACTTGATGCCATATGTTGTAGCAACTCATGTTGTGCAGTGTTACTTCTCTACTATGAACATTTGATCCTTTCCTTAAGTTGTTGCTTAATTGCCTTGGTTTTAATTCATCAATGTACTTCTTGCATCCACAAGGAGGTAAACTAAATTATGTGAAAGAAAAAGACAGGAAAATACAAATCTGGGTAGAATTAGAAGTCTTCAAAAATAGAAGAAACTTCAAAAAAAAAAAAAAAAAGAAGGAAAAATCTCATGTAGCATCAAAAGTTGCTGAGTTTGTTTGTGATATTGGAGATAGAAATTCTTCTCAATTTTGATGTTTTGGGGAGGTTTGATCCAATAAAGACAAGAAATGCTGTGTTTTAAATTGGGTATGGGGCTATGAGCTTAGGTTCTGAATTTTCCTCATCCTGGATTTTCATATTCCGAGTTAACAAGCATTGACACGAACTATCCCACCACATTTTATCCATCATCAGCTCCCTTCCTTCTCGGTTGAGTTAATTTTCCTTCCTAATATGGGTCCACTAAACAGCTGTTTTTAATATCATGTGTTTAAGCCTTTATACTACTTGAGACAATGTTTTTGTATGACTTGGTAGTCCACAATATTTTGACAGTTGAGCTGGAAACATAGGATGCAAAATGAAAAAGCTTGAAAAATATTTTACACTTCCTATGTGAATTACCATATTTCATTTGAACTCATGACAGATTTTGGATGCTCAGCTTCATTTTATTGACAAATTCCTTTAAGCTTCACTCATTAGATACAGTGTTCGCCTTGTTGAACAATACGAAGTCATACCTGAAGGAAAGTAGTCAGTGCAAAAAAAGATCATTTTATTCTTGTACTAATCAAGTCATGAGATTACATAAGCCAAGAGGCCTTCACCGACCGAAAACCACTGAATTTGGTATTTTGAGTCTCGGTTTTATAAAAGTTATAAAATTAGCTTCAATTTAGATGTGAAAAATGGATCTACCTTTTACTTGTTCTGAAAACCCCATGTACTAAAAGCATAATTATCTGTAGCATATAGAATCTTTTAAATTAGATCTATTGTCCTTCGACTCACACTTGAACCAGTGAGCTGATATTTTGGCTAGTGTTTTGAAATCAACACTTGTTCTGTGAGCCAACTTCCATTAAGTTGGTACGAAGTATCCAACCATATCTGCTCCATCATCAACTGCCTTCTTCAGTTGAGTTAAATAGCCTTTCACATAGTGTTTTTTTTTCTTGTATATATAAAATTGTTTCTCCAATTGCAGCCTCTGATCGGCTGCTCTTTGCTTAATAAAAGAGAAAAATACATTTCTTGGAACAAATGTACAACCTCTTTGTTTACTCAAAATCTACAAATGAACATGCAATTTAAATCAATTTGATGTTAATCATATTTTATGCAAAAGACTTCTAGATATATAATGTATTTGGTTACTTGTTCAAATTAGATGCTAACCATTAAGTTAATTTGACTGTGACCGTGACCGTGACAGTGACAGTATCCTCCGGGACTTGGTCTTCATGTTGTATGATGAGATTCTTTTTCCGTCCAATATAGACGTTTTTCCATCTTGGCTTTTACTATATCTGCTGCATTCGGAACGTGTTCATCTTGGCTTGGAAGGAACAAGACTTAGGTACTACATCAATAGTTTGGAATACCCTAACTGTTACCTTGAATACCATAAAGTTTATGCCCCTCAAACAATCAATATCTGTTGGTAGAGCATGTCTGAAAAATCCTTCTTAACGAAGGGAAATCAATCAATGAGAATTTGTTTCAGCAGACCACAGCACAAGATAACTTTAAATGAAAGAAAGCAGGAAACAGATTTTTCTGGAGGCTCAATTGACATTCAAAATCAAAGCGCTAGAAGTCCGTTGAAGTCAAACAATTAAAAATTGAGGTGACGAATAACGTGTTGATTGGAGTACAACCTCAAAAGAACGTTTTGTTTGTTTTTTCTTTTTTCTTTTTTTTTTTCTATTATAATAATTGAACAATGATAATTGTTTATTGTCACTTGCATATTACTAAAAAAAAATATTATTTCCCAGATCATTTGCTTTCGAATTATGTTGTCATGTAAACATATAATATGAAGAAGCCATGCATCATGCAATTATATGCATCTGGCAGCCAAAGGTTCAATAATTATAAACCAAAAACAAAGTAAATTATTTACTGACAACCTTTTCTCTCCCAATGTTCACATTTCACATATTGTTCCACTGAAGTAAAATATATTATACACCAAAAGAAATAGAAAACAAACTAGTTGAAATCCTTGTGTTTAGGCCTAGCTGAATTATTTTCTGCATTCGTATTTGAAATCAATATCATTATTAACAAACAAGACATCATTTATTGAGTCACCAAATATGTTAAAGAATGATATGTGGACTTCAATTTGTAGTAGCAATCATCAATCCATGTAATGCAAAAGAGGCCGAAGAATACAAAAATAAAAAACTCTTATTCCATTGAAGCTATTGGGCGATACTATACTCCAAGTTCCTCATCTATCTGCTATCAGAGATTTGGCTAACAGATCTAGACCGTTCAAGCTCATCAGACGGATCCCAATCCAATGTAGAGGATTGAATCTTGGACAAAGTCATTAAAACTTCAGAAATCTGTGGTCTTGAATTGAGGTCACGAGCAACACAGCGTTTGGCAAGTTCAGCCATGGAATAAGCCAGCTCCAAAGGATATTCATCTCTCAAATTTGGATCCATGAAACCTCTGAGTTTTTCTCTAACGTTCTCGCCTTCAAGCACCTGATTCACAGTCACCGACAGCATCTGCTCCCCAGATCCATTCTTGTCCCTACCAACAGCCTCTCTCCCCGAAAGAAGCTCCAAAAGCACCACCCCAAGCGCAAAAACGTCTATCTTTGGAGTGATCAAACCGTTCTCAATATACTCAGGTGGCATGTACCCTTGAGTCCCCACCACATGCCTTGTCAATTGAAACCCCCCATCGTCCCCTTCACCCTCCACCGTTCTCGCCAACCCAAAATTTGAAACCTTTGCCCTGAAATTCCCATCCAAGAGCACGTTCCCACTCTTCAAATTCTTATGCACATGAGGAGGACTAGTATAGTTATGAAGGTAATTAAGCGCGTCAGCAACATCATGAGCTATATGAACCCTCTGCACCCAACTCAGAGACACCGAATTCTCGTACTTCTTAGTACCACTATGAAGCCAATCCTCGAGAGAATCATTCTCAGCAAACTCGTACACAAGATAAGTGTCACCTTTGTGAACACAAAATCCCGACAACCTTATAATATTGAAGTGGTTAATCCTCTTGAGAATGTTGATCTCACCCGACACATCCCCTTTGAGAATCTTAACCGCAGCATAATCACCCTTGAAAGAAGCCCTATAAACAGAACCCTTGATTTTGTTCTCTTCACTGAAGAACCCCGTAGCTTTCTGCAACTCCTCAAACTTGTACACACTCAATGACTCAATCGCGTAACGAACCCCTTCCGAAGAAAGAGACCACGACTGCGTCGTTGGAATAGTCACCTCCGTGGTAGTAGAGCCCGAGAAAGCCTTCGCCACCGGAGTCGGCGACGGCGGTTGCACAAGTCGCCGCCGATAGAAACAGAAGAAAAACAGAGCAGCGCAGACAAGAAGCAGCACAACAACCCCAACCACAATTCCGACAATAACCCATTTTTTGGAAGAGTTGGAATCTCCCGCCACCGCCACCGCCGGAGGCGGCGGGGAGCTATCTGGCGGAGCCGCTGCTCTCTGTATATTCGTCGGTGGCTCTGTTTTTAAAGGAACCGAAATCGGCGTGAAGTAGAAAATAACCGAAGTGTCAGAAAGCTGGTTTGCTTCGAGGATGCTCTGTCGGTCAACACCAAAGATCTCAGCAATTGAAGAAATCGATTCTCCTCTAGAGACCAAGTAAGTTAGCAAGTACTTGAACCCTGCTTCGCTCTGATTCCGGGTGGGGCAGGCGCACCTCAGAGGCACGTGGATGTTGAGGCCTGCAACAAGGTCACGTTCGCCGTAGGTGTTTTGGGCCATGAGAGCCTGGCACGTGGTGAGGGACTGGTAGGTGTTGTTGGCGATGCCGAAGTAGGTTTCGCCTAGTGCTTTGATTTTGTAAGAGGCGTTGTGCTGGTAGTAGGGGCCGGAGCAGGAGCACGTGACGGGGACGGTGATGAGGGTGTCGACGGCGATGGATTGGACGTCGGTGATGTTGTTTGCGGAGGCGATGTCGGCGGCGGTGGAGTTGAGGAGGTAACCGATGGAGACAGGGGTTGTGTAATCTGGGACGGAAGATTTGAAGGTGAGGTAGGATGTGCATGACGAAACACTGTTGCAGAGGTTGCCGTTTGTGGAATTGGTGTCGTTTTGGTGGCAATTCAGTTGTTTGTTATTGACGTACTCTTGTTGCGATTCAGAATTTGGAATGGACGAACAGAGGAGGAGTAGTAACAGGGTTATGGTGGCGGCGGGCCACAGAGTTGTGGCCATTTTTGCTTGGTGGAGAAAAAATGTGTGCTTTCTTGGTTTGGAGGGTGCGTTGAACTTAAATTCAAAGAACGCGTGTGTTGAACTTAATATTATTGTGGTTGAAGCAATGACCCAGTCAAACTCGTTTTTGTTTTCGGAATTATCCACCTTTGAAATGCTGTTCGTATTTTCACATTAATGTTCACTTTGAATAATTGTTCTTTAATACATCGTTTAATAATGAATTGGTGAATCCCCTGAAGGGTGTGAAGTCTGAGCATGTTTTGTTATTCAACAGGTTTCTGCTTTGATGAAGAAATTGTAGCTTGACTTGTGACAAGATGAGAGCAGAAATTAAGATTACGACCCCAGTGAGGTTGGGTGATGTTCCCTCTACATCACGCTACTACGTTTTATTCTAAGAAAAAACTTACAATGGAAATTATTCTACGAAACATACAATAAAATTTGATGCATCTGATATTCTTCTACTCTTTCATTTTTGGGCACATTGATCTGATTGTGGATGCAACTGATAATGAAGATTGAGGAAAAAGAGAGGAAGTTGCATAAAATAAACTTTGTTGGCTTTTGGTTGGGTTGACTTCCTATCGATATGGATGATAAAGGAGATGGAGTTTAATTTGATTTGTTAAATATGTAAAAATGGTGTTTTATTTTATAAACTTAATTCCTTTCATACTAATATAAATATATTTAAATCAAAATTTAAAATATCTTACATTTTTAACTAATTTTTATTTTCAATTATTTTTAAAAATTATGAACATTTTAATTTGAGATAGGTCATAATTTTAAACTTGTCATGGGCCGAAGGTAACATGGATAAAAATTCACTCACTTTATCACCCTTGTATTTTAGAAGATTTGGTTTAGCACAACATGAAATCTAAGAAAAAATTAATGCTAGTTGCTTCTTGTTTCCAAAGATTTTTTTTTCCTGCATTTATTACTTTTGAGATTAACTACTCTAGATGTAATTTACATTTCGGAATTATTGACTTCAAGATTAGTTAATTTAAAAGATAAATAAATCTAGTAACTTTGGTTTTGGAATATTTTTTTATTATACAAATTAGTCCGTGGCATACGTTTTTGTTAAGTTAAAATTTCAAAAACTGTCCAGCAATTTAAACAACTAAACCAAAATTAGCTGTTTTTTTTCCTCTTTCATTTCGTGACTGCATTTACCCCTCCATTGATAATAAAAAAATAGACCTACATTTCTCTTTTCAAGTAATTTACATAATCGGCTAGATTTTAAAAATAAAAATAAAGCAAAAAATAAACCATGTTTGTGAAACATAACTTTGGTATTTCAAACACAATTTAAAATTTTCGTTTTCTTTTACTGAAATGGTGTTATGATTCATAAATTTTTTATACATCTCTTTTATTTTCTGTCTTTAATTTTTCTTTTAATATCTTTCCTCAAAATCGCATTTCAAATCATTATTTCAGGTTGAAGTCCTGAAATAAAATAAAACATGACTTTTACCTTTTTTTAATATATTCTAATAATATTTATTATAACAATTTTGTTTATAATAATAATTTTCTCTTTTATTTTTTACAATTAAAATCAGTTTAATATAAAAAAAATTTCGCTAAAGAAAAAAAGATCAAATTACTTTTTATAAACACGAACTAAAAAATGTAAAAGTCGTATTTAAAAATAAGACTTTGTTATTTAAAATTAAACACAAATAAGTTGTAAAATTGTGTTTTAAAAAGTGCTCTTTTTCTTATTAGCATATAAGTGTGTAGGAGTAGGTGTAACGTTTGAAACAGAGGTACCAATTACATGTCTTTTCCCATAATGTACCTAAAAACTGTTTCTAAAATAATTTCACACCATTCAACAATCAATTTCTCATCCAAAACAGAAAATAGTTTGGTGATTTTTCTGATGTACTTTCGTTTTAATCTTCATCAACTAACCTCTCCCTCAATTCCAGTTTTGTGTCTTGCACCTCCCTTCACAAGCTATCTGAACAACCTTGTTTAGTTACATTTTGAAAACTAAACAATTTCTGAAAATATAAATCAAACACACCCTAATTATCCTTATTGATAAAGGATTGATTAGTGGAAACAGTAGAAGAATAATCTATACATCTTATTGACCTATAACCACAGATGTTAAATCTACAAAGGAGAAGAGATAGAACATGCTCCCTTTTGCTGCCTGTGTACGAATCTACGAGCATTAGTCGTGCTTTCTTTTGCAGCCTTCTAGTCTAAAAAGTCTGAAGCAACTGTAAACTAGCACCAGGAATGCAACAAGAAACACTGCATAAAAAAAACGAAGATATCCCTTGAAACCAGATGATAGTAAGCACATTAGTGAAAACAAAGAAATAGTTCAATTTAAGCATCATACCATAATACTAAGCACGTCACCTTAAAAGACTGACATACAAACTAACTAGTACACACAAAGGATCATTGGCTTTTCTAGTGCAACTTAGAAGAGACTTACCAATTAAGGTACAACAGAACAAGATTGCCAGGCGATATCTTACAAACCATGGCAGGCTAACTTCAAGAGTACAATGCTTCTCATTATCCTGTCCTGCTTTTACTCTGTTAAAGGTCTCTGAATTTGATGATTGCAGTTCCTTCAATGAAACATTAACACCTGTAACTGTGATGCTCTCTTTGTCCCTCACTTTGAATTTCAGAGTCACTGGGTGAGAGTCCCAATCTATCTCAATAGTTCCAAAGTTTGGCTGACCTAATGAAAACCCACATTTGAAACATCAAAACATGAAAAAGCAATGCAAATATCCTTTCCCAGATATAAGAAGGAAAAGTTTACCATATATACAAGATTTGTATCTGCAGTTTTGGCCCTTTACTCTCATTGTAGATGGTGTCAACCATGCCACAAATCTTACAAAAGAACGCAGGAAAGGTGGGACAACTTCCTCGACTGATTGTGTAACCCCACTTGAGGTTACATCATATAGTGGATAGCCCACAGCACAATCATATCTCGTGATTTCCCCAAAGTGAACATCTCCACTAATAAAAAATACTCCAGCTCTCTGTATAGAAAAAAGACTAATAAGTGAAACGAGCACCCACCTACTACAATGTAAATGATGCCAATGTAATTCCCTCTAACAACAAAGATTTAAAACATAGAAAAGAGAAGAAGAAAATGAATGTACTGAAAGTTATTACCTTACTATCAGCTATTAATTTAAAAAGGCGATCTCTTTCCTTTGGAAAACGACCCCATGACTCCATTGCGAACAATGGATGAATGGTTGCTGAAAGATTTGATATAACCTGACATATAGATTAACTATATAATGTAACTACGTAAAGGTGTGTATAAAACAAACCACCACAATCAATACTAAAACTGGAATGCAGGAATGATTTCTTATTAACAACATAAATTCAAGCACAAAACATATTTATACTGAGATCAGCAAAATTTTCATAAGAAAAATACCCAAAGCTAGTAGAATGTGGAAAGCGACTTTCTAACTCAATAAAATAACGACAGACAGAGTCAAGAACACAGACATAATAGTTCATAATGTAGCCAAAACTCAAAGATGCAAAATTAATAATATATATAATGTTCAGTATTGTGAATAATTCTGATTAATCTCTGGCATTATCACTAACAGCTGTACCTGAATAGAAGATCCAATTATGGTAAGAGCCGTTGGTTGACCCTTTAGCTCTTTCTCCAACCACAACCACTGTGAATTCCCCAAAATGGTTCCATCACTTCCTACAGGGTCTCTGTGATATCTGGTATCTAAGAGTACAATCTGAAAAATTTTCCCCAATCCAAAGGAAAAGCAGTATTAGTGCAAGATGCATGCTTAAAAGATAATAATAAAAAAAAAAAAAAAAAAAAAAAAAAAATCTAAAAGCATCTCTCAAGTCTTATTGTTGACAAAAACAAAATGAGTTCTACAACATCATAAGACATTTAAAATGATCAAGTAATCGCTACCATCCTACCACAGCGCAAAAATATAGAAAGAATTTTATGAATTCAATAAATATTATATTACATTTGGTCAATACCTTGATATCTCTACCCACAGGACCATACGTATATGAGGCATATACACCAGCCTGTTTCCGCCTGAAATGAGAAGATAGGGTAAGTATCTAAATCAACATCTGCTTCCTATTAAAATCTGTGAATGAGGTAAATACATGATCAGCTAGACATTGTAAACTCATCTTAACTCTCCATGAAGAAAAATGAGGTTCTACAAGCAATACAATCATAAGTGTCATAATATTGGAAAACTACCCCCCGAACCAAGAGAACGATTCAATATGCTCTGATTATTCTCTTAGCCAGAATGTCAATCAAATAACCCAAAATGTATTATTAAGATCAGTCCAACATGATAATGCAGAAAGGAGATTATCCACCCACCGTGGGCTATCTTGAGGTTCATCCAAGAAATCAAGAAGCAACTTCTGGTTGGTGATTTTTCCCTGAAATTCTTTTCCTGCATCATTTAATCCATAATCGTGATCATCCCATGTACCGATAACCTATTAACATACCAAATGAGAAAGTCAGGCCAAGATACCAATAAATATAGTCACCATTTTACTAAATCAACCCACAGACATTTCAACAATGTGGTTTCAATGAGTCTCAACTAGATAACAATAGAAAGTAGAAAATCTTAGAATGAAGGACCTTAGCATTCTGATGAAGTCGAGCATAACCAGGACTAGATTTAGCTTTTTCATATTTAGCCCTCATTTCCTGCTCAGAGGAAGGAACAAATCGTGGAACATTCTTCCACGGCCCAATAGTCCTTTCCCGTCCAAATACTTTAAAAGGGCGTTTGAAGTCGCCATAAATGTTATCACCCAACCATATAAAAATTTGGGGACGGAAGTCCACCACTGCATCCCAAATGGGCTGGCAAAGAGACACAACACACAGCATACACATATGTTAACGATATAAGATGAAGTTAACAACATCCTGCAATCATAGCAATTAAAAGCGTAAATAATGAAAAATATTGAGCTTGCACGGGAAGAGGATTTTAGCCTAAAGCAGTCAAACAAGAAACAATGTACGATTGCAAACTCAAACTACAACCAAAAAACACAACAGCTTAGCTCTGTGATTTCTTGAATTTAGTTGCAGATGAAACACCATTTGTATGCCTTGGTTAAGAAATGCTCCAAAAGACAATACAGTAGCATACTACCTAGTACAATGCAAGATAAATAGTTGTCTAGTTTTGGTTCAGCATGAACGATTTTTAGTGGTAAAAGTGTGAAATACACTAGGAATTGAAGCTGTGTACTGCGTAATGAATTTTGATTTCTTTTAAAAATAGGGATAAAACGGAGTTTCACATGCATCTCACCCTTTCGAGCAAAATTATATCATGCATTATCATCCCCACTAACAATTCTTACAAATAGGGAACATGTTCCAGAATCCACGGAAATTTATAAACAGAAACAATTGGTTTGTTACTTGTTATACAAAATTAATCCAAATTTTTTTGTTCACAGACAATTACATAATTGTAGTAGTTGTTGTTGTTATTGCTGTTTCTTTTTAAATTGAGTACAAAAGAACTGCAGTTTGCTTAAAGCTGACGTAACATTGGGACTGCAACAGCATCTTAGTACAAGAATTGGGACATCATGGTTGAAATAAAGGAACAGAATCATTAGTATATCAGTTCCATTACACGACACTGCAGCATGGGTAAAAATAAAACAAAGACAAGACAAAACAAACCAAACCAAAACAAGAATAAAAAGTAGGAAAAAAATAAAATACAAACAAAGCATGACAAAATAGGAAAATTTTTGAAACCTGAGGAGCGCTCTGGTTGGAGCATGATCCGAAGGCAATTCGAGAGACCACTTGTTCATGCTTCTCGTGACTGTCGGAACCGGCAACGGTTACTGTACCGCGGACCATTACGATAAAAACTACGGCGTTCCACCACCGCCACCGACGTTGATCGATACCCATTTGCCCAATAACCAAAACTTCGAATCCAATTCTTTCTCGGAGTTCATAAAAAGGGAACTTTCTCACGATTTGAGACCAATGGCAGACACAAAAATGAACCTTTCGGTCGTTATATAATTCATTTTTTTTTCTTTTTTATGCACTTTCCAATAAAAATAAAATAAACAGGATTGAATGAAACAATTTTCAAATTTGGAAATAAATATACGTAATTTTTAAAGACAACACACTCTTTTTTTTTTTTTTTCTGCAAGAGATTGTCGCAAAGTAACTTTTTACGTAGTCTTTTTAAAACATTTTTTTCTGGAAGAAATAGTCACAGAGTCACTTTTTCTGTAAAATTAATACTATTATTTTGGAAATGATTAAGTTTTTTCTTCCTGTATTTAAAGGTCCGAAATATTTTTTTTGCAATTTTATCAGTAATCTTTACTAACATACTAACTTTACTAAAAGAAAAATCTTCTCATTTTTATACGTGTTTTTCATCGGTTAAACTTAACCCTGAACTTCATTCAAAAATTAAAAGTTAACTTTACTCAAACTAATATAATCTTAAAATAATTAACTTTTAATATCTTTAATAAATGTCCGTAATTTGTATTATGTGATTTAATGTAATTATCACGTATTAATAATATAATATTATTATTTAATCATATATTGTTAGTACGATAAATTTATTAATTTTAAATAATTATTAAAAAACCAGATATTTTTTTGTTAATAATTGAAAAGATAAATAAATTACATGAAGCTTAAGCAAATATTTATTTATCTATTAAAATTTGACTTTAATTACATCTTATATAAAAAAATAAAGAGTAATTTATATATAATTATTTATCTAGTAAAAAATATTTTAAAGATAAAATCGTGATAAAAAAAATACTTCAAAATAAATAATATATCCCACATCATAATTGATTTAAATATACTTAATTAAAATTTTATATTTAAATAATAAATATTTATATTAATAATATTATTATTCAAAAACTAATAATATGTAAGTTGAAAGTGTGTATAAGAAGAGAAATAATGCATTATCATACTAATTTATATATGAGAATAAGAAAATAAAAGAAAAACATGAATATACAATGTAGCAAAAGGAAATGTAATATTAAATATTATTTATTGGATATTTTGGAGGATGAGATATATTGAGGTCTATCCATTGGAAAAATGGAATTGTTGGAGCAAATGGTAATTAATTAGTACCATCACCATGTCTATCTGTCCACACTCCACAGTGAAGCAACTTTATTCGCCGCACTGATTGCTGATCATGGAGTTTGCGTTGACTGTAGTTGACCACTGACCAGACATGGAACCCATTTATCCTATGTCCTACAAAAGCATTCCTCAGAGGCTAAAAATCTGGAGTTTGTGCAATCAAACAAATCCAATGTTATCACTTTCAACAGTTAGCTTCCACACACAATTGCATATATCTCTATCCTCTCTCTAATGCCAATAACATTCATCATTGAGCCATTTTTTGTTCACCTACTTTTCTATTCATTGAGATACAACTGTTCAGCTAGTTGATTATTGCTCGTATATTATGTCAGTAGAGTTTAGGATACATAGATATAGATAGGTTTGGATTTAATTTGCGAAAGAAAAGGGTTAGTGGGCAAGAACAGAGAAGCTGGAATCAGAGAATGGGCACGTGAATTTCCTCAGTTGATGTTGTAAAAGGCACCCGAATCTAGCACTCAAATAGTTTAATCTTTATACATCAATAATAGTTTTGAAAAAAATCATTCGATCATTCGTTGGAACATTTTCTTTTCAACATGAAACATATTTTACTGTACTTCGATCTGGTCCATTATACATATATATTCGTTGAGAGTGACAAAATGTTGGCATTGCTTGTCAAAATGCCTTTTCACTCAATTCTTTTCTAAATTTGAAGAATCAATGCGATAATGTTATACATTTTTAGAGACTAAAATAGTATTATATTGAAAGAAGAGAATATGAGATAGTAAAGTATAGGATTACTCATGTGGCTAGCATTGTTTTTTGAAGCAAGATAACGTGGTGGTTTATGGATGCATGCATATATGCATGGCTTGGAATGAGAATGAGATCAGTCTCCCTTTATATACAGATACTGTTGCGTGAAATTAATTACGTAACTTAAAAATAAATTTTGCAAAGCTTCAATGATAGCAGAATGATCCAACCAGCTGAAAGATGGGTTTCATGGCACTGTCATTAGATTAAGGGTTTATGTTTAATACAAAATTTTAAAATTTAAATTTGATTGAAAAACAACATCCACTACACAGTTTTATAATTAATATTTTCTTTAACTCTATGCATGTTCTGTTCATCCCAACTTCAACAAGATTCCTACACTATGTTTGACTTATATTAGGAACCTTCTCAATGTAAAGCCACAGGTTAATCTTCTGCACACTCTTGGAAAGGGTAATAAAATAAAACTGATGATTTCATGATTAAACTTGGATCATTTTATGGTCATGGTCTTCATACCATGAGTGAGGGATATTAGTTTCCTCTTCATTTTTTTTGTTTGAGTGTGGGAGCATCTTTATTATTAATTTTGGATTAAATAATATATTATTAATAAATATAAGAAAAATATAAAAGATAAAAAAAATTATAAATATATAAATAAATAAATTTAATAATTATTAAATTTTATATTAAAATTATAAATATATATAAAAGTTCCAAAATTTTTGGATGGATCATAATTCCACTCAAATATTATTATAGAGAAAATTAATTTCAACGTTACATTAAATATTTATAATATAATTATATCTTAAAAATTTTGTGAAAAAAATAAATTATAATTCTTTGTAAGTAATGTTTTGGAGTAAACACTCTTTCTATATTAATTCAATTTTTTTAAAAATATTAGAAAAATTATAAGTTAGTGTATTAAAAATTATAGAAAAAACGTATTTTAATATATATATATATATATATATATATATATATATATATATATAGAATAAAAAATAATGATAATTGTCCTTTCTCAAATTTTAAAGTTAAGAAAATGCCATTAAAATGACGAAGGAAAGTTGCACTAAAAGTACATAATTAGTCTCGAATTTTTAGAAATAGCGACATAATGATGACACGTCAATAAGTTGATTCCAGGTAGCTTATGGGATGTTTTGTAGATGGGAGAGGAAAAAAAAGTGTAAAACAAAAGTTGGTTGGTTGAAAAATAAATATAATGAAACTTGATTTTATTTATTGCTAATAAATTTATTTATTATTGTTGTTATAAAAATAATAAAATTTTATCATAATTCATTATGTTGCTGCCCTATTCTATTATAATTTTTAAAATTGATGAATATTAAGTAAATATTCATTCGTATAATCGATTAATATTTGTTTGTCTTTCCTTTTACAAGTACACAATTTTTTTAACAAAATGGCCGTAGACGCAAAAAATAATTAACCACCTTATCTACAGAATAATAAACAGTTTTTAAAATTAATTTTGGTAATGTTTAAACTGGATTTTTAATAAAAACGAGTATCGTTAGCATGTTTTCTTCAACAATTTCAAATTTATTTTTATTATAATTTTGTATTTGCAGTCATTAATTTGAAACCAATTTTTAAAAATACTCAATAAAACAGTTCGTGCTCAAATTTAAAACTGAGTGTTTATATAAAATTCTTGTGTATAATATCGTCTTTTCGATAAAAAAGAAAAAAAATGGTTGTTGTCAACTACAGTATTAAATAGTGTAAGCATGATAGTTCATTATTACGAAATCACATCAATCATCTATATTTTCTATGATAATTATTTTTCCTCACTTTAACGTCTTACAAATAAGTTCTCCTCTACTGAATTTAAATACAGCTCAGTTAGGATTGTAAAATGGAGATACTTTTCTTTACTCTCTTGATTTACTCTTGCTTTTATGTTCTGAAGAATAAAAACAAGATAGAGAAATGGAGAAGATATCAATAATTTTTTATTTTTTTAAATGCTAGTGCGGCATTTGAGAAGTTAGATAACTGCTTATTGAGTGTAAAAAAATTAAAATAAGATCAGTTTAAGACAAGGGAGAAAAATTTCGTTTTCATATTTTTTTCTATTAAAGTAGAAGATGATTGCTTATTGGGTATTGCTTTTATGGGCCTTCTTTCTAATCAAAATGAAATTGTGTCGTCCAAGCCCATTGGGTATTGCTTTCGAATTAAGGTCCATCTTCCTAGCTGGCAATATTTGTTTGAAGTGAAAGCATGAACAAGAAACTTATGACATTAAAGAAATGGTGTATGAAATGAAGAGATAAGAAATATAAACTTTTTTATATTTATAACTGTTAAGTACATTTGAGGCCATAAAATCTCAGCCAAACTATATAAATCACTCAGCAATGAGGAAAAAAATAATTGAAAAAGATTTGACTTTTGACTTATTTATGATAACATATAGTGTGTTAATAATTTAGTATATATTATTTGAAGGAAGCAACCAAAAGTGAATTACAATCATGAACTGTTTTCTGGTTTTCTAAGTGCAAGAACTTTGCAAAAACACCAACTAAGGGAGCAGTATTATATGTGCATGCTTCAGTCTGCATAAAATTGTTCCTTCGATCCTCAAAATTGTCTTTCCCATCAGGACCTCCAACCAAAGCCCCAACAAGAACATTAGGGTTTGGCTCTTGGCTACCATACCAATTATCATACCCTTGGGTACACCCTATGAACCCTTTATTCTTTTTGTATGACACAATGGATGCCCCTCTATGGTGCACCCTTTTGGGGTAGTTAGGGCCATACCCTACTAAATAGCTCATCTTCATTGGATTAGACCCCAAAATGTAATCAACCTGTGATTTAGCAAAACTATGAATTTCTTCATGATCCACTGTGCCCCCATGGCATTTCAGCTTTTGATTTGTGTTTTGAAGGAAATCAGAGTATATTGAAAGCAGAAAAGCTGCTGTTGAAACATATTGCATGTTGTTCCACTCTCGGATATATAGTAATCCACCTGGGGTTCTTTCCACGTTGTTCTTGCTCTCATTATTCTTGCTGAGACATGAGCATATATAGTACTCTGCTTTTGATCTGTATTGTTCAACTGTATCCCTATGCTGCTTCTCTTTTTCTTCGCTTAATAACTGCTAAACATGAAACTGTAGTTAGAGTGCAAACACTTGCTACGTTACTATTATTAAACCCACTGCTTGCTAGTTGACATTTGATTCTAAGTTCATCATTCCTTCTCATAGATTTCATGCTAATCTCATCCACAATCATTGTTTTCTCTGTCCAAATCAAACTCTTCGCAGTGCAATGTTCATTCTCACCAAAAACAGTGTACACATGGGTGGGGTCAGGTCTAATTATAAAGTAAAACTATTTAATTAAATGCGGACTTGATTAGATTAAATTTGTTGTTTTTTAACAAGACTGAGTTTGGGTTTAAAGCTACCAACTTAATAATAGATGCTCTCTAAACAACTGAATGAACACAAAATATTTAGTTTGGATATCACCATGTGCCCTCAAAAGACAAAATCCCTTCAAATGATTTTTTGTTTTTAAAACAACTTGCATGGGCACTCAGAGAAAAAGACGAAATAAAAATTTCAGATGAAACCGGAAAAATAACGAAAAAGACTTGGATAAGTTGGGTTAGGATTTTAATCTCTGACTCATGACCTAATTCGTTAAATCCCGATCTATCAACTCTTAAACCAGACACAGATTTGGTTGAGTTGAAGTAGGTTGACCTGTTCATCTTTTTTTATAAAACTGCGTTATAATTAACGATAATCTTCAACTAATACTAGATAAATATGTTTAAAAATATTAAGAAAAAAATATTTGAGACGCATTAATTTTCATCTTAATTTTTTATTTTTACCATAACTTTTTACTTATTTCCATTTAACTTATTTTTCGTATGTTTTATTTTTTCTACCAAACGGGTCCAAAGGATGTCCTACCTCATTACTCGTTTTGTATTATTTATTAAGAAAAAAAAAAGAAGGGGTAGTGAAGAGAGGCGTTTAAGGGTATCTGTACTCGACGGTTCTAACATTCGGCTCAACCATAAGCCACAACACTTTAATTGCACTGTGTTCACAAAGCTAAAGCAGTAGCTGCACATGGCTTTGTGCTCGGATACACTTTTGAGTTTTTGTGTCTTTAATACCCCCACATAATATACTAATTAATATACCTTAATTCGTGCATACTCCATGAATGACCTTTAAAATAAAGTACCAAGATTTAAGCCATCATTTTCATTTTTGAGGTTAGAAAAGCAAAATCTAGATAAAGTTGGATAGAGATAAAAGTGCGAGTCACATGGTGGGAAATAAAATCAAAGGGGCATGTTGAGTGAAGAGTGATTGAAGAAAAAACTTACCTTTGAGACCATGAGTTGAAGACCAGCATACTTAACATCCCAGCTGAATTCTGAAATGGACCAACCAGTGCCACCAAAGCTACGAGCGTTGGAGAGAAGGTAATGAAGATACATTTTGTTGTCGGTGGCCTTGTACAGCCACGTGGCAGCCCACAACAACTCATCCATGTAACCACTCACCGACGCATAGTAGCTCTTTACCACTCCGACACTCTCATCATAATTCCCCCTATACTTGTCCCCAAACTCAAACAACTACAAAACACACACACAATAAATACTACTACTCATTCCAATCATCTTCATTCAAACATTCAATTCTCATTTTTTTAATCCTAATTTCAAAACTTTTCTATTCTAAGTATGCTGATTAGCAACACTCGTTCATGAACCTTAACTTCTCATACCCAATTATTAGTTTTGAAACTGAGATCGTCACTACAACAATTATTATTAATTATGACACCTAGTTAAAACCTATCAATAAAGCACAATAAATCAAGCTTTTTAATTAGCACACAAAGAATTGGCTACTCACTCACTGACTCACCTGCAGGGCATGGTGCAGAAGCAAGTGAGAGTAATGTGGGTTTGTTTTTCTGAACACTATGGATGCAGCTGCCATAGCTGCTGCAGTCTCTCCGGCCAGATCTGAACCAGGATTATTCTCATCTATCTTAAACGCTCGCCGCGAAGTCGTCATGTCCTCTGGCCGTTGCCAACAATAATGGTCAGTGTCACCATCACCCACCTGACAAAGATCATTAATTTCAGAATTCCATTCACTCTCTGGAACCAATGCCTAAGTAAAACACTGGGAATAATGAATTGGATTGAGTTGGAAGAGATGCAGTGATAGCCAGAAAAATCTAAAAAGTTTGGTATAGTTGTTTTTTGTATCACTAGTTAAATGAGGTTTGATATAATCATCCTTAAACTTCCGAAATTACCATAGATTTTCTCTTGAATTAGTTAGTACCTCAGCCCATAGGACATTTGGACTTGTGTGAGCTTTGATGAAATAATCAGTGCCCCATTTGATCGCCTCCAATGTGTGTTGTAGTTCACCTGCATCTTCAATCTGTTGCCTATACTCTATGGCACTCCATGAGAGCATTGTGATGGTGAATGCCATTGGTAAACCAAATTTCACATGATCCCCTGCATCATAATACCCTCCCACCAAGTCCACCTACACACACACAAAAAAAAAAGTTATAATTTTGAAAGGGAATTGGCTACCAGGAAAGTAAAAGACAAGAGTTTGATGAGTTGTGGCATGTGGGCATAATTGAGAATTTGGACCTACCCCTTCTTCCAGACCATCAGTGAGGCCAGAATGGTCTCTCCAAGTGACACGCTGATTGTAAGGTATCCTCCCAGAGCGTTGTGCTTCAAAGTAGAGAAGACTCTTTGAAAGTGCATCAGCATAATCTAAAGCTGTGGCGGTGGTGAAGAATGTGGAGATGAAGAGGGTAATGAGACAACAATGCTGTACTAGAGAGGGGGTGTTGGAAGTTCCAAAATGGTGTTTTTTATGTGGTTGTGTGTCCATCTCCATTGCCTTTGCCCCCTTCCCTCCTAAAGATTTTAGGAGTGGAGGGAATTGGTAAAAAAGAAAAGTGAAGACACACAACACTATAGCACCAAAGTGGGAGTTTGAATTGTGTTTTAAAAGGCTGAGATATGCCTACGATCTATCTAAAATAGGGTGGGATCATTTTGGGAGAGCCCCACAAAATGCGAACGTGAAACTATCCCACAAGTTTTACTTGTTTGTTGTACACAAGGGTTAATTTTGCAGCACTTGAATGTCCCTCTGTGTGCCAAATAAGGAAAACAACACCATTCACCATTCTCTGTTGACTCTTGTTAAAATTCCACTGTCATTTCATGCCACCTCCTCCTATTTCCCTCCATCTATACCACAACAGTTTTTTCCATACTTATTGCTTCCAACTCATTTTCTCAGTTTCAAATCTGATATTATTACTGATGATAACTGAAAAGTTTGTTCGATTTTATAAAATTAATAGGTTTTCCTATTTAACAGTTTTCATTAGATATTTTTTAGTTATTTAAAAGTTGCAGAGTTTTTAATGTTAGATATATTTTCTATAATTTCACATTTTTTAGTCAATATTCTCAGGAGACTCATTATTCAATCTTTGACGATGAGATTCAAAGTGATTTAAAATGCTGGTAAAATAACGTAATATATTATTAGATATTTTTTATTATTTACACCACTCAATTTCATTTGACTGTTCGTATTTTAATATACTGACAATTATTTATCTTCAATGTTTCTCATGAGATCAATTATGGTACATTCATGAGCACATGATAAAAAGTTCAAATAGCAACACGTTTTATTTGAAGAGAAAGGTGTTTGGGTTAAACAAGTAATTGTCATGCAAATATTTATATATAAATTATTTTTATAATCTAGAAGAAGACAGGGTGTTGTTTCCATATAGTGAGTTGTAAGATTTTTTTAATATATTGTTTTGAAGACTTTATAATTAAAATAAGTTTTAAAAGTAATTTGAGAAAATAGGTTATTTATACAACACTCACTATTCAAAATAATAGCTTTCAGAGTGTTTTAAAACTTTCTGCCAAGAAAAAATTAACATGTTATTAAACATTAAACTATATTGCCTCCAGAAAATCATTAAATGTTGTTTGAATTTTAAGTGTAAGAATAAAATTGACAAAAGAATAATTAATTTTATTTTAAATTTAAATTTTATGAATAAAATTAAAACTAAAGAATCAATAATTAAAAATAAATTAAGGAATAGAGTAAATATTATCTTTGTTTTTATGAGATTAACCATGCTATTCATGAGCACATGATAAAAAGTTGAACATACAAAAGAAAATATTTGAAATTGAATAATATATATATATATATATATATATATATATATATATATATATATATTTTACAAAGAAAAGTGTGTGAATAATCGATTTAAAATCAAACAGTGTTTTATTTAAACTACTTCAATCGAGAGGATCGTTAAAGATATGATCCAAAGTTAATTAACCATTTATGTTACTATTTGCTCTCATTTTTAAGACTACTATTAAGGCCTAATATAAATTCTATAATTTAAAATCTATATTTTGGATTGATGAATGTAAATGTGGGCAAACATTATGAAGACGATCATAACTGAGAAAAAGAGTTAGAAAAGGTATTGATTTATTTTATAAGGGTATTATGCACATTAACTAATTGATAATAAGAATATATCTTATATGAATAAGAGCATGAAGAGATAAAAGAAAAAGAGTTATGTTTTAAGGGTTATGAATAAGGATATGTAGTTAAGTTGGTGTAGAACAGGTATTATATAACTATCTAAACGGTGCATAGGTGTGTTTGGGTAAGAGTAGAGGTTGAAAAATAGAAAAATCGTCAAGTAATTGGAGTCTTGGAGGATGCGTTGCAATGTGGAGGGTGATCAATTTCTTATCTTTGCAAACAGTTAACGTGTCAATGTGCACAAGTTTTAAGCTGAGCAAAAATGGTTCTTTAATGGCTAAAGTTGGTCAATTTCTTATATCAAAAGCGATTTCTCTTCTATTAAGAGATTGCGTTTGCCAAACCTTGCTTCAAACAAAAATAAAAAATGTTCTCATGAAGAAGGCTATCACTTGTGCTGCCATGCCAGTTTCATGTACATGCATTAAAACTGGATTGATATTGCACCGTGTTACTATTTTTTTTTTTTTAATCAAAATTCTTCTTAAGTGCACATGTTTTACATATTAATTCTTTTCAATTTTACAATAAATTATTATTGCCAAAACTAGTCTTTTAAGATTTTAATCCAATACAACTCAGTTGAAATTTCAAAGTTAACAATTTGTTAAAAATAAAAAAGAAAAATTAATACTAATTTATTTTTTATTAATAAAAGCTTAAATCAAATGCATTCCCGCGTAATCCAAAAAGAAAGATAAGAATGAATATAAAATGTGGAAGAAGAAAGAAGAAGCTCATGATGATTGTTTATTATACCAATCAACTAAAGATTAGGGGTAGTAACAGCACACCAAACGTAATAATTACTCTCGAATTAATAAAAAGCAGCATAATAATACCATTTCAAAAGGTTAATTTGTCAATGTTAATCTCATTTATTTTCTAATTTTATCACATTTCTATCTTTCTTCTGTATCATATGTTTGAAAGACCCATGCATGATGAGGTAATAAGTAGGAATTAGAATTGTGCACCTCCACATTTAAGCTTTGGAGACTCAATAAAATAATAAATCATTTAAAACTCAACCTCTCTTTATGTAAAAAGGATAAATGAAACTCAGGAATTGCAGAGATAAAACCTTATTCCTCGTATAAATTTGATCTTGTCTTTCCATTTTCAAAAGTAAGACATTGGTTCTTGACAAGCACCGACAAAATGTATTATTCGATGCTGCGACATGCAAATCTCCAACTTACGCTGCTGTCATTGCTCCTTCCTCTGTCTCCCATTATCGCATCACACATCGCATCACATACTTGAATCCTGCCTCAAAAATTACTCTTTTTATTGTATTATTTCCATTTCTGTAGAAGATGCCTTAGAAAACGTGAATCAAATTCAGTTTCCTTAGAAACGTGTCTTCTTCTTCTTCTTCTTTTTTCAGACACGGCTCTGTTGATTGTTGACTTAATAAACCATAATTTTGATTTGTATGTAAAATTTACACTATCAATTATAAAGTAAAGCAATTAGAAATTTCAAGATAGTTATTTTGTGTATGTATGTATCCCTTATGCTTGTTTTGTGCAGTTAAGAAATTAACGTGACACTACATATGTAAATTAATCAGATAGGTCCTTGCAATTAATTTAAGAGAAGCAACAAAAGAAAATCATTTAACTTGAAATTGAATAGTTATTAAGATTTAAATTTATCTGCATGTGGACTATGTAGCCCATTACCCACTAGATCAAATCTTCTAAATTTGTGGGTTGGGTAGATCCAAATAAAATTTACATTTTAAATATGGTATATATATTTTTTAAATATTAACAATATATTTCGTTACATATTAATTTTAGTAACTCTTTATTTTATTTTATGTTTAATTAATGATTCATTTTAATTTTATATATTTTAAAAAATTTAACGAATGATCAAACTATAGTTGAAGAAGTGAGAGAGAAAAATGTTGTTAGTACTTTTAACAAAAAAGTTCGGGTATACCTAAATGGTAAAAATATAAGTAAACTGTTATCTAAAATTGACAAAGATTTAACATTTATTCAAACGGAAAGTAAAGAAAATGGAAGTAAAATTAACCCAGCCCTAATATTATTTCCATGCATGAATGAGAGATCGACGTGAAGATACGTCTCATACATTATTTTGATTACATTCTTTGTCTTATTATAATTTTTTACTATACAAATATTTTATTTTTTTAAAAGACAATAATTTAAATACAATCTGTGGTTAATGTGGTGAATGAGGCAAGACATGAACTACGCAACCAACCATAAATGAATACTTAATTAAACTTTGGGCACGACAACATTAATCTCTACGTAATCATCCCTATTATAGTTACAGCTGTTCTGTTCTGACAATAACTGTATATATTATGTGTATCTCAAGTACGTAAATGGCGTACACTAAAGTCTCTTGATATTGAGATTTCCAACAAATAAATTAACTTACTACTTCAGTGCATGAATGCACACTTCAATTTACAAATTAATATACGTCACTCACCACAAAATTTAACTATTATAACCATATGATGCTACCACTTTTTGAACTCAACTTTGTAGCATTTCAACAAAATACTTCACTCGTAATAATTCAGTCATACACACGCATTATCAACCTAATCATTCAATTCCATCTTAAGGTAAAATATATAGATATAATATTTAAATAAATTATCTCAGTTTAAATTATTTTAATACATTCATTTCAAATCTAAATTCACATTTTTAGTTTAGAGAACTTCTAAAAACATTACAACACATGAACTAATTCAGTTGTTGTAAGTATAGTTTCACTTATCTCACTATTTAAATTTTTCTTTATTTATTATAAAAAAATAATAAAGTTTAAATCCGTAGAATAAAAACTTGGATCGCAGATAAGTTCTGTATTTGGGTCACGGATAATTTTGGACCACAAATACATGTGTTATGATCATGCTGGTATTGGTTAAGTCCAGAGGCCAAAAATCATAGCTTTTTTTAGAATTGTGTTATCACATAGTAGTCGAGCACCGACTACTTAATAATTAAATTAATATAAAAATAAATAGAGTGTGATACATATGTGGAGCAGTGAATGAAGTTGCAGCTATTCATTGTAAACCTAGATGTTGGAAATTTCAAAATGATGTGTAGTTTGGGTTCTAGAAACCTAAAATAGGTAGGGTTTGTTTGGTTATTAACCATAGAATGAAAATTGATGCATAAAATTAGGGCACCATTTATCAGTGCATCTGTTGCCAGTGACGGTGAGGGAGTATTGGTTTGGTCGTGATTGGTCCACACGTAAGACACTGCCTTTAAATGCGTTGGTATGTTTCAGTCGGTGCAAACCTATCATCACAACTACAACTGTTCCAAAACCACATTTTTTTTCTTCATTGATTTATTCTATTGCTCATCACACATGTATTCACTAATTAAGTCCATCTTTGGTTCTAGTAGATTATTGGTTAAAAAGAAAGTGAAGGAACTTATTTGCAATAAATTTGGTTTGGATATAAGGATTTTGTAAAAAATATAATTGATTGTCTTTTAATTTTATATTTTTCTTTTTAAATTGATGAAATTTGATTGAAAAATCATTTTTGTAAAATAAATTATCTTAAATGTCATTTTATATTGTTTAAATAACTACTTATTTAGAAATATAAATTAAATAAATAAAAATAGTATAATTGATTTGGTAATTTTATTATTATTATTATTAAAATTACATAATTCATTTACATGATTAAAAAAAATTACAAGATTTAAATATTTTTTCTTTCTTTATGGTAAGAAATACATAAAAAAATTATTTACATTATATCTATTATCTATATATTACTCTTAAATATATTATTTTATTTCATAATTTTTTATCTATAATTTATAATTTTATTTGTTACTTAATAATTATATATTTATAATATATAAGTTTATATTTAATTTTTATTTTAATATAAACTTATATTAGTTATATATATATATATATATATATATATATATATATATAACAATGTAATTATGTTTTGAATACAATTTTATAGATAAAATACCTGAATATGAAATTTTAAAGAGATTTAAATCGTATAATCGATTAAATAATATAAATATTTCGATTACATTAAAAAATATTATTATATTTATTATATATAAATTAATGTTAATAATATATATAATTATAGTTATACGTATATTTTTTTATTATAATAAAATTAAAATTATATTTATATATAAATTTAATTTTTTAATATGTAATCTATTTTTTTATTAGATTTTATTTTTAATTAGTATTTGAAATATATAATTTATAATTAATAATAAAAATTATTTTAAAATAATTATTAGTAATTTTAAAATGATCATAAATTATTTTTATATTATATATATTACAGTTTTATGTATAATATAATTTTTTTAATTAGTACTTGAGATAAAAAGTTATATAATTTGTAATTAATAATAAAAAAATAATTTAAAATAATTATTAGTAATTTTAAAATTATCATAAATTATTTTTATATTTTATATATAAAATAATTTTAATATATCTCATAATTTTATGCATAGTATAAATTAAGTTATATTATAATTTTAATTTATACTTATTTTATCTTTTATAAATATAAAATTATTTTGATTATTACATATTTTAAATTATTAATTTAATTTATTTAATTCTATCTTTTATGATTTTTCTACTAATTTATTTTTATTTTCTACCTTTTTCTTCTTAATCTAAATAATTACAATTTTTTATTTTTTTCTTTTTTTTTCACCGTCTCAAATCCACCTTTAACATAAGGTAAAAGAATTAGAGTTCTCTTATAAAAATTATACAAAAATTAAAATAATACAATAGCGTGAAATAAATATAGTCTATAACAAAGTATTTAATAAATTACATTCATTCTTTAATTTATTTTCCTCGTAGATTACAATATTGAATATATTTTTAATAAAAAATTATTTAAAAAGGACAATAAATAATATTCATCTTAGAAAAAATAATTATGTGTTCTGTATTATTTATAATAATGAATTATAAATTGATAAAAAATATTTTTATATAACTTTTACATTCAAACACGTAATAATAATTTGTAACAGAAATTTGTTGTACGGGCCGAAACCCTTGCTTTCACACCATCCAAACGATTACAGAAGAGCCCATAGTCTTTTTTGGCCCATTAGTTCATTACTTTTTCTTTAAAAACCTTTTTTTTTGTCAATACCCAAATAATTAGGACTGCATACAAACAAATTGCGGGCCCAATTTTGTATCCTACTGTTAATTGTTCAATCTATATTACTCTTTTTCTTTATGTATACATCCACTTGTTTTAATCTTTTATATTTTTTATCAAAAATTTATTTATTCTCCGCTTATGTACCCTTTAAATAAGTAATGAAGAAGGATGGACAACCATAAGAGAAAAAAAATATTTAAAAGTTATTATTTTTTTCTTTCTTTAATTTAAATTTATTTTATCTTCTTTTTAATTTTATTAAATTTAAATAAAAAATAAACACTAACGGATATTTCATAACACTGCTTGTTTGGTTTACTGTATATGTTATTTTATTGGAATTAATTTTACAAGACAATATAAATCAGTTAAACAGAAAACACTTCTTTCAGCAGGAATTAGAATAATTCTGATTTATCACAGTGAGAAATTAGTCTCATTTAAAAAACAAATTATTTGTTATTATTTAAAATTATAAAATTTGACAAGTTTTATTCTTTATATATTGAACTTTACTAATAATTATATATAAAAAATACATAAAAAATTTTGTGTTAAAAATATATTACTCAAACTTAAAAAAAAAAAATAACGTTAAACATCCGAGATTATAAGATTACACTTATTTTTTTTTTGCTTAATAGTTGTAGAAACTTTCTTTACATAGCGCGGTGAAAACAAAATTTATATATAATAATAATAATAATAATAATAATAATAATAATTATTATTATTATTATTATAATAATTATAATGTATGTCAGAAGTATATAAGAGTTTTTGTAATGTTTTTCAAATAATCTAAAAATAAAAAATTGAAATATTTATGTCATTTTATAAAATCTTAGATACAAATTAATGTATATTAAAAAAAAACTGGACAAACTTAAAAGAAATAAAATTGAACAAACTATTTATTTATTTATTAAGCATGAGGAACCAATAAATGACAATAATGATGTGAATTAAAATGTATTTTGTTCCCTAAAAACCATTAATCTGAAAATCAATTATTTTTAAATAAATAAATTTATTTTTTATTTTGAAATATAAATAAATATTAATTAATATCATATTACATATCTGCTTTTTGTAATAGCTAATTAACACATTAACATTAAAAATATATAATTATCATGAAATAGAAATTTACTATTTTAATTATTACATTATTTACTCTACTATTTATTTCGTATACTATACTTTAATATTTATAATCTTGTTTAAAATAAAATTAGTACACTTAAATAAATGTCATATTTTCGTTGTGGAGCCTTTAAAATAATATAAGTTCAGCTCGTTAAAATAATTATTGTTTAAATCAAAAGATAATAAATATAAAAGTAAAAAACTATAATATAAAGAAACACTGTTTAAGACAGTATTTTAAAAATGATACAAAGTATTATAACAAATTGATTCTATCGAATATTATTCATAAAATAAAACAAACTTTTCAATTAATGTATATTTACATTTTCTTTTGGAGTAAATGGAAAATTTTACCCTACAATTTATAACCTTCTATCTTAAATAGTTCCCAGAGAATAAAACTATTTAAGTAGTAAATATCTTTCAGATAGTTAATAAAATAAAATAAAATATTTTTAATTTATGATATATGACTTAATTTTAACTTATAGAAGAGTTAATCTTTTTCTTCTCTACAAATTTATAAAGAAACTTACTTAAACATATATTTTATTTATTACAGAGATAGTCTAAAAAAGACTAAATATTGACAACCATGATAATCTCACCATTCCACATTTATAATGTTTCTTCAAATGAATACCCAAAACAACTTAACAATTTTCTTAAACATTTGTATTCATGACTATACAATTAAAAACTCTCCCAGTTATTGTCACAAATTTTAAAAATTACTTTAACTATATTATTTCTTGATCAGCAAAAGAAAATCAGATAATGTGTATCAGGTCATATTAAATATCGTTAATGAATATATCAATGACTTATTAAAACCCTTATCCACTAGTGAGATTTTTTTTAATGAAATAAGATGTTTTTGGAACATTAATTCACATGAGGAATAAAATTAGAGTCTTAAAACATCAAATATATTATCTCAATTTGCCAGGATACAAGACATAACTTCAAGTTTTTTTTTTCTCAAGAAAGATAAATTTGATTTTATGTTTAATTAAAATAAGATTTTTCGTAACATTTATATATTTTTAGTTTTGTATGGTTTTGAAACTTCTTAAATATTTATTGATTTAGTTAAATGAACACTCTAAATAAAAGATAAGTATTGCATTGTATTAAAAAATTATTTTTATTGATAGTTATATATGTTTTTAAGTCTCTATAAAATTAAGCAATTTTGATTTTAATTTGTATAATTTTTTTATTCTTATAAGATTTAAAATAACTATTTCCAGCTCTTATAACATATGTAAACTTTAGTTTTATTTTTGGTAAAATATTTTTCTTTAATTTTTCATCAAAATTTTAGCTATTTTTTTTAGTTTATAAAATAAATTACTAAAATTACATCACTATATTAAAATATTAATAAAAAAATATCATAATACTATGAAGTTTCACTTAGAAGTTCAATTAACATTTTATTTATCACATAAATATATATATATATATATATATATATATATATTTTTTTTTTTTTTTTATTTTAAGTTGAAACCAGTAGACGCATGTGAAGAGATGAAACGAAAACAGAGTTCCCATAGACGAATTAGGGCAAGAACATGATGCATCCAATGAATTTCCGTACAATCCCATTCGTCGCTAAAACAGTCCTTTCAGGGACCAAAGAAGGACATTTCACTGACCCCACTTCAGCATTTGTGGGGGCCCATGCATGCTTCACTGTGATTAAGGCTTACTTTTGTAAACCATGTCGTTTTTCAGAACCAAAAAATAATAACTAGCTTATTCAGGGTGTTGTTACACATGCACTTTTCCTTCCCATTATTTCGCTAATTAATATTTCGTGCTTTTATTCACTTTATTGTTGCATTGCACTTTACTTTCTTCTCAATTCTTCTCCGTCTTCCTTATCATCCTTCTTCTTTTTGTTCTTTCCATACACCTCTTTCTTTCTCTCTGTATTCATCAGAAGCTTCAACAATGGCAGACATTACCCATCTCCCTATGGAACAGCTTCAGGACCTTGAATGCTGCTTAGACTCTAATCCTCCCTGGGGTATGTTCTATCCCTTTCCCTCTCTCATTTTTTTTTTCTCTTGTTTCAAATATAACATACTAGCTTATGCGTTTCTCTGTATTTTTTCTTTTCAAGTTGCTTATCTCACTTGTCGTTTTCCTTAACTATATTCCTTTTCATCATCTTCTTTTAACATCCGACAAAAAAAAAATTGCTTCTTTTGTAAGCAAAATAAGGGTGCTTGTTATATATTTGGTTTTGAAGATTGATGATCATTTGGGGGCAAAAAAGAAAAAAAAGGGAAGAAGAAGGTTTTCAGTTTTGAAGAACAAATGACAATGTTTTATATTTTCTCCAACCGTTGTTACAAACCTAAATGGATGAGATAGAAGAAATGGTCGAAAGCTTTTTCTTTTTCTGTCTTGAAGCTATTGCATGAGCTAGGTTTTCTTCCATGTGGGTTTGTTGGTTTTGAATGCGTTGCTGCAAAGAGTGTGAGACTACGCTATTACTTCGGGTCTGGTATTATATGGATTGAAAAGTTGAGATTTTTACGTTATTTTGATAGAGTGGGAGTTTGAAGTTTAAACTTTTCTGTTTTTTTGGGCTTTTTCTTCTTGGGTTAGATTTTAGTTTGAAGATCAATTCTTTATGCACAATCCTAGCATTATGTTTTTTAAATAGAAATCTCGAAATCCATGTTTTTGATCATCATTTTAACTTATCTTTTAGTTATTGTGTGAGATATTGATCACTATTTCTGAGAAGGCTTTCAATCATGACCATTATATTGTAATGACCACTATACCCCACTTCTTCTGGCGTGGTTCAATGGAAAATAAAATGTTTCTAATGACTATGGAATGAGTGGTCCTACATTTAATTCATCACTAATCGATCATTTAAATTAAGGGAAAATGATACAACCCAAATCCATACAACTTCTGTAAACAACTCTGATTTAATATTATAATAATAGTTTTGTTTTATTTTTATTTTTTTTAAATCAGTCTATAGATTATTATATTAATAAAAGTGAGTTGTTTAAAGAGTTGTATGATTTCTGGTTGTGAAAATATCAATACTCTAAATTAAGTGTTGGAGAAGATAAATTGTTGTTATGAGGCATCTGACTCGGACGCTAATACTTAGGTATAGAGAGACACCAGTCATATACATGTGGCAAATAATAAATGTTACGAGAAGTTTTTCTTCAAAATTTAAGTACCATTATCTTTGTCTAATCAGTGATTTCTATTTTTATTTTTTACTCTTATTAATTAAATTTTATGTCAAAAATCTCAGACTTACATGTTATATTTACTACACTTTTTATTCGTACTTAATGGCATAACTCTATGTGTCTCTGTGTGTGTGTATATATGAAAACAAAGTTGTTATTTTTTTTTTCAATTCATAATGACTCAGAAAAAAACACTAAGGCATCTTTTCACGATGCAATTTTAGAAAAAAAAAAAATCCAAAATAAGACGAATCCATTTCTTAGAAGTTAAAATGACTAGCTAAGCCAGATGATAATGAGCCAAAAAAAAGTATTGAGTGTGAAAATATTTATAATAAAATATAAGTTAACTTCATTTAAAAAAAATATGATTGAAATGTTAGAGAAGTGTTTAGCCAATAAATAGGTGTTGGCTCACCTGTGTTAGAGGTGCGTATAGTACCTGAGCAAAAAACGTATTTTTTAGTTTTGACACCATGGAGGGGTGTCCCACATGTATTCAAGGTTTGTTTGACATGTCAAAACATCGACACACTAGCTTATTTTCTTGACTTTTGTGTTCTAGTAGTGTTTAAAAGAAAGCAATTTTTTATATATGGGTGTGTGATGTACAATGTTCATATAGGTCTATCGTAGTGAGAGAATAAATATGGATAGGCTGATGGATCCAATAAAAATGACTAGGATAGATATCATCTTATAATGTGGGTTTTGGGTGAAACTCAATCCTAGAAATTCACTTATAAGAATAGGTTTGAATTTTACTTGTATACTGCATTTTGATCATATGTCTAGACTGTGTAGAATTTGTAATAGGACCCATACCCAGATACACACAATGTTGGCATGAAGGTCTTGGCTTGTATTGTAATCAATGGTTTGTTTGCTTCAAGTAATTTTGAGTTTTCAATTGTGAAGCCTACTTTATCAGGGCAATTTAGATTGTGACCCGGGGTATTAATGTTTCCAATTTCCTTTACATTGTCTTTCTTGTTGGCTCATTGTGAATGCCTTGTCTTGCAGCTGAAGCTATCCTACTTGCATTTCAAAATTATATATTGATGCTGGGAACAAGCGTGATGATTCCTTCATGGATTGTTCATGCCATGGGAGGAAGTGATGTATGTTGAACTGCTGCTCATGTGTAAAACAATTATTGCTTTTGACACATTTATTGCTGATAGTTACTCGTTAGTGATTTGGATATTGATACCACCAGGGTGACAAGGCACGGGTAATACAGACTCTTCACTTTGTAGCTGGCATTAACACGCTTCTCCAAACGCTTTTTGGAACCAGATTGCCTACAGTAGTTGGAGGAGGTTCGTCTGCATATATATACCCAATTGCTTATATTATCACCGACTCATCGTTACAACAAATTAGTGATCCTCATGAAGTAAGTTTCCTCATTCCCTTTCTTCATCACTGTTAGTCTCAGAGCACATTACATTTTTTTTTATTTGTAGCATCTAATCATTTGCAATGATAATCCTTTGTCCATCAGCATCGATTTTGGGACCTACATACCTTTATAAGAACTGAATTCATATGGGAGCTTTCAGACTCAACAATCCCAAACACATAACCAAGGATTTATGATTCTGGACGAAAATGATTGTTCTTAAGTGAAACATACCGGGTTTAGTTGTAGATATGCTGATTATTGATCACTCGGAATATCATCTATTTAACTTTTACAAACTTTGCTATATCCATATAATATAATATGAGTTGTCAGAATTTTAAAGTGAGAATCCACTAGTGCTCACTTTTTGACATGCTAGTATCATATATGTAAAGGATGCCCACCTGGAGAAATAGGCAGTGGGTAGAGGATCATGTACAATCTCTAATTGAATGTATTTGATTGGTCAGGAGTAGTTAGAATGGGAGGGGAAGTTAAGGTTGGGATGTGGGAGAACTTTAGGCTATCTCGAATACCCTGTGGACTAATTCATTGTATTTCATCTTCTAGTTCTATTTCATCTAGATCAGAGTGGAAGCCTACTGAATAATATATCCAATTGTTCAATGTTGATCACTATGTACTATTTTGGTTGTTATGAGTTGGTATCAAAGCATTCCACCACGTCTCGGCTGCAAACAATAGGCACGGGTGGTGATCAGCATTGCAGTATTGTTCTGGGACTAGTCATTGACCGAGCATACACAGCTAGCCCGAGTAGGTGCTGGGGCTGTGGAGTGTGGTGGGATGCTAGTATCAATTGCGAGATATGAGACCTGAGTCTCACATTGGAAATATGAAATCTTATTGTGTGGTTTGTAAGGCTTAGGGCACTCCAATTACAGTTACTAGCTTTCGTTATGTGGTTCTCCTAAGGTTCTTATTAGGGAGCAACATGAATTTTGTAAACTTTCTTAGAAATGCACTTAATATTTCTTTCTTATTTGGTTAAAGACATTTTGCCATGTGATTGATTTGCAGAGATTTATACAAACAATGCGAGCAATACAAGGAGCTTTGATTGTAGCATCAAGTATTCAGATAATCCTGGGTTACAGCCAAATCTGGGGACTCTTTTCAAGGTTACTGGTAACATGTGACATGTTTGTGAGTTGAAAATGTCTCAATAAATTTCAAGCATTTATTTTTGTGGATCTTCTCTCCAGATTTTTCAGTCCCCTTGGTATGGCACCTGTAGTTGGATTGGTTGGATTAGGATTATTTCAACGTGGATTCCCTGTGGTAGGTGTGGCTCAATTCTTCATCTTAATTGTCATGGTCTCTACTAAGTTTTGACCAATGGTCTTCTATTGATCTAGAATAAAGTTTATTCTGAATGATGATAAACAATAATATTTAAGCAACTTGTCTAGAATCCAATCACCGAGGTTGTTACCTATTTAAGTAACTCCAATTCAATACTGAATTTTGATCCTTCTTTTCAGCATATATGCATTGAGGGCTTTGTCCACTTTCTATCTTCGAATTATTTGGTAGTGGCATAATTCTTAATTGTATATATCTGATAGTGACAATACTTTATTTGCATGCAAACATTGATGGATTTCTTCATCAGAATCTTGTAATTGGCCATGCACTCTGTAAGCTTGATGATTGCCATATTTTTCATACCATGTTGATAAATTTACTCAATATTATTTATTATCTTCTTTTTCAGTTGGGGGATTGTGTGGAAATTGGTATACCAATGCTGTTGTTGGTAGTTGGTTTGTCTCAAGTAAGTGCTTAACTATAAATTTGTGGTGTGCATCAAATTATAATTATTTTTCTAAGACAATCAAACTTGCTATGAAGTGCAGTATCTAAAGCACGTGAGGCCATTTAGAGATATCCCTATCTTTGAACGTTTTCCAGCGTTGATTTGTGTGCCAATTGTTTGGATCTATGCTGTTATCTTGACTGCCAGTGGAGCTTACCGACACAAGCCAGACACAACACAAAATAGTTGTCGAACAGACAGAGCTAATCTGATATCTACTGCCCCATGGTATGTGAAAAAACCTGTTTTAATTTCTTTTGATATGTTCCAAGGTGTTGCTGACTTCTGAGGTTTCTTCTTGTTGTATTAGGTTTATGTTTCCATATCCTTTCCAATGGGGTCCACCTACATTTTCTGCTGGCCATTCATTTGCCATGATGTCAGCAGTCATTGTCTCAATGGTAGAGGTATCCATTTTTCATTCCTGATTTTGTTATCATTTTAAAGGATTGACTTGATCTGGAGAGCTTTATTGTATTTATCTATATGCTCTGTCCCAGTGCTTGTTAACTGTTACTACAGATTGACATTTTGAAATTTGGCCTAGGGGTCTCAGGTACCCACAAAACCTCACAATAAGTAAAGAAACAAAACACTAATTACAATCACCATAATAGTCTCATAATATTTTAATGAATTTTCAACAATGTATTGATATCTTGTCATTCACTTGTTGCAGTCAACCGGGGCATACATGGCAGCTTCTCGACTAGCAATTGCTACTCCTCCTCCTGCTTATGTATTGAGTCGAGGCATTGGTTGGCAGGTTACTCACAAGACACAGAAGTCATTTATTATTATTGAATTGCCTAGCTTATGCTTGTGTGTTGATTGAGTAGCTTTAAAACTTCAATCTTGCGACCAGTTATTAAAAGTTTCTAATTTTATATTAAAGTTTATATGACTGATAGCTGGAGGTGATCTTTATTTTATCAGGGGATTGGTGTCTTACTTGATGGTCTGTATGGAACAGTTACTGGTTCCACTGTTTCTGTGTAAGTCTTTATCTTTATTGAGTTTTAACTAGAATTGTTACGATACATGTTTCTATTGTAGCTTGATGAGCATCATGGTTGATTTTTCTAGGGAAAATGTGGGACTCCTTGGACTAACCCGAGTTGGAAGTCGTAGAGTTGTTCAGATTTCTGCTGGCTTTATGATATTCTTTTCTATTTTAGGTTGGTAGAGACAAATCAAAGATGAGCCTGGCTTACACTAGAAGTAAACCAGTTCCTTGCCACTTTAGAAAAAAGATAGTTTCACTTACCTGAGGTGATTTTGTTTTCTTTTTCTGCAATCATATGTAGGAAAATTTGGAGCTGTGTTTGCCTCTATACCCTTCCCAATATTTGCTGCACTGTACTGCATTCTCTTTGGCCTTGTGGGTATGTCATTTACTCTAAAATTAGGTTTATTGCAATACATTACCCTTGTTTTCTCTATTTACAACTACTTTCCCCTGTTCACAGCGTCAATTGGAATATCATTTCTTCAGTTCACAAACCTAAACTCCATGAGAAATCTTATTATCATTGGGCTCACTCTGTTCCTTGGGATATCTATTCCTCAATTTTTCAATCAATACTGGACTCCTTCGCGGCATGGCCTTGTTCATACTAATGCTGGTTGGGTGAGTTTACTTTTCCTCAGTCAACTAAATTATGCTTTATCAAATAATGTGTTACTGCCATGCTACTTGTCTTCAGTCTTCTAAGAAATTTGAGCTTTTGAATTTTGATTTGGTATGTGACCTGTTCTTTACCATTGTCATCATCAAATAGCCTCTTGGTAGTTTGCTTGCTCTTGATACAAAATTTTCATCTTTGCAGTTCAATGCATTTTTAAATACCTTATTCTCATCATCACCAACGGTGGGTTTGATAGTGGCAGTGTTGCTTGACAACACTCTTGAGGTAGAAAGGTCAAAGAAAGATCGAGGGATGCCATGGTGGGTGAAGTTTAGAACGTTTAAAGGAGACAATAGAAACGAAGAATTCTATACTTTACCATTCAATCTCAATAGGTTCTTCCCGCCTACATGATCTTAATGAAGATGATCAGGGTAGGTCAGATTTTCTTGGAGTTGCACATTCAAGCATTCATGAGTTAGGACTAACAAAAGCTACTTTTTCCTTAACTACCAGCCAATTTTTTTTGTGGACTGCATGTGAAATCATGGTCCAACAGTGGAGATTCTAAAGCATTTGGTCCATGTTCAGTAGATGCAATAATTGCTACTTACTAATGAGTTCTGTTTCTAGATGTACATGCTTCAACAACTGAATTTAGTGAATTTACTGTATAGTTTTCTCTTATTGTCCTACTGTCACAGCTGCTTTTGTTTACGTACGATTCATCATATTTCATTTTGCAAACATTAATTGAAAGTAGGTTTTGTATTTACTACAAGTTAAAAAAATTGCTGACTGAGAGGGGGGCTACAAGCCCAAAACAAGCAAAACTCTAACCTGTCAACCAAACTTTTTATGCTTGTCTATAGTAGCTGTTTCATCAGCTAAAATCATTAATGCATTAATGTTATGTAAACAACATAGGGGTGAGTAAATAATGCTGATCCCTGGTTCCAAGGACACTCTTTATTTTGCAAGGGCATCTGCATCAAAATTACTCTTTATGAATGTGCGGACTGATATGGAATGATTCCTCTGACTAAAGCCTTCAATGGCACATGTTATGAAACAATTTCTCTACCCAAAAGCCTTCAACCAATACAAGAATGTACAGTATACTTTATTGTTACATACAGGGAAGGAAACTAAACCAAAAAGAGGGATAGGGACACTACAAACGTAAATAGGGAGCCCCTAGGACAAGGGAATCAGATAAGGTGTGTGCCTGCGTTATTAAGGGCTGTAAGGTTTAATAGAGTGAAATGGAAGGTATTTCCACAAAATATGAAATCTTATTACTTACAATTATATAAAATTCTGTGTTTAATTTGTATATTTAAAGGTATGCGATCAAACACTATAGATCTGTGTTATTGTATATATACTCTCTTTATTTCACTGCAGTTTAAAGTTTTCTTACACAAACTCAAATGCAATAAATATGCTATTTTTTAAGCACTTATATAAAAATAGCCATATTCCTCCAATAGATGCATTAATTTGATCAAGAAAGAGAGCAAATAATTTTTGTCAATTTAAAAAGAAAAAAACTTAACAATAAGTGAAAACATGTCAAATTGTTCTTTTTTTTTTAAGTGACAAAAGCTATACATACTGTTCAATGGAGGAAATGTAAAGTTGAATAAAAGTGTTTCAATGTCTTATTTTTTATTACAAAATCATTTTTAACTGCTTTTTTTGAAGGAAAAAAGTTTTCGAAAATTTTTTTAACATTTATTTTCTTTCATTTATTATTTTTAATATCTTTAGTTCTAATTTGAATGTCAATATACTTTTAAAAGAAATTATCAATAATTAAAAAATATATTACATCACTATAATTTTTAATATAAGTATTAAATTTAATTTATAATTTAAAAATACTTATTTATTACAAAATTTAACTATAATATACTTTGTACCCTTAAAAGCATTTCTTTATTATAATTTTAATTAATTTAAGTAAATATTTATTATGCGTAATTACAAATAGTATTCCTAGATATGCGAACACATGGCCAAAAATAAAGAACTCACACTTTGAACTTCAATTCTCTAAATAATATTCTAATTATGATCAATCATATAAGTATTAGCAATACCTCAGGGACTTAAAAGTATATTTCAATTTTCTAAGTGATAATTCAAGTAAGCAATTATTCGAACTATGATCAATCATATAAAGTATCAAAGATAGACTCAGAGACTCAAATTATGTGAAAAAGGGATGGAAAAAATGAAAAAGAAATTGGTTACATCAAATTCAAATTGAAAATCATCCTATCAATTTCTTCCTAGAAAATTTCATAACTTGAACAATTTATTGCACTGACAAGCTTTCAAACATGAAAAGCAGAAAAGCTTAGAATAGAAAGGAAAACCAAGTTCAATAATTTCGAAGTTGTCCAAGTGCAATGGTGTTGAGTGTCCCCCTCATTAAAGGTGACTTAGGCATCACAAACTTGTTATACACATCTTCCATGGTTGGACGAGAAAGTGGTCTATTATTCAAACAAGCAAATGCCACTTCTGCAATGAAGACTACCTCCTTAACAACTGGCATCACTGGAAGAGGAAGTCGTTGGTCCATGACATCCTTCAATAGCAAATTAGATGTCAATGGTGTTGAAGAGGGTGAAAGCATTGAAGAAATGAGATCTCGTGGATGATTTCCCATTATTATTTCCAAACAAAGCACCCCAAAACTGAACACATCACATTTCTCATTCACTTCCATTGTATAAGCAAGCTCTGCATGCATTACATCGAACTATGAAAATTATGTTGCACAGAGGTGGCAAATTATTATTGAAACAAATGTAAAGTTTGTTTAAGTTATAAAAAAATTGAAGGGCCTAACCTGGTGCAGCATATCCATAAGTGCCTGCAAACTGAGTTAAATTGCGTGAATTAGGATTTAGAATCTTTGCTGTTCCAAAGTCAGATATGCGAGCTTCATATTCCAAATCTATAAGAACATTCTTGCTTGATATGTCACGATGAACAATAGGCGGAGAGCAACCATGATGCATATGATACAAAGCATTTGCCACACCTTTAACAACGTTAGCCCTTTTATTCCAATCAAACATTGCTGCATGTGTGTCGTTGTTTAGTACTTTATCCAAGCTGCCACCTTCTAGGAACTCATAAACCAAGAAACAGTGGCGTGGATGTTCACAAAACCCATGCAACTTCACAATGTGACGATGTTTTATTTCTGTCAAGGCTCGAATTTCAGTTGTAAAAGCCTTAAATTCAAGCATTTCCCTGTCAACTCCCGCGTCAAGTTTTTTCACAGCAACAATCTGACCAGAGGGTAAGATAGCCTTGTAAACACCTCCAAACGCTCCTTCTCCAATGAGATTTTTGTCATCAAAATCATTGGTTGCTTCGATGATATTTTCATACACCATTTTTCCATCATAACTCCATATAGAAAAAAGATCTCGAGTTTGTTCTTTTATGTCTTGCTTTTCGGCTTTTCTTGCTCTTTGCCAATGAACGTATAGTGAAACTCCAAACACAAACACTGCTGGTAATAGTGCACCCAAAGCCCACATCATGACCTTTTTATCATGATGATTGTGACTTGTAAACTGTGGGCAAGCCATCAACCCGGAAGCATTGCCACACAAGTTTTTGTTTTCTGCCAATGCTTCAAGTGGAGCTTTAAGGAAGGCTGCACTGTTAGGAATTTCACCCTCTAATTGGTTGTTAGATATGTCAACTTCTGTCAAACTCAGAATATCCTTTAAACTAGAAGGAATGTTTCCAGAGAGATTGTTGTGGGAGAGATTCAAGTTTTCCAACATCTTCAATTTTCCAAGTGCTACTGGAATTTTTCCATTTAAAGAATTAAAACTAAGATCAAGAGTTTGAAGATACTTCAATTGGCTAAATTCAGAGGGGATGCTTTCCATGAATTTGTTATGGCTTAAGTTCAAGTGAAATAATTTGCGCAACTGTCCGAGCTGTTCTGGGATTGGCCCACTTAAATTATTTGTTGCAAAATCGAATTTCCAAAGTTGCTTTAAGGATCCTATTTCTATGGGAATGTTGCCTGAGAGATTGTTGTTACTTAAGTAGAGTTCAGACAAGTAGGTCAAGTTTCCAAGTTCTTTCGGAATTTTTCCTGTTAGATGATTTGAAGACAGTCCAAGCTTTTGTAACTTAGGTGCCTGGCCTAGCTCTGGGGGTATACCACCGAATAAATTGTTGTATGAGATCATTAGACCTATGAGATTGTGGAATTTGGCCCAATTTGATGGAATGTGGCTATTAAAGCCATTTCTACTCAGATCAATGTACTCCAAATTTGGATATACACCAAAATCATTTGAAATATTTCCAGTCAACATATTTCCTGCAACGTTGAGCCTCACAAGGCTAGAGCAGTTCTTCAAACTTGTTGGAATTGGACCTGTGAAATTATTCATATCGGCAGCAAAATATAAAAGTGAACCTCCAAGGCAAATATGTTGTGGCAAAGAGCCAGTGAAGTGATTTGAGCTTATTTGTAAACTTACTAGATTGGTAAGGTTACTTGTTGCTGTTGAAAAACTTCCTGTAAGTTTGTTCATATAAAGTAACAGGAAGGTGAGCTTTGTCAAATTTCTGAAGGTATAGGGAATAGATCCAGAAAGACTGTTTACTGCAAGGTTAAGCTTTTGCAGATTGACCAAGTTTCCTATGGAAGCTGGAATTAATCCGGAAAGCTTGTTCTCACCCATGGACAATTCACTGAGTTTTGTCAAGTTTCCAAGAGAGGAAGGAATTGATCCATTTAGTTTATTACGAGTGAGCTGAAGCCTTCTCAAATTAGCCAGGTATCCTATGGAAGATGGGATTGTCCCGGAAAGATGATTTTGTATCAATTTGATGATTCTGAGAAAATGAAGTCCTCCCAACTCCTCAGGAATAGGGCCAGATAGAACGTTGTTGTAGAGTATAAGTTGTTCTAAATTTGTCAGGTTGCTAACTGAAGGGATTGCACCAGAGAGATGGTTGGTTGACAAATCAAGTATAACAAGATTTGTCAACATTCCAATTGTTTGTGGGATGGAACCAGAAAGTTGATTTGCTCTCAAGGAGAGATGCTCCAAGTTATGCAGAGCCCCTATCTCTTGGGGGATGGAATCACTAAAGAGATTATGGTCCATTTCCAAGTGAGAAATTCTGGACATGTGACCAATTTGGTGGGGAATAGGTCCACTGAGGTCGTTGTAACTTATATACAACCTCATCAGCTTAGGAAAGGATGACAAGTTGAGATTGAGAAGTGTACCTTTCAGTCCAAAGTTTGTAACATCTACAGTTCTGACAGAATTGGATTCATCACAAACTATTCCCTTCCACTTGCAAGGGCTAGTAAGGGTGGACCAAGAAGACAAGAGAGCCTGGCTTTGGTTATCAAGGCTGGCTTTCCATTTCAATAGAGCACTTGCTTCCACCTCTTCATCCTCTGCAGCTTCATGGCCAACCACAACAGTAGCATTGGCTAAAGAAACACCAGAAACTTCCAAGGAAGAAAGCCTTGGAACTGAAAAGAAAAACGAGATGAGAATCAACCGAAATGATACAAGCTTTGTGCACATCATGTTGGACTTTGAGGTAATCGATGAATGCTCAAATTAGTGTTTTGCTTTCTGCAATATATGTAGTGCATTGTTGTATCAGTTCAAGTAGGTCCATTACTTGAATACCATCCGCTTGGAAAAAGAGCATGGAGCAGCGAGAAACAGTGTCCTTAATGAAAACATCTTATTCACGTCTTAATCTTATCTTACACAAACCAAATGAATCGTTCATTGTAATCTAAGTTTCTCCACTTTATTATTTTCTTTTTTAATACATGTTTTCCATTCCTTCAAATTTAATATATTTATTTTTAATCCAGGATTTCTAACAAATCCACGTCCCAAAATCTCAAATAATGCATTCCATCTACTGTGTTCACTTATACGTTATAAAAACAAATTAAAAAAAAATGATTCTACCTTTAACTCAAAAAAATTGATGTATTTTTAACTTATAAACTCATGTTAACGACATATTAACGTTAGGACGATGATTAACCAAGTTTAATATTTATGAGAAGAGAAATGGTTGTTTCTCTGTAGGCTCGTTGGTTCATTAACTTTTACGAGGTACGTGTATTTATTTTATTGTGTTAGAAGAGACAGACATTTGCAGAAGTTAAAAATCAATGAATGCAAGTGATTGTCAGCATGATATACATGTTCACCACACCCAACCATAGCATTTGACACTGACGTAACACCCACATCATTTTTGTTTCAGAACGAATAAATTCGAGCTGCCATATGTACTGTACTATTGTTCGTCACATCACATCATTATCAATTCACAAAGACTAAATTAACAGTTTTTTTTATATACTTAATATATAAGTATCAATTATAATAATTAGTTTTTCTTTTAACATATTATTAAGGTATCACGTGCATATATTGAATAAGAGCACCATACATGTACCTAAAGGGTTGTTCAAAGCACCACCAATTTGATCAGATAACAAAGAATTCATGTTAAATGATGGAAACTTGCGAACTGCCAAACAAAATTTCAATTATTTGCGTACTTTTGCAATTAACATAAACGCCTTTCAACAAAATTTGATCTCACATACCTTATTTAAACAAAGCGGGTTCGTTTCATCATATTTTAATTTCTTTTTTAGTTTCTAAATTATTATTTTCTAAAACATTTTTAGAAACTATATTTTATAGATTATAATTAGGGAAGAAGGTTGGTCCATGGATTGAATCTGATAAGAGTAATTAAAATATAGAATAAATTGTGTTCAGAAAAAAAAATTCATCAATATGTATTAAGATCTTCGAACTTCATAATAATGAATAATTAGTATGAATAATGAAAAACATAAGTAGTACAAGAATTGAGAATAAACAAAATAAAACAGCTTAAGAAATATTTTGATTTTTCATTTATTTTAAAAGCTAAAAGAGATATAAACTTCAAAAGTTATTTTTTGAAACTATTCTTATCAAATCGTTTTTCTTTTATTTTATGCTTTAATAACAGATTTTTTTAGTTTTAATAAAATAGGTTTAAATATAATTTAAAGATTTATATTTTTCTCTATCGTAATTTCAATCATTTATTTTTAAATAGAAACATTTTGTCTTCTTATATTCTACAACTTTGGTAAAATCTTCAATTTTGTTTAAATTATTTATTTTGCTTCTTATAATGTCATTATTTATACCATATTTACATAATATCTTAAATGAATATATTAATTCTAAAATTTTCTAATTAACGGAAGTAAAATATATGTTAAATTGTGAACTTTTTATAGCATATGTTCTTATTTTAAAGAGTAGAACTAAATTTAGAATTTCAGATTGAGTAAAACAGAATAAAAAAATTAAACCTAAAAAAAAAAATATATATATATATATATATATATATATATATATATATATATATATATATATATAATTATATATATTTTGATTTCTTTCATGATAGCATGAGAATGTTGGGTGGTGTGGTGTGGTGGACCACTTCTATTCGCAGCCCAAGCATGATATACACATAACAGGGGTAGGCAAATATAACACTTTAGCTATAAATTATCTCATTTTATAATTTTACATATTTTTTCTACTTAATAAATATGCATATCCATTATATATATATATATATATATATATATATATATATATATATATATATATATATATATATATATATACATATTAAAGTTTGTATTTATTTTTTTATTAATACACAACTCTTATTTTTCATTATTATGTGTTATTTTTAGTTATCTATCTTCATTTTCACTTATATTTATTTTTCTTATTTTTAATATGAAAATAGATTAATTATTTTACATATATAATCATGCCAATCAATTATATTTTGATTTTAATTAATTTACTTATAATATGACTTTGTAATCATGAAATTTGAAAATGATGTGATTAAATATTAACGTGGATAATCAATTATATTAATATAGATAATCGTTTATATAAATATGAATAATAGATTATGTTAAAAAAAATTATATTTTTTATATATATCATGAAATTTGAAAATGATGTGATTAAATATTAACGTGGATAATCAATTATATTAATATAGATAATCGTTTATATAAATATGAATAATAGATTATGTTAAAAAAAATTATATTTATTATATATAAATTAATTCTGGTAAGTTACATGGTTTTATATTTTATTTTATAATAAAATTAAAATATAATTTTAATTTTTTAATTAGTATGTGAAATAAAAATTTATACATGATTTATAATTAATTATTAAAAATAATTTCAATTGTATTTTTAAATAACTTTTAATATTTTTTCAAAATTTAAAAATTAATTACTTCAAATTTAATTATTTTTTTTATTTTTATTAAATTTTATACAAAAGATATTTTAGTAATTTATTAAATTATTTTAGTAATATATTTTTATTATTTCAAATCAATTAGAAACTTTTCACTAATTTTTTAAAATTTTTATTTTTTTAATCTAAATAATTTAATTTTTTTACTTTTTTTTCTACTTTTCTTTTTCACTTTTCTACTCAATCCAAACATAAACTTAATAAATAAATATGTTGAATAAGACGCTAATAGTCATTTATGACTAGCTGATACGCTAGTTAACTAAGGCTAAATTTTACATTTATATAATTTATTTAATTTGCTTCCTGTATTATTATTATAAGTTTAAATTAAGTTTTTGTCCCTTTTAACTTATAATTAATTTGGTTGATTTTGATAAAATTCACAAATGTGAGTTTTATTTTATCTTCAAAATTTACTTCAAGTTAATATTTACATAAACCATATACAAAGGAAGGAAAACGATTATGTTCTAAAAAAAGTGTATTTTTTACATTAATATGCTGTTTTTGTAATATTATTTTCAATTTTAAGTCACAATTTAAAAACTGATCATCTCATTCAAAATTATTATATGTCATGTGCATGAAGATTAACTCTTTTTTTTTTTTTTAATTTCAACATATTGATAAAGTAAAACAAAACAAGTTTCTATTATTTCTAACAATTCATTAATTCGAGATTTTGTGTTAGTATGTTTGAATCCATAAACTTCGTCTCCAAATAATCATCTGCATACGAAATTAACTTGACTTTTCTTTCTGTCCTTCTTTTACAACAAATACTTAATACGAAATGGCATAAGAGTCATGATTATCTCTGAAAAAAAATGGTGAAAAGTTTTATATAAAGGAGCCAGTAGAAGATGGCATTTTCCAGAAAACTAAACCAGTTGAAGATGGCATCTTCCATCTTCAAACTTTGCCTATCAGCATTCATTCTTTTTACTATGTTGCAGTCATACACTGAAGCTCTTCGAAAGGCAAGCATGTTCATTTTCAAATCTCATCAGATTACGATTTGAGACTCTATTCAATTATCTGATACAGTAGCCAGTGCTTCGCAACCACAATTCCAAAACTCACATTTTGCTGTGGATATACATATGCAATGTTTCAGTTTTTGTCTGTTTTCTTTTTTGCTTTAATTTGTATTCTTTGTAACAGACCTACATAGTATACTTGGGAGAACATTCTCATGGTCCAAGTCCTTCGCTTCGTGATCTTGAGTCAGCCACAAATTCTCACCATGATTTACTGGCTTCAGTCTTGGGAAGGTATATATGAAATCTTTTAGTATTGATTCATGTCCTATGCATAAAAAAACTTAGTTGAACAAAATTAGTTAATAAATCTAAAAAAATACCATTTACAATCATGTGTTCTAATCATGATAAACCATGTAGAACAGGACATGGAGATGACTGATCAGAAACACCATTGTGAATGTTTTAGTCATGAGTGATATCTAGATGGTTTTTTGTGACCAGAAATGCATATTAAAAAAAAAAAGAACCTAAGAACTTGTGTTTACACCCTGTGATGTTATTAGCTAGTTGTTCTATTTTACAGTCATGAGAAAGCAAAGGAAGTGGTGATATACTCTTACAATAAGCACATCAATGGCTTCGCTGCACTACTTGAAGAGGAAGAGGCGTCAGAGATTGCAAGTGAGAAAATGATTAACATGGTTTTGTAGTTTGTAGTCATATTTTGTAGATGTTTAGGTATAAGTGGATAGAGTTGAAGGGATAAAGTAGGCATGTTTTGGATGTATTGGTGCAGAAAAAGCAAGTGTAATTTCTGTATTCTTGAGCAAAGAATATAAATTGCACACTACCAGATCATGGGACTTTCTTGGGCTGGAAAAATATGGAGGAATTCCTGCAGAGTCTGCTTGGTGGAATGGAAAATTTGGAGAAAATACTATTATTGCTAATCTCGATTCAGGTAATCCTACACTACATTTTACTTCCTCGTACAAGAGAATTTGGATATGCAATATCTAAATTGAATTTGTCTATTTCAACCTTTTTGCTGACGTTTTTTTTATTGTTTCTTATTTTCATTTCTATTGTTTTTTTAGTTTAGAATCTTTCTATAATATCTTATTATAAATAGTATACCTAATAATAACAAGAACATAATTGAAGTAGGGTGTAGAGGTTAAATTTTTATATATTTTTATTTAATTTAATCCAACTCAACTCATATCAAGTTGGGTAAATGGTTTTTAAAAATGTTTTATTAAATTTTTTAATTTTAATATATATATATATATATATATATATATATACATATTTTTTAATATATAACTTAATATTTCAAAAATATAATCATTATGATAATTAAATAATAATTATATTAATAAATTTGATCAAGTGTGTGTTAGATCTTCAATTAAACATATAAAACCCCTCGTGTAACTCAATACATGAGATTGGGTTAACCAAAAAAAATTAAATCTAATATATTTAGATTATATAAAGCAGGATTGCCATCAAGTTATCTAGCTCAATAAATATTCCTATTAGGTTATCTTTTAAAAAAGAAAATGAAAAAAAAGAGATTTATTTTTAATTTTTCATTTATATTTTTTTCTTCATATACAATATTAAAAGAAAAATTAGAAATATTTATATTTATATAAAAAATTTAAATATATATATATATATATATATATATATATATATATATATATATATATATATTTCGACAGGATATTTTGTAAATGAAAGTATGTTCGGACTCCAAAAAATCAGAAGTGAGTGACATCTCATTAAAAGGGGTTAAAAGACCAAATAATTAGATACAGGCAAGATTTTCAAAAGCTTAATTACTTAGGAAAATAAAATTCCTAACAACTTAGAAGCTAGCATGATTAAGTTTTACTCCAAATAAGTTTGGTCCTCTCGTCTTTTTTTCTTTTTTTTTAATTTTAGTTTGACCTTCTAAATTTAAAATTTATACTTTGAATTTTTTTATTTTTAGTTTTTTAGTGTTTTTGTTGGACCAATTTCATTCATTTGTTAACTTGTCACATAATTTAGTCAACTTAATAATTCAAAACAAAATGTTAGAGAAGTCATTGAGAGTGTTTGTCATATTAGCTAAAGTTATTATTGTTGGTGAGATAAATTGATAATATACTTGAACTAAAGGAATCAAACCCGAACTAAAATAGTAAGATGGGAAAGATACTAAAAGAACATGGGAGAGGAAAATTACTTTAGCGTGACATTTTTTTTATCTTATCATCTAACAATTTATTAATACATTATTAGAAGTTTAAATTAAAACATGACAACAGCTTAAAGAATTCTATAATGAATGATAAAAAAAAAGTTACAATTTTTAATCCTTTATCCCTTGTTTGGATGAGTGGAAGGAGAAGATGGAGAATGAAAAGAATGGTACAGGTGTCTAATGAAAAAGATAAAAAAATTTATAAAACTTATAGTATTATTTCTTGCCTAGTTCTAGTAATTTCTCTCTTATTAAACCAATTAAATTACATAATTCTTAAGAAAGTGTTTTTTTTTTCATTTCTCTTCAATCAAATACTTAAATATTTAATTTTTATTTATATTTACTAGTCTTTTTTAAATGTATTTTTTCTTTATTTTGATTTCCTCCATTTCTCTAATCAGACATGGCATTTCCTATTAGTTGGAATGATAGAAATAAAGTTAATAAAATAAGAAGTGAATAAAAATTTGTTGTGTTTGTTGAACAGGAGTTTGGCCGGAACACACAAGTTTCGGCGACAACGGATACGGTCCCCTCCCATCAACCTGGCGTGGGAACGGGGTGTGTCAGATCGACCATTTTAATCCTCCAAACAAAACACTCTGTAACAGGTCCCTTTCTCTCCAAGTATTTCACTCAACACAACCCTTTCATTATATTTTATGCAAATTTAAAATCTTAATATGAAAGTTAATGTAAACATTTTGTATATATACAACTTAGTGTTGCATAGTATTCATCAGTTTTATTGTAAACCATTTCTGTTGAAAATTTTTCATCTAATACTTAGGAAAAAAAGGGTGAATTGTACATTATATATCTATGTTACATGATGAATCAGGAAGTTGATTGGAGCAAGAATCTTTAGCAATGGCTACGAGGCAGAGCATGGGAAACTTGATCCTTTGAAACACACTGCACGTGACTTTGTTGGCCATGGTACCCATACCCTTTCAACTGCTGCTGGTAACTTTGTTCCCGGTGCAACTATCTTTGGCAATGGCAATGGCACTGCAAAGGGTGGATCCCCAAAGGCTCGTGTCGCTGCATACAAAGTGTGTTGGTCCATAAATGATGCTGGTGGCTGCCATGAAGCAGACATTCTACAAGCGTTTGATCATGCCATAAATGATGGTGTTGATGTCATCTCTGCCTCTATCGGTGGCTCTAATCCTTACGTTGAAGCCTTCTTCACAGATGGGGTTTCCATTGGGGCATTACATGCAGTTGCTAGAAATATAGTTGTAGTTTGCTCTGCTGGGAATGATGGGCCGGCACCTAGAACTGTCACAAATGTGGCACCATGGACCTTCACAGTTGCTGCTAGTACAATAGACAGGGATTTTCTCACCAACATTTCTCTTGGTAAAAATCACCACCTTAAGGTAACATTACATGTTCTTTTTATTACTAACTGGAAGAGAGATTTTGCCACTAGTTTGATAGATATGCATGGTCAATGTCAAACTTCTTACATTGTGAATCAATCAGTAATCTCTTATAGATTATAGTATGATGTATAGGATAGTTATTATCAAAGTCAACAAAACTTATCATATATGACAATCTGTGATTCGATAATATAAAGAGTTTTATATTGTTGGGGCTTGTATTATTTGTTCTTTGGGATATGATCAGTGTAAAGGGAAAAACCATGTTGCATACAATTTGGTTTAATTACATTGCCCTTTGTATATATGTTGTGTATATATCAGGGAGCCAGTCTTAACAGAGGTTTGCCATCACGGAAATTTTATCCATTGGTTCATGCTGTCAATGCTAGACTTCCTAATGCCACAATTGATGACGCGTAAGCTCGAATTCTCGAAACTTTATTCAAATATTTACTTTATTGGTTAGAATATTGTTACTTATTGTTTCTTATATGAGTGAGTTACTGCTGTAGTCGCCTTTGCAAGCCAGGAACACTTGATCCTACCAAAATAAAGGGAAACATATTGATCTGCATTCGACAAGATATGACAACATCAATAGGTCAGGGTTACGAAGCTGCTAATGCTGGCGCAGTGGGAGTGTTTGTGGTCAATGACGAGAAAAGTGGAAATACACTTCTAGCCGAGCCTTATCCTATCCCTGGAGCAAATTTGGATGTCTATGAGGATGAGGATATAGATGAGCGTGAATGGTTTGGAAAAGGAGGTTCCGACAAGAACAATAGCAGGTAATCAATCATATTTCACTAAATGGTTCAGTTTTGGATTCACAGTTAATTTCTCAAAGATAAAATATATGAATATTCATCTAAAATCATCTTGATTGGTATCATCTGACATGAATCTGAACACACACTAAATGCATGTCTGGCTGTACGTTAAAGTTTGACATATTAATTTATATGTATTTGAAGTAGTTTTGTTATATTTAAGTGGATTTTCAAAACAAAACCATACACAGACTAAGTATTGTTTCATTTGAATGTTACATTCTAAAAAATACTTGAAGCAAATGAAAAACCTCATTCATAATTTGTACTGCAGGAAGCTTGCTGCATACATGACTGTAGCAAGAACATATTTAGGAATAAAGCCTGCTCCAATTATGGCTGGATTCTCATCCAGGGGTCCCAATGCACTGCAACCATTGATACTGAAGGTCTATAATTTATCCATCATCATGAATTTTTTTTTCTGTTCTCATTTTCTTACATTCAATACTTAGTTCTCTGTTTCAGCCTGACGTAACTGCCCCTGGAGTGAACATATTGGCAGCTTATTCACTAGCCACAGCTCCATCAAATCTACCATCAGATAGACGTCGTATTCCTTTCAATATGCAACAGGGAACTTCTATGGCATGCCCTCATGTTGCTGGTATCGCTGGTCTTCTCAAAACACTTCATCCTGATTGGAGTCCAGCAGCTATTAAATCAGCCATTATGACTACTGGTAAGTTGGCAAAAAATATATCTTATGTTCTTCCATTGACATCAATCAATGTTAAACTAAGATGTCAAGCCCTTATGCTACTTGAGCTTATTCTGTTGATTAGAGAATGAAATAGATGGATGAAACTTATTGTAAATGATAAAAAACTTAAATACACGTTGTGATTCGGGATCTAAAAGTATAATCATATCCAAAATAAAGATCTTGTTATAGATGTTGAAAAAGAAAAGTTTGCACTTTCAATTTTGGTAAAGTTTTTCTTAATAGAAATTATGCTCTTTCTGTAGCTACCACTCTAGATAACAACAACCTACCGATTCGGGACGCATTCGATCAGACAGCAACTCCGTTTGATTATGGCACCGGACATATTCAGCCTAATCTTGCAATGGACCCTGGACTTGTTTATGATATGAGAACTAGGGATTACTTGAACTTCATATGCGCTCATGATCACAACCAAAATTTTCTCAAATACTTTAGCCGCATCTCTTACGATTGTCCAAAGTCTTACAACATTGAAAATCTCAACTATCCTTCAATTACAGTAGCAAATCGAGGGATGAATCCTATAAATGTTACTCGTACAGTGACCAATGTGGGAACTCCAACAAGCACATATGTTGTGAAAGCTAACGAACCTGAAGGATTTAAGGTTCTTGTTGAACCAAGTTCATTGACTTTTAAGACTATTGGAGAAAAGAAGAGATTTCGGGTTATTCTTCAGGCAATGAGTTGGCCTAGTCACGGTTTTCCAGTGTTTGGGAACTTGTCTTGGACAGATGGAAATCACACAGTAACCAGTCCTATTGTAGTCCTTTAAACTCAGAAATTACTCTGAGGAATAGTCTCATTACCATTTGAGTATGTGTGTGTTTGGTGTTATTAGGATTCAAGTCTTAAAGTGCTTTTAATCATTGGAGCTGTGTTTGTATTAGGAACCCTCAAAATAATGTATGGAGCTGATATGCAAGGATAAGTCTAACAAGTAACTACATATTATAGCAGAACTGAATGAAGCTTCTTCTTTCTGATTAAAATTAACATGTTTTACAGCAGAATTAGCATACTCTTCATATTCATGATGGTTCATGTTTTTTCTTTCAGCATTCCTACAATGTTGAGGAGTGTAGGTGTGTAGCTTCATGCAATATCCTTTCAGCATATTCATGATGGTTCATCTGAAACACAATCACCACCTCCATCTGTGCTTAATACTTTCATCTGTTTGCTACTTTATTTTTCAACTTGAATTTTTTTAATGCTTCAAATACATCATTCTTCCTTTGATCAAGTGAGTCCAGACCCTCCTTGTTAGATCATCATAAAGGATATATACTTCTTTCCTCCTAGGAATTCAGTTTGAAAGGGCTCACAGACATCCGAATAGAACACTCGAGCTTGTCCTTGGACCTTAGAACTTGTTGCTTGAAGTTGTTTCTGGTTAGACATGATTAATATTTGAGAATAACACCAAAAGCATATAAAAAGTTACAGCTAATTTATTCTGCAACAATGAGGATAGTGAAAGTAACCTGTTTATTTTTCATGATTTAATTTTTTATCTGATTTAACTAATTATTAATAAAATCAGTAAAAAATAATTATTAATAACATAACTATAAATTTGTAAATTAATTTACTATTTGTTTTGATTAGCAAAAGATTTTTTTAGAAAGGAAAATGAAAAAATTCGATGTTTGCAAGTGATATTTAGCCTAATAGTAAAATTTGTATTTTGTTTAATAAATATTAACATTTTTAAGAGAAAAAAAAAAACTGAATATAATGACAAAGCTTGGGTTGGGATGTAAAAATAAAGTTACATTATTTTCCAATATATTAAAAATAAAAGACAAATAAAACGAAAAATGATAAAAAGGTAAAATGTTTGAAGAGAAATGTATAAATGAGTTGATCATATGACTTTTTTTATTCATGAAACTTAAACCGTGTAAACAAATTAAGTTTGAATTTGATTGAAAAAAATGCATTTGTATTTCAATTAATTTGAACATCACCGTGTGAATGGTATAGTTTTGGTTTCTTTTTTCATTTTCCTTGTTTTAAAATAAACAAAAATGTAAAGTGATGAAATGAAGAGTGAAAGCAAATTAGTTTTGATAACAAAAGCTTTTATTTTAGAAAATAAATCCAGAGCAAACCTAATATCAGAAAAAAGACGAGGCTCTGAAAACCTAAAACTTTTCAACCAACCTCTAGCGTGATGAAGGCATCTATCAGAAATCCCATAGTGCAAATCCACGAGTGAAACTCAACAAAGTGGCTGCACTATCCTATGGATCAAACCTAAAAGAGCTCCACCAATTTGGTGAAGCATCACATCAATATTATCCCCACCTTGACCCCATCTCACATTTCTGGCTACGAAGAATCAATCATGTTTTCATATATTTATTTCCCAGCATCAGGAAACAGCCAAGGTGGAAAGGACACACCTGCACGTGAGTGTCTGCATCAACGAAATTGCAATCATGAACAAGAACGTAATTTAAAACCTTGCTGCCATACAATCAACTATTTGCAATAAATTTGGCTAATACTTTAACCACCCCATCAATTTACTATTGATGTTTCTTATAGGCAAAGTTTGAACTGATTTTGTTTTTCGGAAGCAGGGACGGTTTGCCCTGTTTCTGTTGCTTCTGGTAAATCGCTATTTCAATAGTACCTTAAACAAGTAGAAAGTGACCGAGTTGATACAGACAGACAAAACAATCGAGTCACAGTTGGTGAAGTTTAGATCATTCAGGAGTAAATAATACAAAGTAAAATTAGAAAAAGTTGCAGCTCAATACAATTTTTCCCACAAGACACCAACTTGATCTTGATTAGGACGAAGATAAATCATGTTTGAAACTATTAAATTTTTTTAGGAATTACTTTAAAGATAAAGAAACAAAAAAATTGCAACAAAAGAAAACCCTAGCCTTTAATTTGAAAATAGAAATGTTTAACAAAACAGTAAAGCCTCAGATAGTGTGTAAGTATACATCACACACCGTACAAAGAGTACGGTTTTAAGACGGCACTTGCTACAAGCATGAATCATCATTGGCTCCGATGAATCACTATTCATACACAGAAATGAAAACGAAAAGGCAAAAGCTATAATAAGTTTTCAACAACCTACGATGGCAAAAATTGCTTGGTAAAAGAGAAATTCACAAGGCATGAGTTGCAGTGCAACAAGACACAGAGATGGAAGACGGCTTCCTTTGGTAGCCTAGCAACTACGAGATAAGAGAAGAAGAGAGACACTTTATTTATATAGTCGGCATGGTAAACCCTATTGTAAAATATAGTATTATATTTTACACTATAAAAAAACTTATTCCAGTAGCTTATAAAATTTAAAATTACTTATTTGTTTTTATTTGTTGAATAAGTCCTTCTACCGGGTAAATCGGTCCTTCAATTTAGGGTTTTGCAGCGAGAAAGACTTTTGGAATAAGATAAATGTTGGCTGATACAGGATCTCTTTTTCAAATTTCACCATCTTTAGATAATTACTTTATGCGGCATCATATAAGTTTATGTGGAACTATTTTTTTCTTTTTAAATTTATATTATTTTTTGTATATAAATATTACTTTAATTTATAATAAATAAATATTTTTAACTTTATAAAAATAATTAAAAGATATTCACTTAATCTCATATTTAATTTATATATTTTTTACTTTTTTAATGATTCGAACCCCAGAGAATCATTTGCATATGATCTTCCATTTAGTATACTCAGAAATTAGAGATCATTCATTACCTAGAAGACACTCAACCTTCAAACATTCAATGTCTAATAAAAAGAAATGGGAAGAACAAGAATTTCACCCTTTTCCTTTTCAGTTAAAAATATAATTTATTGTGTAAAAGTGATTATAACAAGTGAATTGCATTAACTTGGATATATTTTTAAGTGATTATAAATTGAAGTGAGAAAAAAAATGAAGAAAAGGTACATAATAATCTCTTTTATAATGTTACTCATTTTTTATGGTAAATATGGATAATAAGAAAAGGGGATAGAAAAATGAGGAAAAAACAAATGAGGAAAAAAAAAGGTGAATATAACCATAAGATTTTAATTAATATGTGACATCGTTCTAAAATGTTAACGTGAACAAATTATAAATTATGTTTGATTTAAATAATAGACAATTTTTTTTAGTAATAATGTCTTTTAATCGTTGTTAATGTTTTCTTTTATTTTGTATATTTAGGAGTTTCACATAAAGAGGATTTTAGTGAATTAATTAAAGGAAAAAGAAATCTTGTTGTAAAAATAGAAATATTCATCATCTAATATCTTAATATTTTAAATCAAAGATTCATTCATCTCAGTTGAATGAATTTTTTTATAATTAAAAAATAAATAAAAGAATATCACTCCACCAATTTAGATAAAGGACTGTTTACATAGTCAGCTACAAATAAACCTCTATATCTGTTTATATTATATTTGATTTATTGTAAGTTTTACAACATACTATTAAAAAGATATTATCAAAGATTATGTTATATAGTAATTTTAGATTAATTCAAATTTTTTATAAAGTTTCTTTTTTTACAGAGGCCATTAAAATCACACTGCATTTATATGATGGACCGAACATATAAGGACTCCCGAAGTATAACATAAAGAAACATTTGGCAGGTCTTAGGAAACGGAAGAAACATGCAAAACAAGCATTAGAGAAATATGACTACAACAAAAACCTTAAAACAAACACACCAGAAAACAAGGTTCAGTAATTCACGAGTTGACCAAGTGTGATGATGGAGAGTGAATTGAGTGAAGATGGTTTTGGCATCACAAACTCGTTATACACTTGTTCCATGCTTGGACGAAAACGTGGACTTTCACTTGAGCAAGCAAATGCTATTTTCACAATCAAGATCACCTCCTCAACAACTGGCTTCACCGGAAGGGGTAGTCTTTGGTCCAACACATCTTTCAAAAGCAAATTATACGCTGATGGTGTTTCAGAGGGTGAAAATAATAATGAAATGAGATCTCCTGGATGCTTTCCCATCATTATTTCCAAACAAAGCACTCCAAAACTGAACACATCACATTTTTCATTCACTTCCATGGTATAAGCAAGCTCTGTAATTCACCAAATATATAATATTATACGATAAGTAGCAGAAGAACTTATTATTGAAAAAAGAATGGGATTAAATGCTTAAGAACAAAAAGTGCCTGACCTGGTGCAGCATACCCATATGTGCCTGCAAACGAGGCTAAATTGCGTGAATCAGGATTCAGAATTTTAGCTGTTCCAAAGTCAGAAATGCGGGCTTCATAATCCGAATCTATAAGAATATTCTTGCTTGATATGTCTCGATGAATAATAGGAGGAAAGCAACCATGATGCATATGGTACAAAGCATTTGCCACACCTTTAACAACCTTTACCCTCATGTTCCAATCAAACATTGTTGCACGCGTATCGTTGGTGAGTACTTTATCCAAACTACCCCCCTCAAGGAACTCATAAACTAAAAAGGAGAAACGTGGATGTAAACAATATCCAAGCGACTTCACAATGTTACGATGCTTGATTTCTGCCAAGGCTTCAACCTCAGTTTTAAAAGCTCTTAAATCCGGTGTTTCTTCATTGGATGCAGCATTAAGTTTTTTCACAGCAACAATCTCTCCTGTCGGTAATTTAGCTTTATAAACAGATGCTGACCCTCCCTCTCCAATGAGATATTTGTCATCAAACCCCTCTGTGGCATCGATGATATTTTCATACACTAATTTTCCATCATAACTCCATATGGCATAATGATCATGAGTTTTTTCTTCTTTAGCCTCCTCCTTTTTGCCTTCTGTTGCTCTTCTGTAGCGAATACATAACAAAACTCCAACCACGAGTACCACTAGAAGTAGAGCACCCAAAGTAAGGCCTAATGCTAACCTGGTGACATTTCTTTTCCCTTTATCATTACGGCTGCTGCAAGGCACTAAACAACGGACATTTCCACACAAGCCTTTATTATTTTTGAATGCATCACATGAAGCATTGAGAAAGGCTCGACTGTTAGGAATTGGACCCCGTAATTGATTGTTAGATATGTCAACCGTTGTTAAGCCATCCTTAAAATTAGATGGAATGGCTCCTGAGAGATTGTTGTGAGAGAGGTTTAACGTTTCCAATCTTGTCATACTTGCAAGTGCTGATGGTATTTCTCCATTTAAAAAATTGTAACTAAGATCAAGACTTTCAAGAGCTTGCAAACGCCTAAATTCCAATGGAATGCTTTCTGTCAATCTGTTTTTGCTCAAATTCAAGTTAACTAACTTGAATAACTCCCCCAACCGTTTTGGAATTGGACCATCTAAATTATTTGCTGAAAGCTCCAAAGTGTCAAGCTTGGACAAGGCACCTATTTCCGTAGGAATAGTGCCGGAAAGTTCATTGTTGCTTATTGATAACTTCAACAAAGAGGTCAAGTTCTCAAGTTCTTTTGGAACTTTCCCTGTTAAATGATTTGAAGACAAGGCAAGTTCTCCTAAATTGGGTACCTGGCTGAGTTCTGGCGGTATACTACCAGATAAATTATTGTTGGACATTTTAATGGCTGAGAGACCAGGACACTTTGCCCAATTTGGGGAAATGTGGCCATAAAAGTTATTCCTACTCAGATCAATGTAGTTCAACACTGGATAAACACCAAAATCATCTGATATATTTCCACTCAACTGGTTTCCATCCAGTCTGAGTCTTAGAAGAGTGGAGCAATTTTTCAGGCTTTTTGGAACTGGACCCGTGAAATTATTATTTTGAGCAGTAAATAAGAGTAGTGACCCACCAAGGCAAATATTTTGTGGCAGAGGGCCACTAAAACTGTTGTTAGATAGTTGTAAGTTTATTAAATTGGTGTAGTTATTCATTCCTGGTGGTAATCTGCCTTCAAGTTTGTTAGATGACACTATGAACGCGATGGGGCTAGTTAAATTTCCTAAGGTGGAAGGAATAACTCCGGATAGATCGTTCCTGGAAAGCTCCAACGCCTTTAGATTGACCAAGTTTCCAAGCGAGGGAGGAATTGGTCCAGAAAGCATGTTCACGGCCAAGGACAGATTGACCATCTTCGTCAAGTTTCCAATATGGGGAGGAATTGGTCCTGTAAATTTGTTTTGATCGATCTCAAGAACAAGCAAATTGGTCATGTCTCCTATGAAATGTGGAATGCGACCAGAGAGACTATTTTGTTGGAGCCGGAGGAATTTTAAATTTGTCAAGTTTCTAATTGAAGGGTGGATTGTGCCATTAAATGAGTTAAGTTGCAAATTAAGTTCAACAAGGTTGGTCATCCTTCCAATTGTTGGAGGAATGGTACCAAAAAGGTTATTGGATTCGAATAACAGACTCTCTAGGTTCCTCAACTCAGCAATCTCCTCAGGAAGAGGGCCAGAGAGGTGATTGTTTTTCAAGTTTAAAATCTTCAAGGTAGCCAACTTCACCATGGAAATGGGGATTGGACCATCAAAATTATTCTTGTTCATTATCAACTGAGAAACTCTGGATAAGTTAGCAATTTGGTGAGGAATAGTACCATTGAAACTATTGTTACTAACATCCAGAGTTAGCAGGTTGGGAAAGGATGAGAAGTTGAGAGTGTGAAGAGTACCTTTTAACCCATGATTTGCTACATTTATAGTGGTGACAGAGTTGGATTTGTCACAAATGATTTCTTCCCACTTGCAATGACTGACACCTTTGGTCCATGAAGACAGAGAAGTTTGGCTTTGGTTTTCAAGGCTAGCTTTCCACTCAAGTAGAGCACCAGCTTCCCTCACTTGGTTTTCAGCAATGGTGGCAGCAAACGCAGCAAAAGGAGAAAAGGGTAAAAGTTGAGTGAAATGGAGGCCTAAGAGTGAACAGAGAATTAATGAAAGCTTAGTGCAGACCATGTTTGATGTACTTGGCGATTATGGTATGGTATAGTTCAAATATGTTAAACATCGATTGGGAGTTATATAATGAAATACTAGTAGCAGAAAAACTTATCGGGTTCCATGTGAAAGTTCGTAGCTAAATGATTAACCAAAAACGCGTTGCATTTACAGTCAATATTTTTCTCAAAGTTACAATGGGTTATCTCATGTTCGCTAAACAAATATTAAACAAATAAAATACAATATATATATTTAAAAATAACTTAGCTAATCAATAAAAATAATTCTCTCTAACAACTAAAAACAGAGTTATATATAAAGATATATAATTGAATGACTACAGATAAAATCTTTATAGTATTTTAATTAAATTTTGTTCATTGCTTTTGTGAAAATTAAAAAAAAAAAAAAAAACTTTGTTTGGAATTGACATTTCTTTCTTTTGTTTTATTGTAGGAGTGTTTCTCTATCCTTATCTCGTGCTGAAAAAGGATTGAATATGGACGTCGCTGTAGATTGGGAGGAGGAAGAGGGTGGTTGAATGTGATTGGTGATAGAAAGGAAAGAAGAAGTGTTGGAAAAAAAGAAGAAGCAAAAAGTGCATTCAAATATAATAGGGCTGATAAAAGAATTATTACTATTATATATATATATATATATATATATATATATATATATAGAGAGAGAGAGAGAGAGAGAGAGAGAGAGAGAGAGTTAAAAATATAAAAAAAGACTATTTATATGATTTAATTAAATATTTTATCTCTCTTAATTTCTTATCCGTGCTAAATTTAAAAAAAAAAGATTTTAAATTTAAAATAAATAAAATGTTAAGAAAATAAAACTATAGTTTAATTATATCTAATTGGCATAAATAATACGAGAACCACATTAGGTTATAATCGGGATATATGAAGTGTTTTTAAAATTCTATTATCGAAACTGTACGGGTGAAATGTTTTTAATAAAATAATATTTTTATAATATAATAAATATATAATAAATTTATTAAGATTAATATTTTTATAATAAAAAAATAATAAATATTATTATCATAATTATTATAAATATAAAATATATTAAAAAAATAACGAAATTTATTAAAATAAAATATTTATTATTCAAAATTGAAATAACTATGATATAAAAAAAGGAAAATATATTATATTTTATATTAAAAAAATTATTTTAAATATTTTTTTATGATTTGACTTAAAATTTCAATTAATTTTATTTATTTTTCTTATTCTTATATTAAAGTCTGATTACTTAAGAACAATGATCCATTTTTACATGGATTTCTAATTAAATGGATAAAACTGCATTCAATTTTCAAACCAGTGGTAAGTAACGGTTGCTCCCTGGTTTCTATCAATTTATATATTCTGATGAATACCCTGCAAGCATGTGTACGATAATAGTTGTTTTTTTTTTCTCAATGATTTCGATTGTGAACAGGAGAATATTAGAATATATTTTTTATTTATTTTAAAGTGAGATATTAATAATCTTAAATACAAAAACTCCTAAGAAACTGGCTTCTCTTAATAAATATGTTTTGTAAAGAGAATAATAAGTATTGATAAATTATTGAGTGCACGTCTAAGAAGTATATTTATCTACCAATTACATTATATTTATAGATCACAATATTTCTTTCTTGTATAAAATAAAGATAATGAAATTTAAATTATTGTTGATTTAATTTATATACAGAGATATAATCTTACAAATTTTTAATGGTTCTTTTCTATTCATTTGAATAAAAATATTAAAATAAAATTATAATCACAAATATGTAAAAGGTAATTTATATATAATTTTTTTTATTAAAATGTCTTCTAAATATAAAATTGAAAAGAATTAAATAGGTATGATATTCTATTATGTCTTTTAGATTTAAAATTATATAAGTCTTCATGAAAAATAATTTAAAAAAACTTAAATAGTATACACAAACTAATAAACAGAAGAGTCTTATATAGTATTTGTTGAATGCGTGATAAAACATAGATTGTGGTAAAAAATAAATTATATGTAATTTATAGAAAATATATTTTATTATTTATTTTGAATGCGTAATAAACACATAGATTGTGGTAAAAAATAAAATATATGTAATTTATAGAAAAGTTATTTTATTATTTATTTTGAGAGAAACTTGCTTAAATATTTGGTCAAAGTCAACATACGCATGCAGCTTCGTTAATCATGGGACAAAGTTTGTGGTTTGTTATGAGACAGGTTATGAGAGTGGGATTAACTTTCTCAGATGATGATTCACATCATTGGAAGGTCCACACAGGTTTTAGTATCTTCAACCAGATACTCATCAACTAGCGTTCTATTTGAAGTCATTCAACACAAACTATTTTTTATTTTTAATGTTTATAAACAAATTCGTTTAAATATTTTTGTAAGATTTATAAAAAAATTATTCAAACATATCCATGAGTTTAACTGAATATATATAAATGTTATCAAAGTTAATATACAAAAATAACACTCTAGAACTCATTATTTTTAGTTGGTTATTTTCAAAATACTAATAATAATAAAAAATCAAAAATAATATGAATTAATTATATAAAAATAATATTAATTTTCACTTAATTTTTTAATATATTGTTTGTGAATCTTTATTATTTATAAGTTATTAAATTTTTTATTTTTAATAGTGAGATTTTATTTTATATTTTAAATTTTTTAATATTCACATATAAGTATAAAGTTAGTTGTGTATTAAAAAAATAATATTTTTTAAAGTTAGACATATTATTCACTACTGCAGAACGAACATTCAACGTCGGGTGTAGAAGGCTTTCAACGTCGGTTCCAATGACGTCGTTGAATCAGGCGTCGTTGAATGTCAAAGGATTCTACGTCGGTTCATCATACCCGACGTTGAAAGTGGTAGACATCTACGTCGGTTAAGCAAATGTCCGACGTAGAAATGACTAAATTCTACGTCGGTTATTGAACTAACAGACGTTGAAGTCGCTCAAGCGACCAGTGTACTCGCTTGAGCGATGAAGCCTTCAAACCAAAGGGACCCTCGGTTGCTTGTTTCGCTCAAGCGACCAGAGTTTTCGCTCAAGCGACCGAGCGTCACAACGTCGGTTAATGTAAATGTGATGTAGAAATGAGTAAATTCTACGTCGCTTATTGGATAACCGACGTTGAAAGTCCTTTATCGCTCAAGCGACCGATGTACTCGCTTGAGCGACGAAGCCTTCAAACAAAGGGGGGCGCTCGGGTGCTGTTTCGCTCAAGCGACCGACGTTTCGCTCAAGCGAAAGACGTTTCAACGTCGGTTAGTGCAATAACCGACGTAGAATATCCATTTTTTTTTTAATTTTGAGTTCGTTTTTGTGCTACCATACATGACCTGCTATATAAATCTCGATCCGAGCCAGATTTACACAATACATAATATATACACAATACACAATCTCAGCCAGATTCACATAATCACTATATATTTACACAATACACTTACAATCTCAGTCCAGCCACATTATGTACATAATACACAAAAATTATCAATCAATCCTATTATTCCTAACTACTTGCACAAACCTTTCTACCCATTTGTTTCTAACCATGTCTATTGTATCCATAGGCAAAGGTTCTATATCTTTAAATGCCTGTAAGAAGTTCACAATAATAGAATGGTAAACCCTAAGCAATAAAAATAAAGGAATTGAATATAATAGCAAATGTCAACTTACCTCGTCCCAACTATCCTGAATGCAACCAAAAATGATGAGCCACATCCAATACATTACATAATAGCCGTACTCAGTAGCCTCCATTTTGTTTGTTACACTAAAAATGAGTAAATATATTAAAAATAACTATTAAATTTGAACGTAAATTAATAGATAGTATAATATATATAAAGGCTACTTACTTTCATAAAATTCCAATTTGGAGTCAGTGCTTTTACTTGTGTGTTTTCCATCTAATGTACTACAAACCTTTAAAGCACTATATATTGAAAATAAGGGGATTAGAAATAAAATAATCAAGATGTTTAGACATAATATAATAAATACTTACTCGTTTACAATATTTTTTAGCTCCATGTCAGGTTTTCTTCCCAATGAGCGAGAACCAACACACAAGATTACTGCTTTGGACAAATAACTAATAGTTGCCGAGTGGTTTACGTATATACACATGATTAGAATCTATTAAAAAAACTTGTGTAAAACCAGGAAGAGGCTGGGATAACTTACGAATGATGGTATGCTCCAAGGTAAATATCTCTTTTAGAGACGAGTCATCCAATTCGGATGTAACCGACAATTTGATCACGCTTATTCCCGAGACTTTTGTATGGATTGAGGCTCGAAGAATCCATACACGTGACCAATGCCCTGCTCCACTATCATTTCGTGCATCATCCTAAAATATGCCAATTTAAGTGAACTTATAGCTTATATATTTACTAGAATGAAAAGAGTCATGAAAGATATGAACTTACAATGTCCAAAATTGTAAAACAGCTATATTTAGACATTGATTGCCCATCCCAATCTCCAGGGCATCGAGTGTGGGAAATGTAGAGGGGGATATTGCTAGAAGTCATCCCAAATAATGTACAATCCCATGGAACTTGGAATGATCTGCATATATAATTGTGGGGAAAGAGACAAGAGATCAAAAATGGGATTTGGAGAAGTCTCCACAACTGGTGTCTTCTCCTTAGATGCGGAAGGAGTGGCAATAGCTTTACCCAAGTCTTTTGGTGCATGAACATCCTACATATTTTATAAAATATAATCATAAACAATAAATCAATTTATTTATGTGTTAGATGTATTATAACCATACATATACATACCTTTGCCATGATTGACCTAACTAAATGTCGGGGCCAACTAATGAAGGTACGAAGGGCTTGGCCCACTGTCTGCACCTCTTCGGTGGGGATAGGGACACTAGCCGCAGCGTCAACCACCTTTTCAACCACTACTTTGACCAAGTTAGGATCCAAAGGCACATTGTGG